TATGAAAAATTTTTTACCGGGGAATATTATCGCAACTCTAATTTGTAAAATATTAAACCCGCCTATTGTAAAATTCTTCTGATAAAATTGAAATAAAAAGTATATGTTCCAATATTTGTTATATACAATACGTAGCAAAAAAATGAATGGTGTTAGAGGTAAGTCGATATATATTGCTTTATGTATTAGAATATTAGAATAATTATTTAAAAAAATAAAAAAATTCCAAAGCGGAAGACTAATAATTTATATACGCGAAATATTTAATCGCGATATACGCGGTATATTTACAATAACAAAATTATATAATTAATTCACGAGGAGAAATTCACTTATGTACGAAACTGCGTACGAACTTGTTGTAATGAAAAAGAAAATTGTTGAATCGTGCACAACCCGACAACACGTCCGTTACACTTGAGAGATCGACGAGATCTGAGGATACGCGCTGCGCTGTGAAGAGTTTTTTCCATTCTTTCTTTTTCCACATAGTGTTGAGACTATTACTTCTCGCGAAAGTAGTTAAAGTACTTCTAAGTACTTCTTTTTCGGTTGCACGCGACGATAAAACGCAGGAACTCGGAGTCAACGATAAAATGTTCTCTTCTTGACAATCATATGTATATTGTGTGGAAAGTTGCAAATTTATTATATTTTTCATCCTTTCATATTCACTCAACTATGTGGAAAAAAAGAATTAAGAAATGTAATAAATGTTAAATTTTAATACGAAAGAATGTGTGTGTGTGTGAAAAATAAACGTGTTATGTTCAACGAGACTGAGGTGTGTTTTTCCAACCGGCGAGTGTTTTTGTTGTTTTGACGCTCGTGAAACCGCTTGCTATAACTGTGGACCCGCGAAGAAAATTTCAAAAGCGCGCAGTGGGGGATGCGTGCGCGCAATAGAAAACTCTTCACAGAGCGCAGCGCGTAGCCTCAGATCTCGTTGATCCACGTTGATCTCTCAAGTGTAACGGACGTGTTGTCGGGTTATGCGCGATTCAACAATTTTCTTTTTCATTATAACAAGTTCGCACGCAATTTCGTACATAAGTGAATTTTTTCTCGTGAATTAATTATATAATTTTGTTATTGTAAATATACCGCGTATATCGCGATTAAATATTTCGCGCATATAAATTATTAGTCTTCCGCTTCGTAATTTTTTTATTTTTTAAAATAATTATTCTAATACATAAAGCAATATATCGGTTCACCTCTTTGCCATCAACTTTGCCACTTTTAACGTGAAACAGGCTTTGAGATCCACTTTTGTGGATATGGCGTTAAAAACCAGCGGATGAAACCGTCGTAAGGAACTACAATAGGATGGACGCTCTCAGTCTTCTCTCTGCGTGTACTATAATTGTTCAAAGTAATTAAAAAGGCCGATACGAGCAGCACATACAGGATGATCGTGTATAAAATAGAATTCTTTATTCAAAAAACAGACGTTTCGTTCCACAAGTTTGGACCTTCTTCAGTGTAATGTGTTACATTAAATTAAAACAAACTAATAATTCACAACATCACCACAATACAATCAAGTGATGTCAATCGAGTGAAATACAAAACTGTGTACTGATGTACTCTATGATGTAACTGTGATTTCAGTACACAGTTTTGTATTTCACTCGATTGACATCACTTGATTGTATGGTGGTGATGTTGTGAATTATTAGTTTGTTTTAATTTAATGTAACACATTACACTGAAGAAGGTCCAAACTTGTGGATCGAAACGTCTGTTTTTTGAATAAAGAATTCTATTTTATACACGATCATCCTGTATGTACTGCTCGTATCGGCCTTTTTAATTACTTTGAACCTTTCACGAGCGATTGATTGACTATAATTGTTGTTTACCAAGATAAGATTTTAAAACGTATCCCAAAGGTATAGAACTGGTCCCGGCGCTTTGATTTTTCGAAAATACTGCGTCAGCTTCGAAATTCAAAGTCGGAAAAAAGATTTTTGTAGGTAGATCGTAAAAAATTGTCATAATGTATTTCGCAGCGCGCGATTTATTACAATATAATTCGATAATTTACATATAAACTAGCTCGATGAATTCTTGCGCTGTACACATTGCGATAAAATGATTTGTCTATTCTACTTACGGTCGCGTTGTCGCGAGAGAACTGCTGCGGTATACGAGATTTGTACGCTTGTACAAATAAAGTTTCTCTATAAAATGAGATAATAAAGAAATTATTTACCAGTTACGTATTGTGATTATTTACGGAAAAAAAAACAAGTCTTTGAATGCGCGTACATACATAAATGAACACATTCCGCATTACGACTCATATATATTCACGGAATATCGATTTGATTTCTAGTCGAGAATTTATTCTCACACGCTTTGCGTACAGTTTTTTTTTTTTCGTATTTTGTACGTTTAACACCGGTAGATACGATGATGCGGTTGTTCTACGAAATTTTGATAGATTCTATACGTAACACACATAAACTTGATTTATCACCGCCTTTTCTTTACTGTCAAACGACGAACAAAAGCCGCACAGATCCTCATTCTACAAATTTCATCAACGATCATCGAGATTACAGCTAGCTGCCGACGACATTCGACACACGTAGATTCGCGACGCGCATGTTTAAAGTGCATTTACGACAACACACATGCGAAATTAATATTCAAAAGACTTTGTCTGTATTTCCAGTGACACGTGGAGCAGCCTGCGAAGCACAATAAAGTTTATTACATTTTTACTCTAATCAACTTTTTCTCACATTTATATAGAAAAAATTCTGCTAATAGCGGTGAACGTTTCTTCGCGACTGTTCTTCGCGTCGCCGAAACCATCGCGTGCGACGTGTAAGTTTCTCGGTACTTGTATAAAATATTTATTACATCATTTTTTTTTTTTTATATAAATGATACGTCTACTTCTTGTATACTTATGATATAACTCGCATTTTTCGTCTTATTATGCTACAACGTGACAAAAAGCTTAAAGCAAACTATGTATTTGTTTTATATATATATATGCTTAATAATTTCATATACATATTTATATATCCGATATAATAATATTAATTACGTGGCAGTCTGTCGAAATACGCATATTTTATACATTCCGATAAGCGTTTCGTTTTTTTTTTTTTTTTTGTCCTACTTATTCTGTGTGTCTTACAGAATAACAACGAATTGCATTGCTGTATACCGGAATGCACACTCCACAAAACGTGAGAAAAAATGGATCCTCCTATAAATATTAAGAAACGTAAGAATGTAAAAAAAAAAAACAAAAAAAAAGCAATCATCGTTGACTTCTTAAAATTCAGAAATTGTGACTGATGACCGAACACTCGGATTGAACATTCCAGGATACAGTTACAGAGTTTTTTTTAGTTTTTTATTTTTCTTCCTAATGATCAATGGGATATACTCTAGGAAAAACGGCAGTGCTTTGCGACAAAAATTGTGCGATCTGTAATATCATTGAAAGAGAGCGTAACGTAACTTCATTTATATATTCAATATATGGCAATTACCCCAGGAGCATTTAAGTTACTTGTAGCGACCGTCCTCTTCCTCTCACCCTCTCCGTTTTTTTAAATGCACATACACACATCGCGAGCTTTTACGAATTTTCTTACAAACAAAAAATCGAGAAATTGCAACTATGTACATTTGAACAAGCACAAAAAGAATTTATATTACTTTTCAAATAACTTGTTGACAACAGATAGCCGCGCCTGCCGTGCTGTAAACAATAACTCTCGCGCGTCACACAATTCTCTCGATTGTTACTCGTAATACTTATAACGTACGTTGTTTTACGTACGCAGTTTTGAATTGTTTTTCTTTTGGGGGGGGGGGGAAGAAAGCACTGTTTACAGGTCGCCACACATTGCAGGCAACTATCACTCTTCTAAAGCGACACATATTTATTACAACTCTGTGTGCGCGTGTATTATATAACCGTTATATATATATATATATATATTGTATATAAAAAAAAAAAAAGATTACTCTCTGTATACGTAAAAAATCGCACTGTAAAATCGTGACGGCAGTGAAAGCCTGTAAGTATATCATGCTTCTCTCTTCCTTTTTCGAAAGCTACTATATGAAACTACGTAAGAATAGAATTTAAAGCAATTCGGTGGTTATAAATACCACGGCTTATAGTCGCGGATTGTGTTTACGGAATAAATGCTGATGCCGGAAATGCATTTCTCCTTATATATCCTGTGAAAAAAAAAAAAAAATTCTCTCGGTTTCAAATGCGTACACGGTGGATACAAAAAACGAAATAGATACGATGAAAATACGATAATAGATATCGTATACGAGAAGTTGATGAATGTGACTAGGAAGATAATACGTCCAACTTCAGCCCTGTTTTTGGCTTGCAGAAACCGCAGTAACCGCCGCATTTGCCGACGATTCGCTGATGATTCTGTGCACATAAATATAAAGAAAAGAATTAACACACGAGTCATATATATATAAATAAAATAAAAATATCGAGTAATTTTATTTTTATGATAAGTAGCAATACGATGGAAAATATATTTTAAACTGAAACAGCTGAATAGCTTGCTCGGAGCCGTTATATAACTTTCATATATTTCAAAAAATATCGTAAGAGTACTTACAACTTTAGTAATCTCGAGAAAAGCGTTTGAAGTTTCCGGAACCCACATAACTTCCGGCGATAATCTCAACGCAGTTCCTCTCAAATTTATACTAAAACGACCCTGTGGACATGTCGCGAGACTGTAACAGTCGCCGGCTTTGCCATATTCGACGCGCTTCTTTCCTTCTGTCCACGAAAACGTGTAATCGTTTGCTGAATACAAAAAACAAATATATGCGCGTAAAACACAGATTAACAAACGCGAGTAAATAAGAAAGCAAATCTTACATTTTCGTTGCAATGTGTTTCACAAGTTTGTGAAAGTTAAATATATATTTTTCTTATTTACACGATAATTATTCTGGTAATTATTTTTTGATTTAATTCTCGCACTCACCTATAATGTACAGTCTAACGGGATCTATGCGCACTCTCTTGAACATAGTTCTGCCAGAAATCGTTCCCAATTCGGCTACGCAGTTACAACTGTCGTTCCTCTGACCGTTGAACGGACATGTATGTGGCTCTTTCAACCTAGTTTGTGTGTACGCACGTATGTGTAAGAAATCATTATCAAAACACTGGTAGAAAATAAATTACTTCCACAGAAGAAAAAAATATATTGTGTTATATCACACGAATAATAAGATATGTATATTCACATCAATGTTTCAACAAACCTTTTGTCGTAAATCTCCGCGTAATTCTCGTTATCGCCAGCTGGCAGTGTTAAGTACTCTCGTGGCTCGGCGCTTGACATTCCGTGACAATAGATCGTCATATTTCTGCCGCCTATTAGCAACGAGTATTCGCCGTCTGTAGTGGTCTTCAGCCGTTTCTGAATTTCAAGACAGCTGACGGGTCCGCATCTCTTCTGATTGCACTTGCGCTTTCGTTGCGGCTTGTATTCGTCCGGACAGAGATAACGTCCGACTTTCTTGCCCGTTTTGTCGTGACAATAAAGTTTACGGATCTGTCGGCCTCTGCGTCCGCAGGAATGGCTACACTGAAAACGCGAATAAATTGACAAAGTTAGTTTCAGTTCATTTGTAATGTACGTGATATATTAATAATAATTGCAATGATGATGTGTCTTCTTTTGAATAATAAAAAAAAGTTACAGAACGAAGAACAAGTCGCGGACAACTTACTTTTCTCCAGGGGCCAACGGTCCAATAATATTTGTCGTCGCACTCGCGTACTCTGCAAGTCTGCTCTTCGACCGGTTTCTGATCCATGAGACAACCGTCGGTTGGAGTCGGGTCGATCCAACCGTAATGATTCACTCGATGGCAACTAACTGCGCGACGTTGCGTTCCTTCGCCACACTCAGCCGAACACTTCAAAAAATAAAAGTACTCATGCGAGTCTCATTTCAATTTAAACAATCGTTAAATGCGTATAATTGCAATTGCGTATAAAAAAAAAAAATAAAAAAAAACAACATACGATCACGCAGGAAGTGGTTTTGTGATCGTATAATATATTTCGTAACATGCAAGATCAAAATTCCTTTCGATAAAAAGATAAAATAAACAATCGTCACGAATGAACTACAAAGTACTCCATGCATCTCTCTTGTATATAATTAATTGTTATATAATCTATAATTAATTTCTAATCTATTGTAAATTATCTCAATTCTCCATCCCAATTCCCAGGACGCGATTCATGAAAAATAACGTGCTTTGCGATGCTGGTGTAAAATTGTGAGGTATAAAGGTACCTCTGACCAGGTTCCCTCTTGCCAGCTATAGTCACAGGCAACGCGGTGACACAATCTCTGCGATTTCGGCTTGCGCAATTTCAATCTCGAGCACTGCTCGTCCTTAACTGGTATTTCCGACCCATGGCTGCCTCTTCTCATTATACATTCCACTCTTCGCGTTTGAACCCCGGTGCCGCACGATTTCGAGCACTGCAAAATATTTCGATTCGATGCAAGCTGGCTATTCGATAGTGGTAAGGTCGTAGGATTTGGGAACATATCCAATGCGCTCTCATCACGCTCGTACAGAGCGATTCTTCCGCCAATCGTTTTATTAATCGTTTTTTTTTTATCGTTTTATTTTTTCACAGTCGCGGATAAAATGGATTGGGAGATGATTTGGAAGAATTTTTCCTTAAAATTGTTTTTGGACTTGGTAACTTTTTCCGTAAGAATATCCATTTTTGTTCACATTTTTTTAACGCATCGTCAAGATTTTTTCCTATGTTCCAATTGTTCATCTCGTATAAATTAAATTTCAACTTCTTTTTGAGAATAAAAAAATAAATTGCCGTAACGGCTTTTAGCAATTTCGACTTTTCTCGAAAAACTTATTGCGATCTCTTACACAATTGCCCACAGATTAATTTTTTACTCTTCTGTACGAGGAAGTAAAGGATCAATGGAGATAGTTTTTTTTACGAACGGGAAACATTGCGCACACTGCGTGTCTTTTCCATATCTTATGGTATCGTTAATTTAGTGTGTTACTTACGGGAGTCCAATTAGACATTCTCCATCTGCGGACGATGTTTGACTCGAAATGTTCTCTGCTATTTTTACTTTTGCATGGTTCTTTCTGACATCTCCGCGCGTGTTTCGGCTGTTCGTCCGAACAGTCTTTGTACGACAAAACTTTACCGTCGTGACTCTGGCAGCGAACTTGACGATGTTGGAATCCGTCGCCGCATTTCACGTCACACTAAACAGTTTCAACGCGGTTGCGTGAATTTCTTGCCAATCTTGCCGGGAGTATTTCTTTCGTATTTTGCTTGCCGAAGGTATAATATATATACATATATATATATATTTATATACGTCCATACCTCGCTCCAATCACCGATGTTCCAAGTTGGACATGAATGACGATTGCACGCGATCCTGGCTATCGGTCGGTGGTTGGAATCGCAATAATAGTCGGGCGCAATCGCCCCCGTTTCCGAAGATACACACTTCACTATTCTGCTTTTGTGCCCGGTATTACATTTTTTCGAGCACTACATACATGAATAATTACACATACACACTTTCGCACGCGCAACACATATATTACAAATATTATATGAAGTATAAAGATGTTTTTTTTTTTAATCTAACACTATGTAAATATGTATCTTGAGAAAGATATCTCTCGAGATCTCAAAATGATGGAACTCACCTCTCCGTAGGATCCTACGTGCCAATTGTAACCTATGTGGAACGTAATACCGTTGCTGTCGATTTCGTTGTCTTGTGGGGAGGGATCGTCGCGCGGGGATTTGGAAGAATACGTACTTGGCGGTAAACTCACCTAGAAGACACAACAAGATAATAACACAGAATTTACTTGAACTTAACTAACTGTATGTAACTCTCAACTGTGGTCTGATATTTTTAAAATAAATAATTGTAATTTCCCGTCTTTTTTGCAACCATTATTGTTGTCGCCGGTTTTTATTGTTTACTTACAATAATCGGACATGGTTGTAGCATACAAGTAGCTACGTCGTCAGGCTTTTCGGACGCGGAACATCCGTCGCTCACCGCGCCGTCGGCGCTCTTGCAAACAACGCTCCTTCGCGACGTTCCCTCGCCACATGTAACCGAACACTGTAAAGTAGAAACTAGAGTCAATGGTTTGCTAATTAATCAGACAATTTTTTTCATTTTGTAACGTATTTTGTAACGAGCGAAAGATCAAAAATAATTCTAAGTTTGCTAATATGTGAATGATTGAAAAAATCAAATTTACTGTTGCTTCAATATTGAATTAAAGCAGAAATGTGTTGTTGTTTTTTTTATATATGATAACCGAATAATTTGTTTGCAATATAAATTGTACCGGACTCCAGTCGCCGGAATGCCATTGAGGACAAGGACCGGCATCACAGACTTCCGTAGTTCCGATTGGCATACTGTTACAGAAAGTGCGCGGTACTACGCGATTCTCAACTTGACACCAAGATGCTCTCTGACGTTTTCCCACACCACACGTCACGGAACACTGCAACGTTTTTACATCTCGATTCAAACTAATCTCTAAATACAAATGTTCGCAAACATTTGATATAAAGTGGGATATTGAAAGTACGAGTCTATCTTTTTCTTTACGATTAAAAATATGAGCGCGCTTTATTCTACATATCTTACCGGACTCCATTCTCCCAGATCCCATTTGGGACAGGCGTCCTGACCGCACACTCTCTTGAGATGTTTCTCCTGTCCTGAACAATTTTCGTCCGGTACCGGCTTCTCGTTCGAATCGACGCACATTGCGTTTCTCGATTGCATACCGCCGCCACACGAGACGCTGCAGGCGTTCCATTCGCTGTAACTCCAATGAGCGTCGTCGCACGGTCCTACGCACGGTTGATGCTCGCTCGGTTTTTCAATGTGCAAGCACGCGTGCGGCGATATCGGTCGCGGTGGATGCAACGACTCCAACAGAACTTGGGCGCACCGCCAGGTGACGGTTCGCACGCCAGGACCGCAATAATTCGAGCACTCTGACACGGAGGTCATATGCCACCTGAAAATAATGACTCTCAGTGATGATTTCACAGAGTAGAGATGGGAATCGCTATGGAAAAGTAACGCGGTATGTTAATTCTGTATTTTACGCACGCATTTGCACTTACTGCAGTTTGCAATGAGCGTTGCACATTTGATTCTCTTCCCGTGGCTTTTCGTCGGCTCTGCAATAATCATCGGGCACAACATCCTTCTGCTCGGCGCTTATGCACTCGGCCTTACGATACTTCATACCCTGACACATGTGACTGCAGCTCGACCACTCCTTGAGCACCCACGAATAGCTGTTTAGGATTCGTTTTGGTACCGTATACTCGTATGTAATTTGCGGCGGATACACGTTTCCTACACTTAATACCTAAAATAAAGTTTTGTATTTGAGCAGATTTATACGGTCCGATTAAACAACGTTCTAACGGTTTAATTATAATTATAAATAGACCTGCCTCCAAGATTAAATCAATGGCAATCGGTCGGGAACTATTCAGACGTTCTACAACTGATTCCGGTCCGCTGTATTCAATTGTCACGCTCGGATGCACGATCACTTTGCGATGCATTACCATAAAGTTGCCGTTCAGAATGTATTCGCCGTCTTCTCCAAGTCTCAGAGCTGTGTGTGCAATAAAATTATAAGATTTTTGATATCATTGTCAATCAATGTCTTCAGACTCTCGCTGAAGCGATGTGACTTTGCATTATTTTATTGCTTCATTCGTCAGAAAAAAAAAAATTCATCCGATCACGACACCTTGCGGAATAACAACTTTACATATAAATATCTTACCGAGATAATTGCTGTCATTATGGGAACCCAGCCATCCGTGTTGTTTAATGTCGATGTAGCTGCTACCCGCGGGTATTTTCGCCACTCTCGTGTAACCGTAAACGCTGGCATTGTAAGAACCGGTGATTCTCTGACAAGTAGAATTGTTGCCTCTACAAACTCCGCACGTGTCGAGTTCGGCCGTTGAATTCAAGACGTGATCGCATCCAGCCGGTTTGCATTGACCGTTAACGCACATGTGAAAAGTGTCGGGACCACATGGGGTACCGTCGATTACTTTATCACGTAGCATGTAATACTGATTGCTCTCCACTTGGCAATACAGTTTACAACGATCTTGTGGTAATACTATGTAAAAAAAAAAAAAAAAAAAAAAAAAAAGAAGAAATTTATCCTGTATATTAACTTGCAAATTTTTTCTCAAACATTACTCTGTAAATTGTGAGTGCGTAAAAATAACCGCTTACTTCTGGTATACTTTGCGTGCCACTTAACGTCTCTAGCGAGATTCTGAATGTTGAAGTTGTTGTTGTCGAATTTTGAGCACTGTTGTTCCCTGCAAAGAAAAATAAAGGAAACGATCGAACACCGAATGTCATTACAGATGTACAATAGCGACCGCTTGTGGGTTTTTGAACGCTCACAAATCGATGAGTTCATTCTCATCACATGAAACTAAGTCGTAACTAAATCTAAACACTCGCGAATCACAGCGAGCTACAAGCATTTACTAGTCTATTTTAAATCTCGAATGTTTGCTAGAAGAGAGAAACACTCAAATTCCTTTACACTCGTGCGAACGTAATCGCGATACTGAAGTTCCTGCTGTTATGATACAACGATTAAATACTACACCATGCTGGCAAGTTTTTGCGATCCATTTCTCAGGATAGTCTCCGATAATCTAACGTATCAAACATACCTGAAATCTGGACTACCTGATGGACATTCTCTGGTGCCGCAGCTACGGTACTTGACGCGCTCGCCAATACAGTAATTGCCGCCGTTTTTCGGCGCCGGATTGTCACATTCGCGATATTTCTTTTTAACACCGCCGCCGCAAGTTCGCGAACATTCGCCAAATCTTCCCCACTCGCCCCATTGGCCGTGTATCGGCTCGAGATTTCTTCGCGAAACGCACTCGCCGCGATGACACCACTTGTCTCGACCGCAGGGCGTGCCGTCGGCCCAAGGCATGTGTTGAGTGTGACATTGCTGATGATGATCCCACAGTGGTGCGGTGCACCACAGTCTCCTACACACTGCCTGGCCGGTAACAAACCAAGCCCTCAATTTACTTTAATTCTTGAACACATTCCGTTATAATAGCGTCAGAATCGGAAAGTCAGTTAAGAACAAATAAGAGTAAAATAGAGAGAGAGAGAGAGGAGGAAAGAGAGGACAAAAAGAGAGAAGAAAGATAACTTCAAATCTGTTGAAACAAAACATATGAAGAGAACGTTTTCGACTTACCATCACTCACCATGTGAGGACAGATTTTGGATCCTCGCCCAAAAACGAGCTCACATTGTTTGTTTTCCGAATAATCCTCGCCAGGTAATCGACCAGTTTGTCTCTCCATCATTTTACTGGGTTCGTCTAGTAAGCAATTGGCATATCCGGTTCTGGAACAAAGCAACGAATGCGAATTGTATAGTTTTCAATTTCACAAAACATGTCTGCTCGTTGTGGGAGACGTTATCAGGATCAAGAGAGCAATTGTGACTTGTCGTGGGTGAGTTTCGTTAGTTCTCTCATTGTCGGAAGAAAGTCGCGATCAAAAAACTTGAAATTTAAAAATATATTCTAGAAGAATCAGTTTTTTGTTACCTGTGATAAAAGCTTTGCTTCGAAAATGCTCGCTCTGATGTTTATCAGAATGACCGTAAACTAAGTGAGAGAGTTGTCTTGCGAGTTAAATCGGAACACAGAAATGTAAATCAAAACGTGACGCAGACAGAATTCAACGCCACATTGCGCATACTGTGTATTTTGACTTGTAAGCAACGTCGTGAGTCAACAGTCTCTTCTAGTAACAGTAACTTTCCTCGCGAATTCACACACGTCGTTTATGATGAAGTAGTTTTGTCAATTAAACGACGACGTCTCTGACTCACTCGAGAAATTCGGTGACATAGTGCCGGGAACATTTGGACCATTCCCATGGAAAAGTATTGTCGTCCAGCATGCGAGACATCACGTTGTGCAAACCGGTGCGATCTCTGAAGCCCGTGCACTTGGTGTCGTCGTCGTGCGGCATGTTGAGTCTGTAAATCGCGTCGAATCAATTTTTTCCACGTGAATAGTTTTTTTTTTTTTTTTTTTTTTTTTTTTTTTTTACGCAAAAACAAAGAGTAATTGCGTTAATCGCACGTACACGTGACCGATCTCGTGCGCTATGGTAAACGCCGCGGCTAATCCGTTATCCTGCACGATGGCGCACGAAGATCCTGACGAGCACATCCTGCCCAGCTCGGCCAGTCCAAGAGTGTCGCAACGCTTCTGACTCGGATTGTGGCACAGATTTTCTCTAAAAATTTCGTTTAGATTTACGCGCGTTCAATAGAATGCGCGCGCCTGTTTTTTTTTTTTTTTTTACGTATTTCCGTCTGCGCACCTGGTTAAAAGAAGCGCGGTATCGTGATGCTCCGGGGACGGTTCGTCCGGATTATTGCGTTTCTGCCACTGACAGAATCGCTTCAGCATCTCAGCCGCGGCGATACCGTCGCTCCCGCTGTGCTTGTCGCCGAACACTTCGTCGGTTTTCACGATCTTCATCACGGCTATGCTCACGGGATTGCCGATAGATTGGTCCTTGTAAATCCGTGAAACCTGTCTTTCCAGGAAGACGGATAACAATACATCTGGTAAATTAAGTTACAAACACATATATCCAGCATTTATAAGAATAACGAAAAATAAGTAGAAAAAAAAAAAAAAAAAAAACGTAAAATATTATAGTAACATTTACAACAACAACAATAATAATAATAATAATTGGATAAGCTCGTGAAAAGATGAAACGAAGTATTATAGGGCTTGCGTTCGTATTTGCCCTACTAGGGGAGAACGGGGTCACGGCGCTCGGCGGGATCGGACCGCGCGCGATCACCTCAATTGCAAGAATTCCAAAGAATATGTTATTTTATTCATCTAATGTTTTACCTCATATAAAATTTATTTAAAATAATGCAGCATTATGCGTATAATATTCCAAAAAAGATACGTTTGATAAAAAAAAACCAATTTATCATAAGGATACATTTTTTGTGATTGTCATTACCCCGTTCTCCCCTACTCTGTTTCAATAACAATAATAATAATCATGTATAACTCCATTTAAAAAAAACACACGCACAAGCGGATTTGTGAAAGTAACTTCTCGCTATTTTCCGACAAGGTGTGGTCTCTTCGCACAGAGAGAGGATTCGCCGTATAAATGGCACAGCCTACACCGCGAATATATTTAAAGACAAAAAGGATTGCCTATATACCCACCGTGCTCATCAAGACGAGAATATAACTGACTAAGCCGCTTCCGTGATACGCCACCATTTTCGCATCGGCCACCACCATGATTTCGATGAAATATTCTCGCGGTAGAGCACGCCGCGGTCTCCAAGTCATGAAGGGATCCGAAGAGTCTTGAACGTATCCCTCAATTTCCCGATGTGAGCCGCGCTCGTGTTCCGCGCTGTAATAACTGACATCCGTGAAACACACACCGCGTATATGTGAACGCATTTACACACAACAAACACAGCGAGTTCAAAGTTGAAACAAAAAAAAAAAAAAAAAAAAAATGCGCGTAACAAAATGCCGTCTCGTCAAGGTAGAGACAATTTTGATTTTTTTGTGTTTTCTTTTTTAGCGACTACGTTGAATGAAATCGCGCGCATTACTTTTTTTTTGCGAACGTTTCACGTTCGGATTTCACGTTTGGATATCCGACATCGATACGTGACCGATTTATATATATTACCTGTCATCGTAATCCAACGTTTGAAAAACATCTCGGCGATACTTGTTCCGTTCCGCGAGCCGTCGTCGTTCGCATTCCTCCTCTTCCTTTCCCATCGAAAATCGCTCCAGCGATGCAGTTTTCTGGGTTAATGATCTACGCTTCCGCGAACGCTCCCCGACGTAAATCTTATGAGAGGAACTATCGTCCATTAACGGAGAAGGGACGTCATCCGAGTCGTAATCTACTGTAGACATCAGAAAATGCTGATTGTGACCTGGCGTCTAATAACTCTCTCGAGAGAGAGATAACGAATTTAAAGAAATCGAAAAGAGATATTCTCCTCCCGATATTTTTTTCTCCGCTCTCTTTGTTCGCGTCGCGTATTGTTCCATTTGCGTGTTTCGCGAGTTCACAAAAATCGCACGAGGTGAAAAAGACAAAAAAAAAAAAAAAAAAAAAAAAAAAAACCGAATCATCGTCAGTCGACTTGCAATTCGCAATTTTCTTCAAATGGCATTCGCGTATGTTAACTGTCGATGTTGCTTTCCGGGCAAAGTACGTGCGTCGCCAAGCTGTCTCGATGGACCAGCTCAGAAATCCGCCCAAGGGAAGACGTAAATGTCTGAACCTGTTTTAAGTGGTCGCGCGAGTATGTATGTATGTACGTACGCGTGAGAGAGAGCGAGAGAAGAGAGATGCGACGTTGTTTTTTTCGAGCCCTGTGAAGCATGTGAAACAAACTGTGACGGCAGGCAAATTGCTGGCGCGCGAGGGCGATTCTCGTCCTACGCGCGCCGAGTCCGGGTCTCTTTAACGTTGGACAAACAAAAAATAATGTTATAATAAAAATTTCTCTCGCTCGTCTCTCTCACGTTTTCACGTGAAAAAAAAAAAACGTCTCTTTCTCGAGTTGCGCCGTGTGTGCCAATACACCGTTAGAGAGATCGCGCGCGAACGAAAAGCGACGAGAGTATATCTCGAACACAATCGCTTGGCACGAGAGAGAGAGAGATAGAGAGAGAGAAAAAGAGAGACGAGTAATTTGGCGCTTACCTATTACACCGCAATTGTGACTTTTGACCTCGTCTCGGAAAATATCGAAGCCGGCACGACCGTTCGAGTCCGATGGTACCGCGGGTACGCGGTAAATCGCGTGCTGCAGGGATGATCCGAGAGAATCCTTGTCGTTCTCGCGCCAATTCTCGGTAGGTTTGATAAAGTAGCTCCCCATCGAAGTCTTCATGTGACCGGTCTAGAAATAATGACGAAAAAGTTTGTCACAAGTGCGCGTGAAGATCTGTTAAAAGAGCCTTCATGTTTACAGGTAGATGAAAAACACAAAAAATCGACGCAACTGGATTAATAATCAACCAGTGAGGAAAAAGGAATAAAAGATTGTAATGTTTCTTTTTTTTGTAAAATAGTAAAACAGCAGATCAGATTTCCATACAAACTGTCTTCGAAATTCACTTCAAAGTGTTTTGTGACTATCACACACGATTGATAAAAAAAGTAAAAATATAAAAATAAAAAAAATAAAAAAAAATTAACCATCTGCTTTTCTCAATGTCGGAAGATTTCCGAGAGACGAGATTATTGTATCTCAAACGGATTTTCTCGCTGGAGAACGTTATACGTATCGGAGAACTTACTTCAAATTCGGACTGAACTTGTTTCTTTCACGCGATTGAACGAAAATTACGACGAAATTATTTATAAACAAACAGCGCCAACTTCGTGCAATTGAATTCGGAATATTGCGCTACGTATTTGCGTAAAAGACGAGGATTCTGTTCTCTCGGGTTTACTCTCGGCTCTCGTTTATTTTAAATCGCGGCGACTTATAATCGCGATGCTATTAGGAGAGTGTTATTTACAAAACGTGAGCGCGCGCCGCCACCCGTTGTTATCCTATCCTACGGAACTTTCGATACGCGTGTTAACGCGTCTTGATTAAACATTCTGACGGAGATGAACTCTCCTATCTATTTGTTTTTACGAAATATACAGAACCCTCTCCCGCGCACGTGCGCACGTGCGTTGCGCGAACCGGGATAGCCGAGTAACGCAGCGCCTCAAGTCTGATTTATATCAAATAGGCACTTTACATTGTGTGGGTTGTGTAATATCGCGAAGAAAGTTTCAACACAAGAATGTGTGTGATTCAGTCATGTCTATCTTTTATAATGATGTATCTTTGTTTTAATAGTATCTTTTCAACCCGATAACAAAATTTATATTCAGAGCGTCTGCTTTTTAAATCTCACAATTCTCTGTCGATCCTTAAAAAAAAAAAGAAATAAAAGAAAATAGACCGGTAGAAGTCTGAAACACCGTTGTTGTATGTTGTTATATACATTTGTTATTTAATTACACGATTGTGTAATTTCGATTCAAAATCGGAGAAACAAAACATTTATAAAAAATAAAATTTATAAAACACACAACCAACGGTCTTTGGATTTCCTATTGGTTTTCCTCCACTTCTTTTTTTTATTTGTTAAACTTTTGAAGTCGTTATCGTATTAGATTGTTAAAACAAGTTTCATCGACACGTTTTCCGGTCTCCAATTAAACAATTATCAGATCAATGTAATTTAAATAGACGTTAGACGTATTAGACCATTAGAGAGACAGTCGCGTCGCGCCGCCAATTCTCGATTCAATCTGCTCGATTCGCTCTGGTGTTTGCCATTTGCATTCCTGCAAGCGCACGCGTCTATTCCGTGGCACACAAAGACCGACTTGAGGAGTTTACCAGGAACTCTTGGCAAGAAGATCTCGTTTTTCTCGTTGTCTCTTTTTCCTCATATTTCCGTCTCCGCTTCATTTTTTTTTTTTTTTTTTTTTTTTTTTTTTTTTTTATCCCTGCTCCGTTCTCTGCTCATTCATCTCCCGTTTTACCCTTTCGATCAACTGACAACTAGCCGATGACGAATATTAGAAAGAATATCATTTCGCGCCGCGCAAGGAATTCGTGGCGCGCGCGCGTACGAAAAAGCGTTCGAAGAATTAATTTTTTGAATTAGTTTCACATCGTTTTCTTACGACAATTTGTGTAATTTACACAGTGAGAATGTTGCGCATTTACGTGCAACTTTTATTGCGTTGTCTTGTGAATCGAAGTTCGCACGCACACAAAAATATATCGTCTACGTGCAAAAAATTACTCACCAAGTCTCTTTGCGAATACGAAGAAGATATGATTTTTTTGCGTGTGTTTTTACGAAGACGAAAATAAAATATTACACCGCGTGAAAAAAAACAAAAACCAAAAAAAAAAAAAACTACCGCCGATCGCACCAAGCTCGACTATAAAACCGCTGACTGCAGCTTGTTCTTGACACTTCTCTAACCGCGCGTTTGTTTCCTAACATGTGCAGTTTTGTTTGCACATGGCGATGATTTCCGATTCCCACTGCGCGCTTTTATAGACGTCTATGTTTACGTGCCGAAACTATGTGCGAGATACCAGCCACGACGGCGACGTTAAAAACGATAGCAAAGTTAAAAAACGACCGAGAGCAATAATATTAAAAAAAAGATGAAAAAAATGGAGGAGCAAACAATTGGTTGTGTTAGTGCGATATTCAATTTTAGTGTTACAACACGTTATCCAATTCATATATATATATATATATATATATATATATATATATATATATATACATCACGATTTTAGATTGTTACAATACGTTGCGAAGACACCGTTTTCCTCTTCGGTTACAAGATATGTAAATGACAAGGTCGTGAGAAGTTTATATTCGCGCGCGCCAACATCCAGCCAGTATCTCGCTCATATCTCGGTTGACATTTTGTGACGAAGATCAAAAAATAATCCAACAAACATTTCGTCCATTAATAAATTTCATGTCTTCAATTAATATCCCAGAATAGTATCTATAATTAAAACAGAGTGTTCAGTGATATTTGCACAAGATTATCGATATCCTTGCAGCAAGTATGCTATTAGTTATAAATGTATGTGTTTAAGAAATAATAAACTCAATTTTTTTTTTTTTTTTTTTATTCTTATTCGCAATTGCACCTGAGGAGCGTGTTTTCATTATATGTTTCATTATCGAGAGAAATGTTCCGAGCACACATTCTGAGAACTGAATACAAAAATATGCGGGGACATGACGTGCGTACCTAACGTTTCATAGGCAGAACGAATCGTTAAATTAGAAGCGGTCGGAATATACCGGACGCTTGGAGAGAAGTATCTTTCGTTTAAATAACGCTTAATATGCGTAAAAATCAAGAGAGAAACATAATCAAAATAACGTTAATCATAATAAAAATAGTCTGCGTTCAGCGTATTCTATAAAAAAAAAAAAAAAAAACAAAGACAATAAACTGTGAGCAATGTGGTATGAGAGAAAATGTGTGTGTGTGTGTGTGTGTGTGTGTACGTGTGCATGTTTTAATATATCAATATTGATCATAAATTTTAATTCCCAAGAACAGTAAACCTTTTATCTTTATATTTCTCTTTTTACAAGATCTGTACACACACGAAAGAAAATTATAAATTTACACGCAAAATATATGAAGCAATAATCGAAAATATCAATCAACAAGAATAATCTCAGCTTATCAGTCATTTCCACAAATAATATATTGTAATTAAGACAATTATACACGGAAGCTCAAAAATGATCAAAGTTGCACATATTTTTGCTTAAATTTATTAATCGAAAAAGGTTATTGTGCATAGTTATTTTTGAACGAAGTATCGGAAGAAAAAAAAACAAATTAACAAAACTGAGCAATTCCGAGAATTATACTTTCGATCCTCTTATGCAGTTTCGCCAAATGTCATCACACACTGACAAAGTGTATCCCTAATTAATTCTGCCTATTATACATTCCTGTCAAGGTCGTCGGGCCGATCCGAAAACTGGTTGTATCAGCTTAAATCATAAACTCGCGGATTTTTATTCTTACAATATATCCTTGCCAAAAAGAAAAGACAAGACTATAATACTGAGAACAATTTGTAACATTACAAGAGAAAGAAGATAAATTCTAAGATTAACGGTTTTGAATCGAGTTACAAACAACGGAAAAGCTGAAAGAGCAATAGGGCGGGATGAAGAAGACAAAGCAGATGTGTATGTTGTGAAAATTTAAAGAAAGCGAACACAGAATGTATTTGAACGATGGTGATTCCATTAGCACGCGAACCCGGAGATCCGTTGTCTCTCGAGCAGAATCGAATAATTAGGTCGAGTGGTTTCGACTTACTATCGGGAGTAAAGACATCAAGGCTCGGCTTGAACCGAGTGCTTACTTCTTCCTATTTCTACGTCTGAAACAGACGTCCGATTGATTACTCTAACCTTGCCGTGGCTAAATTAAAGCGTGACCCAAATCGCCATGAGGAACGTCAAACAAGCGAAAAGTATAACATCTCCTATTTTATTCTATCGTTGCTTCAGTCCTTTCTCGCCAAGAGATCCAAGAATGTAATTCAGAAAAAGTATAGCTTCGGATCTGATCTTGAATTGGAAAAAAGGATATCAAGTTCACATTTCAAATAGAACATGTACAAGAGTCAAAACGCAGATATCGAAGCGAGAAACACAATCAGTGTGTAATAATGATTACACTTGTTGCCAATTTTTCTTTTTTATAATTTCAAATATTTTTGCGACGCTTCTTCCTATGAATAAAGAAATAAACGCGAGAAAAATTCTAGCAAACACAATCGGTCGAGAATCGGAATGCTAAGAAAGTTATTATACGATGCGAAGATATCATCTCGCCGTTCATCAGAATACTGATCTGTATTCGCGAACGCCACTTGAAACTTCTCGCGCGATGTTTATCACTTTTTTTTTTGAAACAATAAAAACTATTTGTTTTAACAATTTCTCACGTAACAAAAAGGAAAACAAATATATATATATATATTTGTTATGTATATATATATATATATATATATAGGCAATTGTTTTAAGTAGACTTTTAATTAACTCTCTCGTGCTGTCGAACGGAACAGAAGAACACAGAGAACGGTCTGTCTGTGATTTATCGACTTCGTAATCGATCGGAATTAATTGGCGAGCGCGACGCATATAAAAAAAAAGAAACGAAGACGACGTTTTCTAAAGCTTTAATCTCTGACTCACCATTCCGTGACAAAGACTGACACTAACCGCTGAACTTGGATCACCATCTACTGACCCGCTATAGAAGCAACCCAATTGGTGACCGGCGTGCTCTCGTCTGCTTGTGTTCTCACTCATGTGCGTCACCTGCACCGTCATCGTGTACAGACTAATTAATTAAGACGCAGAATATTGTGATAGAAGAAAACGATTGCTGCGATCAAGTTGGTTTCTTACTCTTATGTCGGGAGACACGAAACTGGCGTCGTGCGCCAATCGCAGCCGAAATCGACGGCCGAACGCGGTGAATTCGTATTGCGGATGGGGGTCCCAGACCTCGGCCGACGCGTGACGAAAATGGCCACTGTGATGCCTCTTGGCCGTGGAAAATTCTTCGGCTAAAATCACAAGAAACGTCTCAGTTTTTGTTCTAGAAAATAACGAATTCAAGATTCTACGCGCGCACAGAGATATTCATTTAGCATTGAAATTCTTTCATACCGTGTGTGAACGCACACGTGCCTACGCTCTTACAACTTTAAAGAAATTTGTTAATTACGTTTTTTCTAGATTTGTTTTTTTTACTTCTTCTGTTAATTTGCGAACGATTGTTCGATGATTCTACTTCCGTTGTTTTTTCAAATTCACGCGGATTTCGGCAAAAACACATCATCAAACACTTACGCGGATCTTCATACTGATTTTGACTAATTTTCAGTGGCTTCACGTATTCCAGATTGCTTTTGACCGGCGGCAACACGTTGATCGAGTCATTGCGTCTCTTCGTAATCTGTACATCCTCTGGAAGTACTAAAAAAAAAAAAAAAAAAAAACAGAAAAGATAATTGCATAACTTTTTTTCTTCTAAGTCATCCTCTGAATGTAATTCGTGTCTCCGTGAGTCGTTTTCTCTCTCTCTTCCTCTTACTTGTAATTTATATTACTATTTTTTTTTAAATTATTCTGTACGCACGACTGAACGTTCTCTGTGTGTGTGTATGTATTTATAATTAGTAGTCTAGATTTAAACGGTGGAACGTAAGATACGTGTATAAGACCTTGAGGAAATTGTTCGCGGAACAGCAGCACACAAGCATCGCCGCCCCGCCTAATTATATCGGGGCTCTATACACACCTATAACGTCGGCCTCGGTAGAGCACGGCGTCTGGAAAAACACATAGAGGCACACACGCACGGTTCTATAATTACGCACGACAGTTTTCACGAGACGTATCAAATGTCAGTTCTGAATCACACGGGTCATGAGATAAACGTGCGCCGAATTTACGGTCTTGTCTCGCATGTGCGGCGTACAACGCGCGCGTTCACTCTCTTACACGTGTGTGTGTGTGTGTGCGTGTGTGTGTGTGTGTATGTGTGTTTAATCTTTTCTTCCAATAAAGTATCGGAGAAACATATGCGACGCGGAAAGAGAGAGAGAGAGAGAGAGCTCGCAACACACAAAAGACTTTATATATATATATATCTGCTTTAAAAAAAAATCTATTTCGCTTGCGAAACAGATAACGCGCAACTAGGCCTCTAACATTATCGCGCTTCTTTCTTTACGGCGATAGATATGCGCGAAACATAATGTGAAGAACATTGTGTGCCGCAGAAACTGTAAAATCTACAAATCTACAAGTCTTGAAATAAACTCGGGCGGGGCGCGCAAATCGCCATCTGGTTTCGATAAGCTGATTAAAGTTAATTTAATCAATTGCGCAAAGAGAATAATTTTTAAATTAAGAAATGATAGAATACGAAATACGGATGGTGATACGTTTGACAAAAAATAATCGCTCTCGTCGACGAGCTTCGTGTCGGGGGAAGCTCCGACGCGCTGAAAGTTCCCCCCGAATTGCTTTTCTTCAATTTCCACGTGTGAGAAAACTAAATTTTCTCCCCCCCTCCCCCCCGAGAATTGCGAATAAGTTTAAATTCGTTTGACAATTCTTCAGATAATATACAAACAAACAAAAATTATTACAGTTGATTAACAAAAAAATATTCACAACGCCGACGAATTGAAAATTACACGACGAATGTGGTTCGTTGACCCTCGTCGCGGCAACGCATTCCGTCGGCTGAATTATTACAACCCGAAGTGAAGTTTCACAGCCGTGTCGTTGCACGATTGTATGTAAACACTTATACAACGCACACATACAACGTAATATCGTAAAAGATTACGGGACAATGAGAGAGAGACACCGTGTCATGTCCGTAGGAGATTGAGCCCGGTTGCGCAAAATGCAAAAACACGTAGGCGACACAGTTGAGAGTGCGCTTGATTGAAACACGTATACACGTATGTGTTGTGCAAAATTCCGCCGCGCGTTACAACAGGAGGAGACATTGAAATAAAGCGAGGTGATTTGAGAAACGCGAACTATAGAGACCCGAAAGATACGATAATTCCCGTATATATAGTTATAGCGACCGCTCGTTTATCGCAAGGAGAATATTCAGTGCATACGACGGATTACCTTAAAGACTATCTATATGTATGCAGCGTTGTGTACATATCCGCACGAGCATAATAATCGCAGTCATCATTCCTCATAGTGTGTGTCTTAATAGGAACGCGGAGTATAATATGCGGCGTCCTTTACGGTATATGCGTTAATCTCGGCCGTGAAGTCTCTAATGGTGCGTTACACGCGATAATGAGTATTTTCTTTATGAGTATTTTTTCTCGTCGAATCTTTAAGCTTCGCGCAAAAATCGTATCTGGATATAAATATTGAGAGATTCTTATCGTGACGCGACTTCGATAAGTTCTCTCTCGTTGCAGCCTCTCTTCTCAGATTTAAATTTTCTTGTTTGTTTGAATGGGTTCTTGACGATATTTCAAAAATTTTCCGGTTGTAGTTGGGCAAGTGTGAACCATTTGCAGGATATTTTGCAATAAATAAATCTAACAATAAATAAATCTACTGCGACAGTAATGACGAAACTCACACATTTATAAACAGACCAAATTTAAACTATTTTAACTTATAATTCAACCATAAAATGTTCGTCATTTGATGAATCAGAAGGGAGTGTTCTATAAAGAAATCCACTGAAGAAGGTTGAAAATAAAGCCGTTTGGAAAATAAAATTAGCAGATTTATTTATTGCAAAACACACTGCAAATGGTTCACACTTGCCCAACTACAACCGGAAAATTTTGAATTAACTTTTCTTTATTAAAATTTTTTTTTTTTTTTAACGAGATACCAAGACGTTAACGGTATTGACGAACTTCGCAAATGACCCTTAGTCTCGTATCCGATGTCTCGAACAAATACGAGAAAAACGCGACTCGCACACGCGACGTTCGCGCGATATTCTTCTATTCGCGCAACATCTTTCCGTTACGATACAATATAATTTAGAACAAAAAAAATTCACGGCGTACGTGTGCGCCGTTGAAACTGCACGCGATATTTAACGTTTACGAGGTAGGCGCGCATGCCTACCAAATCCAATACATATCGGATTGCTTACGTTTCTGGCACGTCGTGCGATGACGTATTTTCTGGTTGTACGTGCGTACGTTCGGTTCTGTCAAAAACTGAAGCGCGATTACCCCATTTCGACTTCCCGAGTTCATATACATACAATTTATATATATATATATATGTATGTATATATAAACGTAACGTAATCACATCCGTGAAAATACTACGGAAACGTGTGGAAACGAATCAGGCTGCTCTTTCGCAGGCGCAACACGAACATTGTTGTATGATTTGATTCGCGCTGAAAATTCCCAGAAGAAATTTCCTCTCGCGCTTGTACAGTAGCAATTATTGTTTCCGTTCCACTCCCGATACGCTATTAACACGTCAATCGGGTAAGTGTCTTCCGTGCGTCTATTGTAAATGCGGAGATAACAGGCGGAGATAAAATTACATTTGTATAACATTTGAACTCCCCGACACTGCTTGCACGCAAACGGTTTTACAGCTTGTTTTTTTCTTTTTTTTTTTTTTTTTTCTATTTCTCTGGTAATGACAGGCAAATTTTTTTCCCCTTATCGCTCGTATAATTGAAACCTTAAAATGTTCAAAGACATCTATCGTTAAAATGTCAGCCTTCAACCTGTCAGATGGATATCGATGTGATATTACTAACAAATGCCAAAGTTGCAACATTGCATAAAAGGTACAACGTATAAATTGTATAATTACATCTCCGTGATTCATGAAGAAAAACCTAACCGGAGATTAGCCAATCATTAAGAGAATGCCTCGTCGATCCCCGGTACTTTTCCACGTCACTTATAATGCGTTTTTTTTTTTTTTTTTCATTGATGTGATCGAGAATTGAAAGACTCTTCAATGAAACTCTATTCGCGCGAAAACGAGGAAGTCACCGGTTGGCGATCGATTTTACCGGGTTTTTTGGAGAAAACAGAATTCGTTCGTCGTCGAAACTTTTGTGACGGAACTGAAACGTCCGTCGAGGACGTGCGCTGTGCTGTTTTGTCATCTCAAGAATATCGCGAGATGTTCGGCGAGTTTCAAACTGTTATACACCTCGCGTAACGTGCGTTCTTGTTTCGCCACAGTGTTTCTAGCAATACGGCGTTTGTTGCTTATGTAATATAAAAATAGTTTCAAGTTGCACACATATACATGTATACTCTATCAGTGCGTGGTCCGAAAAAAATTTATCCGTATCGATTGGAAAATCTGCGCGATTGCGTTACTGTGGGACAATATTGCCCCCTTCCTCCCATATAAAGGAGCCATTCTCATTAATATCAGACCACTTCTCTTTCGCATATAAATGTTTACGCTACAAACCGCTGCAAGTTGGCGTGGAGTGACAACCGAGGAGACTTTCTCGCCTTCCTCCGCCGTTTACCAAACGGATACTTCGTAGGAAGAAGAACGCCCGCTTGTATGTTGATGTGTGTGTGTGTGTGTGTGTGTGTTTTGCATGTTGCCGTTCAATTGCCGTACAGAAACGCGAGCCTCGACAAAAAGCACCGAGAGAGAGAGACTGTGCATAAATTATTCTGTAACAGCAAACAATATTGTCTATTGAGGAAATAATCGAACGGGATACTTTTTGCTGCGTGTGAATCAATCCGACGGTCTTAGATTGGTGCAAAAATAATTGTAGATTTTTTTAAACTCTCATGAAACCGCAATTACATTTTCAGTCGTCAAAGAAGAACGGTTTAATTTATAGAAAAATTTGAACAAAAAAACTGAACATCCATTCTATTTGATTGAAACTAAAATGCTTTCGTATTAATAATATTGCCAGACTTGGTCAATAATAATTGCCTGACATCTTTGGAGGCACACTTTCCACTAGCTCAAAGTATGCCTCCAAGACATCAGGCAATTATTGACACAGCGACCGGACACACTATTGATATAAAAAATACATTTTTTCACGCACACAGTCGAGTAGAATGGATGTGTGTATTTTCGGTTTGAAATAATAGTTTTGTTTTTTTTTTATAAGAGTTTTCTTATAAATCACTTATTTCTTTGACAGACTGTAAATTAAATCTTCTCGCAAATATTTTCAGAAATGTCGGAGACGAATCGTGCCATAAAAATAAAAAGCTACAGAGACATTAATATTCTTGACACACATTATCGCCACGAAATTTTTCTAGAGGAAACATTTTATAGTTTCAATCGAAGCCGAATAAATGTATATATTTTCAGTCTTAAACAATAAATTTTCCTCTAAATCAAACTTTTTCAACAATAAATTTTTCCGTAAATCAAACTGGTCGCGTTCTTCTTTGTGACAGACTGTATATATATCTTTTCACCTACCTAATAAAAAAAAAAAAAAAAAAACCTAATATAAAATAAAATTCTCAAGCTCTCGAAAACAATCCGCGCGCAATTAAACGCTGAAGGTGTAATGATCTTTCTGAAGTGTTTTACAGTAATTGAGCGCAGAAAAAAACAGCACAGACAGCGAGCGACGAACGTGGGGACGTGGGGTTCAAGAGCGCGCGTCGAACGTTACACCGCGGTCCGGAGGAAGCAGCTGTGGCTCCGGACTATTTTGATTCGATCTTGGATATAAATTATGGTTGCGATATATATTCGCTGTGTGCAACGAAGCACACAGGTTCTGTAGTTCAGTCAGTTGGTATGTTTACGAACACGCGAGCGTTAAACGTCTGGCGGCAATATCGCGCCCCTTCTGTGCATTCACGACGTTGAGACTCTACGCGAGGTAAACCCCTTTTCTCTCTTTCTCTCTCTCTCTCTCTCTCTCTCTCTCTCTCTCTCTCACACAGAGATTAACAGCGCTACAAATATATCGGTCGACTCTCAAGCGGATTACAGATACAACGTTTCGCGTCAACGTATTTATAAATAAATCCCCGGAGTTTACAGTTATAAGAGTCAAACAAAGAATTCTTTCTTATTTGTGGAATAACGGAGAGATAGTCGCACAAAGTTTATTTCAATCCTCGCTTCCATAGGCGACGCTGCTTGTTCACGTGCGAGTTATTATACTTCGACTTGCTGCATTTATTGCTGCGTCATATACCGCTGTATATTAATACATACATATACTCTTGAGAAAATTTATTTCACACATTTTACGGAGAAAACGCACGCGCGCGCGCGTTTGCGCGAATTAAATACACCAGCTCTGACTCGATGGTCAATCAAGGTGATCTCGATCAAAGGACAACGCAACAACAACGTAGAGAGTAGCAGCTTGCAATACAACTCGGAAAGTAGCGTAAACGACGTGGCAACGTTAACACACATACACACACACACACACACACACACACACACGTGTGCACACGGGACCAGTTTTTGTACTATTCTATTAGTGAAATCGGTTTTATTTCAAGCCGCGTTTCTCGAAGGCGTTCGAAAAGAAAACACGTGCGCGGGCAAAAGATATGTTACATTATACCTTCCGAGGACGAAGTTGCGATTCGCGCTAAACGCGTGACATTACCCGCATTCGCTGACCACGCGGCTGAAACACGAGTCTCTGCGATGCACGCACTTTTCGGCTGGTGTTGGCTACGCGGTTGGCACTTAGGCTCCTCCGCACTTAGCGTGGTTTTTCGCACACATGTGAAGGATCAGATTTTTCACACAGGTCTTTTCTTTCTTCTACGAAACACCTATGTGCGTTATTGGCAGGCTCATTCCGATTGACACTCGCGTGGAGGAGGACGCGCGATGTTTTCGTATCATCACACCCGGCCCCACGCGAGAGAACGCCTTTTTATCAACGCGCCGCTATATATATTACGCGTCGTATGCGTTTTAACGAAATGAATCTCCCACAGCAACGCGCGTCGACCCGCGTGTAAACGTTTTTATCTACCTTACCTCATTACAATGATATCGCTTCGTAGAACATAACGTTCGAAGGGAGAGAGAGAAAACGAGATCGAGTGTCTCTCGGGATGTTCTTTAAGCCCGCGTTTCACTCTCGCGAACGTGTGTGGTAATTGGGCGTGTGATGAAAAACATGTTTCGAGAATTCAAGAGGTTGATAATAATGTATCACCGGACCGATCGTTGTTCGACGATTTGAGAAACAACGCGTTGCTGCAAAACGGAATTACCACCAAAAAAAAAAAAAAAAAAAAAAAATCAAAAAGTTTTCTTAAAAAAAAACTTGATGTGTTGCGAGAAAAATACATCAACGCGCATCATCTCAATCCGCGCGTGCTGTTTCGCGCGTTCAAATTTTCGCGTCGCTTGTGAGATAAATTTTTTTTTTTTTTTTTTTTTCAATGCAAAAAATTGACATTTCCTTTTTCGTGTGTGAAGAAATAATTGTGTTAGGACATGAGCAGGGACTCACCGTCGTTCGTGAAATTGCGCTCGGTCGAGTCAAACGTCGTAACCAGATCCGTCTGCTTCTTTCGCGTTTCGTTGCCGGCGCGCTCGGCCGTTAAATTGCTCCGACCGAGGTTTTCAATTCTGTCGACGGTGCGCACGTCCGACCACAGGATTACCAGCAGTATCACGAGCAAAACGATGGCGAGAGCCGCGCCAATCGTGGCGACACGATTCGAAATTCGCGACATCTCTGCAATTTGCGGCGCCGATACACGTGCAGCATCTATACTCCGCGCGTTTCTTTTTTTTTTTTTTCTTCCCGCGCGTAATATTCTTCTTTTCTCCAAGAGAAGAGCGTTCCCTCTCGCGCGCGCGTTTTATCCGAGGGATCGTGCTTGCATCTCTCACGCCCGCGTCGCTCGCCTCACTCTGATCATCTCATTCCGAACTTACGTCGCGGAGACAACAATTATCGCGTACGGCAAACGGCTCGCGTCCCGGTCTCGCGTCCGGGTCTCTCCTCTCCGTTCGGCTCTCTTTCGCGCGCTTATAAAACTCTCATAACAGTCGGCGATCTCTCAAGGCTGTCCCGCCCCCCGCAGCCTCCTCTCAAATCTCGTTTTCCTCGCGAACGACGACTCGTCGACAGAATGCAACAACCGGCATCGGTTGTAACATCTATTGGAGGATGGGCGCGCGCGGGATCTCTCGCTACGTGGTTTCCTCTTATCTTTCACGAAAGACCGCGCGATCATGTGAATATCATCGCTTGCGCATATCGGGATTATTATTCGACGGACAACAAACGGTCGAACAACGGAGTCAAAACGCGTCGTGACGATCGAGCGCTTTAACATTCATGGACGGATATCACAATTCATCAGCCAATACGTGCCCGACGGTTCAGCGTTTTACGATCGTCGTCGGTTCTTGGCCTGTGCGAGCGCGGCGGTTTCGTGCCTCACGTGGACGGAAGTTTAGCTTTATTACGCCAGATAACTCGCAGTCCTCCTCTCAACGCTCGTGCGAGAAACATTTCATCTGAATGGAGAAGCGCGGCGGGGTGTTGCCGATCGACTGACTGAGTTGTGCGACGATCGGGTGATGGTCCTCAAACGGGGCGACTGGTTCCGACGACGCGCGACGAGTAAATTTTTCAAACTCGCTGTTGAGCAACGCTTTCCTGAAATCAAATGTTAAATCATCCTTTAATCTTCCTCGTAAAAGTTATATCGCCTTCAATAGTTTTTTTTTTTTTTTAGCAATTTCAATTCCAAGCGTGAAATTAATCGCGAAACGTAAACTTAGGAATCTTAGACTTTTGAAGCGTTGTATAAAAAAATAGTAAAAGAAAAACCGTTATAATCTATCGTCACCAAACGCAAAAAAACTAACTAGATTGCGACAATTCTGCGCGCAAATATTTTTTAAAATGAATGATAACATAATCCGAAGAAGAAAATTCATCATAGATCTTCGCGCGTGTTAGGCCACTAAATAAATAGTAGCAAAAAGATTGGGAAATCATTTTTAGTCTTGGAAATATCATCTGCGCCAAAGAAATGGAAAAAGATATTCATTCATTCAAAAACGCATTTGCAACCCATTTGAGCTAAAACAGATTTACACGTTTATCATGCTGTAGTTGTTAGCCGGTTTAGGGAAGTGCTCCGGATATGACTGTCGCAGGGGTTTTTGCTAATCCGAAAACTGGGATTGAGAAAACGGCTTGCTACGGAAAGCGTTAACGACAATATAACGTCGCATTGGCAGAGGGATTCAACAACTGGAATGATACCTCTTGCATGTGAAGTCATTTGTTTTGTCAAACTTAACGCGGAAAAATCAATTCTTCTACAAGAAGAATCGTTAGGTGGGCGTGCGAAAACCAATTATCGCAACAGAGAGTGTCTCCGAGCGCAAATAATGAAAAAACTTTCAACGTTAGATCATGCTCATCGCGCTAAAAATATCGCGAATCGTTCCGGAAATCAATCAGAAATCCATTTAAGAAGACATTAATTAAAGAGTATACCGAAGATAAGGAAAGACTCAGAGGAGAGGAGTCTGTTAGCTGCTCATGAACAAAATGTATATTTGGCGCAAGACAATTGTAACGAGATCACAACATTAATTAGAAATCAGACTAAAGAGATTGATAAAAAAAATAAATCATTGAAGTAGCTTCAAGAAACTATAAAAACCCCAAGAGAGCAAATGTATTCAGTGATTTACAAGCAAGAGACAAGGAGCGAACTAGTCGGTTGCACGAAAAATCAAGAAACAATTAGAAACTACCACACACGGTCAATCACTGCAATATTGCAAATAACAGAACAGTGAAAAAAAAAGAACAATGCCAGTTGACCCGAGAAACGTATTTACAGAAAAAAATAAATAAATAACCTGTGTCACAAGCGCACAAATGTCTTCGCTTTTTAAATGTCGCTGACATAGCTAACAACCTGATGTAAATAAGCTTCATGATAAAATTTCTTATAAAGAGACAATTGGAACAAAAAAAACGAAATCATCATCTGAGTCATCAATTTCGATCTAATATTGCACGTCAATTTCAAAATGTGGAAACTAAATATGGAAACGTTGCAACACATACCGTGCGGATGGGGTTTCTTGCGTTTCTATAAAAGGTGACACTGCACACATGTAACTTGCAACTTGTCTTTGTCCAAGAGAGAAATAGATTCAATGATCTCTGTTTACATCCGGTAAATAATGTCGTTAGTAAAGAAAACTCGGAGAATGAATTCACCACAAATTTTGATAAATAAATAAATTTCTTTTTATAAACAACGCGTCTTTGTTTCGTCTAGAGAAACTAGACATTGTTGTTTGCGACGGAAAATAAGCACGTGAAAGAGGATCTTTTGTCGGAGTTCTAATAAATGAAACAAAAAAAAAAAAACTTCTCTCCTTGTCTTCTTCGGGCAAGTGTTTTCCTGTTTTTTTTTCTTCTAGCGAGAAATTCGTGGATATCTCACCGGGGGGAGTAGAAGAGTTTAAATCCGCCGTCGCGCCGTCACATTGACGACCGGCCAAATGAGAAACGTAAAAAATGCTCAGCGTGCGGCTGCCGACCTCGGAATCTCGTAAGGTCTGGGTCAAACTATTCTTGTCGCACGTATCATACCGAGGTTGATCAATCGGTTAGACGATCGATGAATTTTTTTCCTCTTGAGTTGAAACCGCACACAATATCAACACAAAATATCCGTCAGATCTCGTTCTCGGATGTAATACACTTGTGTGTTATTGTGATTAAGAAACACACGACGACGATCGGCCGTCGATATGTCGCCGATGAATTAAAACTGTGTCGCGATTCCGCTCCACGAAGCAATTATCTTCAATAACGCGCGCGCGCGCGCGCGCGTGTGTGTCGATTGATGTCTGTCATTACAATGCCAATGTTAGCGCACGCATCGGCGATAATTGCACACGGTGTAACTGTAAAAAAGAAATGACATCTTACACGCACAGCGTTTAAGCGGTTGCAAAAGATCTAGCGTGAACGTGCGAACGAACGAGGCTCAGCGTTCGGAAATTTTCACGTCACGGAGGAAGAACCGAATAAAGCAGAGTAAAACATCACACATAGAAAAACTCTTGCACTTTTTTTTTTCACGGAACTTCGTGCAAAAAAATATTCGATTCGCAAAAGTTGCGAGTGAAGAAGAGTCGCGCGAACTTAAAGAGCTGAACTTATGTCTCAAATCTCACGCGGCCGTTCGACCGGCGACGAGTTTGTCCGCTTCGACAATTTGATACCGCGTATCTGTGTGTAAGAAACACACACAAAAAAAAAAAAAACAACTTTCCCTTTAATTCTCAAGAATTACGACTTGGACAATGTATTTTTGAAAAAAAAAAAAAAAATGCGAGAGAGAAACTCCTCGATGAGCGCGCACACACACACGCTTTGCCGATAAGCTCGTCGCAATTGTGGCCCCGTGCGTGCGCCGGGTAACGTACACATCGGTTAGTCCCTAAAGCCTAAAAATACAAATTTAAATATTGCGTAACGCGTCGGTGTCAGCGGTAACTACTCATTTTCACGAGTAACAGAGTTTCACGGAAGGTAAAGACACCCGTTCGAGAGAGCGACACGAGACTCGAGAAAAAGAAGAAAAAAAAAAAAAAAAAAAAAAAATAATTACACGAGGCCTCCGTGTCGCGGTGAGGATTCCTGTGTCGCCGAGACACGTTTTTTTTTTTTTTTTTTCAAACTCACTGGGCCTGTTTCGTCACGATGCTGCTTTCTTTCACGCTATTAGAGGAGTTTAATAACACGCAAATATAAATCGTGGGCTTTGTGCGACGAGAGGGACTTACCGTGGCCATAATCGAGCGCGAACTGTTACCTACTGAATAATCACCGACGAACAGAGAGAGAACATGAGATCGTGCGCGACTTCGATCCGAAGATTTTTGCAAAATCTCGGAGCGTCGATCGCGCGTCGTTGTCCGGTGTCTCTCGACGGTCAAAGCGGCACTGAAAGCGAAATCGAGAAATTAAGAAACAACGGGAATAAAGAAGCTCCGCTCGCGAGCGAGAGACGCGAAGAAAGAACCCGCGCACAGCGACGGCACACGGCAAACCGCCGAGCGAGCGACGCGTACGATCGCGCAAACCTCTACGAAAGGCACTTGCCTCGGACGCACCGACTGAAGTTCGCCTCGAGTTGCCCGAAGCGCCGTCCGTCGCGACCTCCTCCATTCCTCCACATCCTCCGGTTCGCTATGTAACAGCAGAGAGAGAGAAGAATGAGAGAGCGGCCAGGACCTCGATTTTTGAACAATTTGCGCATACGAAAGTCTATGGCACATGTGACATTAACAGTAGAGTTTCGTATATACAAAAGTTTTTCAAAAAATTAAGGCCCCGGGGCCCGATTCTTTAACTCACTCGTAAAAGAAACGTATGTCACAAACTCAAAGTTACAAGCGCTTTCTTGTAGGTTTTCAATATTTGAGCGCTCGCAAACTTTGAGTTTGCGTATACGTTTCTCTTACGAGTGAGTTAAAGAATCGGGGCCCCGGGGCCTTAATTCTTGAAAAACTTTTGTATACGAAAAACCATATGTACGAAACTCTACACACTTTTAATGTTACATGTACTATAAACTTTCGTATGCGCAAATTGTTCAGGAATCGAGGTCCAGGGCCTTAATTCTTGAAAAATTTTCGTATACGAAACTCTATTGTTAATGTCACACGTACTATAGATTTTTGTATGCGCAAATTGTTCGAGAATCGAGGGGCCCGATTCTTTAACTCACTCGTAAGAGAAACTCGTATGCGCAAAATCAAAGTTACGAACGCTTTCCTATAGGTTTTCAATATTTAAGCGCTCGTAATTTTGAGTTTGCGCATACGTTTCTCTTACGAGCGAGTTAAATTAATCGGGCCCAGGCCCTTCCCCCCTTCAGAGTTTTTACGATCGCTTTTCCGCCCCGTAAGCTAGCGCACGCATCACGGGTGATGCACATTGACAACTACGTAGCGATGACTACGAGCGACTTATCGGTACGTACGCTGTGTTCGAACGTGGACATGGTTCTATTCCGCGCTATGTGCACAGGTCCAAGTGTCGAGCAGGGATGCCAGACTCTGGCTGTTTGGTAGCATGCGGTAGCGTGGAGGGAATACGCACACACACAGCTTCAGACCCCGAAGCTCGGGTGCACACGTATACGGCATGAAGCTGTGTGCGTATCTCCTCCATGCTACCGCATGCCACCAAACAGCCAGAGTCTGGCATCCCTGGTGTCGAGTTGAGAAAGATTGAGCAGCCCGGCCAGCACCAAGAGCACCAAGATGATGGTGGGAGTACTCATACAAGCGAGAACCGCCGTCCGTGTGCGCTCGTGGAAGAGTGCAGACATATTATGTTCCGTCTCCTTTACACCAAGGCAGCTGTAAGGCGAGACACAAGACACGTTTAAGTTGCGCTTGTTGCGTACGACAACGTGAAATGCTTTCGCAAGATTTCTAGTCTTGGAAAAAGTACGCATAATATATAGTGATAATAATAAAACACATCAAGACGCATTACTGCGCGACAGACTGGGCTATCCTTACGCTGGATGCACGCTGATTAGCGGGATCTTTATTAATTATTATTTCGTTAATTATCGCGAATCTTGCAAAGTGGTACAGGATTTTTTGTCTTAGAATACTTACGAGCGGTTAGACGGCAATTATCAAACACCCTGTATATTTTCATATTAGAACCGGCTCAGTGGTCTCGCCTGGCCTGAGTGCCAGGGCTGCGAGCGGGAGGTTCCGAGTTCTCGAATCCACACTGTCGGGATTTTTTTGGGCCGGTCTCTTTCTAGCCGAGTTCATTGATTGAAAAAATCGAACTGAATCAGATCTCCAATTTAGTTTGGGTGATGGCGCTATACTACTTAAATTGAAAGCTAACCTGTTTTAATAAATTAAATATTATTAAACATCGACATTGAGAGAACTTGTTCATAATAGTTTTAATCTTTAAAATTAAGAGAGTGTGTGTACTTACCGTCATGACGAAATCATCGTGAAAGTAGCACTTTTTTATTCGCAAACATAAAAACGAAAAATTTAAATCAGAAACAACAGTCCCTCGCAACAGACTTATCTTACGCTGTATCAATATCTCTCAATATTATCTTACATGTTATCAAACATAACAATCGCGTGCGAGATTCGGTTACAATTCGGGTTAACGCACCAGTTAACGCAGAGTTCTCGCATTATTAAAGAACAGAAAGTGTTGACTTTCGTAAGAAACATTTCTATGCCTTTTGCCGCCAACTTCATATTGTTGACATGGATGTTTGGTATTCTCTCTCGTGCGCGTGCGCGAGTACGTCAGTCGATCACGTGACGGGAGTCAACGTACTCGCGCGTTTTTCAAAACGAATTTTTATACAAAGCGTACTAGTACACTTTTTATCATTTTTTCCCATCATTTCTCAGTTCTGTCGCAGAATTTGGTCATCAGTAACATTGATTAGAAACCAGTGGGAAAAATTGAAAGGGGAAAACACAGTGTTGTCGAAAAACGTAGTATAATATTCTAACATGTGATATAATTCCATGCGTTGAAGAATTTGATAAATTAATATTATATAAATGTGAATTGAACAAGGTCGGATATAGATAAGAGCAAATGAGGAGGTATTTCAAAACAATGTGACTTTATTCGTTCATATGGTCAATTCATATGAAATTTACGTGTACTAAGTAGCTGTTACAATTACAAAGAGCAATTCTCGCTTATGTGAGAAACGTACTGTCGCTTTATTTATTTATTTATTTATTTTTTTGTCTTTCAAAACATTATTTCAATCGTTCGTTCAATCGACATAGAACACGTACTGTTATATTAAACGCTAACGATGCACCTATATCGTCGTTTCGTTTTTTTTTTTTTTTTTTTTTTTTNTTTTTTTTTTTTTTTTTTTTTTTGTTTGCTTTGTTTTGTTTTCCTTAGTAGATGACACATCGTCGCTTTAGATTCGTTCGCATTGCATACAGGGATACCCGCTACATCAGATTTCGGAATTAGTTGCATTTCAGAAGCGAAAGTTTTCGTCTCAACGTCTACGTTGATGTTTCTTTGCCACTCGCGATGTCAATAATGAGTCTTTTTTGATGATGCTTTCGGTTAGGATTATTTTTTATTGTGACAAACACGGTATTGGTTTCCTCATGATGGCTGTCTCGCGGGCGCCGTTTGGCACCGGTAAGCAGAGATGCCAGATTCTGGAACACTTGGTAGCATGCGGTAGCATGGAGGGGATGCGCACACAACCTCAGATCGTGTACGTGTGCGATCGCGCCCGAAGTCCTCGAGCGCACACGTACACGATCTGAGGTTGTGTGCGCATCCCCTCCATGCTACCAAGTGTTCAGAATCTGGCATCTCTGCCGGTAAGCCCAATAAGCACATAAGCCTGCGGAAGATTGTGTGTGGTTTTTGAAATATACTATATATATATATATATGTATATATGTACATATATCCAAGATCTTTTTGTGTTTGTTTCCTTTATCTACATATTATCGATATTCTATGTCCTATGTGTAATAAGAATCAGAATGGTTAAAAAAAAAGTGCAAAACAATGATTATCAATTACCTAACTGTAATCATCATTTACACGTTTCTGATTACCTTCATATTAAATTGCTTGTCAACTGCAACGATCACAAGCAATTGCAAGAAATATCAACAATCGATTGCGTTGTAATTGATAATTTAGAAAGTGTAAAATGTTAATCATGCGCGCTCTGTGTTCTCTCGCAATACATGTACATGCAACACATATGTATATACTTGTTCAAAAAATGAAGAAAATGAGAAGAAAATAAATTGCATCAAGCGTTGTAAAAAAAAATGTTGTCGCAAAAATTATACGCGTACGAAGTTCACATTCGAGATTTTATACATTTTTCTCCCATGATGACTCCTTGTCGATTCATTTTCGAACACAGACACAATCAAATATATAGACTGAACGTCAAGACCATATGAGCAGGGACAGAATATATTTGACTGATTTGACGCGCGATATATTCGCGATATATCCGATCGATCATTTTTGTGACAAATGTTCGAATTTACATTTATTTAATAACGCAACCAACTTCGCGGTAAAAATTTAATGTAGGTATCAAATAGCGAGTCGAATGTAATGTGTGGACCAAAATGCAAATATACAAATAGAACGTGTATTCTTTATTGTTGCACACTTAGTTCATAAGGCGTATATTAATCATTACTATTGTTCTCTGAACAAGGTAATTGACGAGAGCTCGCAACCTATTTTAAGGCGCAGTGTGCTATGTGGAAATCTGCAACGCGTGGTAATAAATTGTTTGTAGCAACGTGAAAGGGGAGTGACTTGTGATATTCGTTTCCATACGCGTTTCCTCTGGCACGACTTGTTGCTTAGTTTTATATGACAATTCTTGCACGTGTAAGTCGTGCACTTAGAAACGATCATTTTGACGGTATACGTGTGGGTTGTTAACTGATTTTACTGATTTTCATTCCGATGTTTCCGCGTGAACCGACGATCGTTCGACAACCGAATGAATACTGCATTCCCTGCTGGCGAAGTGTCCTTTGTCTAAAAGAATGAATCTCGTGTTCGGTCTATATTTTGTGTTCTGTGGTATATTTTGAAAAAAAAAAAATTGTTTAGGCGAGGGGGTTGGATACCAACATTGAAATTTTGAGATGTTCAGCTCTCACGAAAGACATGAGCGGCAAGGAAAAGGACGTGTCTAACATCCGTAGTTTTGACACGAGAGTGCAACTAATTCCGCGTTAAGCTACATAAACGAGGAACATATACAATAAATATCGAATAACAGTTGTAGTATACTTATGGTGTAGTACTGTAGTACGAAGTAGTAGAATGCAGCGTACACGTACTAGCGCAGCAGCTATAAAAAGTATCTACTACGCTCGAGTTTTTTATATTCGCGTTACTTATTCTTCCTCTCCCTCTCTCTCGCTCTCTCTCTCTCTCTCTCTTTCGCTCTCTCTTTCTCTCTCTCTATCTCTCATGTGTTCTCTTTTTTTGTAAATTACTTTTCTTTCTCGCTCTACCACAACTATGTTTCTTTTACCTGCGCGTTTGTTTGTTTCTCATCTCACATTGTTATCATTAAATAGAAATCATCAGTGTGTCAGTGTTATTTGTGTGTTTCGGTCAAAAATCATGACTTTTTTTGCTTGTACTGATCGTCTGCAGATCAGCTGCTGGATAGAGCGCGAACCTATGCACTTGATTTCAGTCCATTATTTGTTCATATCGTAACACAAACAATAGATTTTTAAAATGTCCAACAATGTCTATTAATATCCTTTAGCTATTCACACATTTTCGAAACCATCTTTTCCATCTCGACATCCGTGTCGATGTCGTGATGTGTGTGACTACTCGCACTGCTATTACTGATCGGTATCATAGTGCTAGTAGCGACAGGATTGGCCGTCACTGTGCTCGCGGCAGCGGCAGCGGCGGCGGCAGCGGCGGCGGCGGCGGCGGCGGCAGTAGTGGTGATGGCTGTTGACGCCGTCGACGGTGTGTTCGGTGTTGTGCCTGGGGTTCCTGACAGTTCGATCGGTGAGCCTGGCGACGCGAGAGGTTCAGCTAAATCTTCTAATCCCTTCGGCGTTGGCAGTTTGTTCAATTCCTCTCTCAACAATCTATAATGTCTCTGTAATCAGAGAAAAAATATAAAATAAGGTTAAATGCAAAACAATTTAAAAAAAAAAAACGGATGAATTGTTAACAAAAAAAACCAATGCTTACTCTCAGAGACAACACGTTAAGAGAAATAGTACGACTGGATCTGCGGTCCGATCCGTGCATCTCTATATCTCTTATCCATCCTTCCAATTGTGCAACAATCTCATGTCTTTTTATCCAGAAGTGAGTGTGTATCACCTGCCGTGAAATAATTCAACGTTCTTCAATCGTTTTTTATTCTCTCAAAACAATATATATTTAAAAAAAACCATTTTTGCTTCATAATCTTTTAGAAATTCGTTCTTATAATGCGTAGACGTAAAATAACAATGGAGCACTGTGTACACCACATCAATAACAATATAACTGCACTTGCCTCTTTGAAGCATGGGCAAGGATTGCGTATTTGATCGAGCATTGCCCACTTGGCGGTAGCTTGACAAATATTCGCATTGTACTCTTGACTAGATTGGGCACCGCTCGATGTACCTCGTGATCGTTCGTATCCAGGTTCGTTGAAGTAGGGCTCAGACACCAAGATTAGTGACTGTATCGATACTAAGACCTGTTTAACAGAATTTAATTCATTCGAATGAGACAAATATTTACAGTTGCAAAAGTAAAATTTGAATCAAATGTTTCAAAATTGCTTTGAAAAACATTTTTTAAAAGAAAAATCTAAATTTCATTAAAATCTGCAACTCACCTGAAGGAAACTACTCGTATGCGCGTTCCATTTTTCCTCGGGCCGACCGTGCCACGTGTTAAGTACGCTGAGACAGACCTTTCCGTCATTGTATAAATTTGGATTAAAGCGCACGGTGTGACGGCCGGTTGTCTCTAGGTTTATTAACATTGGGCTATTAGGATAATCAGGAGGAAAGTATACGTCAAATTCAAAACAACCGTTTGCGTACGGCGTTTCTGCTGGCCCTGTTATGAGTACCTTTAACAATCGTATACGCATCGTGTCACATTGCGGCAAATGTAACCGTAAAAGACTTAAAGCGTTTTTCGAGTTTAACCCTTGAATATCTTGACGCGAGTGTTCATCAAGTCAGTTCATTTTTTTTTCACATATACATTACTACTATTTTTTATAAAAAAAATTCTCAAATATTAAAAAAATTCAGTTATCATCACTTCAATCTTGAGATGAAATTTTGTACAAATAGTATCTTTGAAGAATTTTTTCTTGATGCAATGAATAGATACACACATGTACTGGCTTTCTGATATTTGATAACACAATAATGATTGTCGAAAACAAAGGGTTAAATCGAACATTGGAAGAACATGAAATACCTTCATGATATCTAATCTATCAGCGTCGCATCTTACAAACACGCTACTGCTGTAGGACAAAGGCAGCGCTGTCGAGAGTGTGACGGCTTCCTGAGCTAATCTTTTAACTCGCGTCGGATGACTTCTTTCGCCGGCTGCCCTCATATTCGATTCGAAGTGATACGAAACGGCGAATTTGTAACCCCCACCGTCTGGATTCTCGGTAATCATTTCGTAGGTATCTGCAAGGAGATTGCAGACGCAGATATTAATTAACTTAATCAAAACAGACACGGATACATCAAAGATATGGAAAAGTGTTTTCGATAAGATTAATAAAATAATATTAAACATAAAAGCACCAAAAAAGTACTTTTTTTTTCATATCTGATAAACGAGTTGTCTTTGTTCTCGATAGGAAACTCACCGAATTGCAGATTTTTCATTACTTCTAAATATCGCTGCTCGAGGCTTGATCGCAGTGGTAATTCCGGTGCTGTCGGGCTCGAGCCGCGTAACTCGTCGCCAATACCGGACAGGCGACTTGTCGCATTTTGTACTATAGTCGCGCTTTCTTGTATATCGGGAATCAAAGTGGCCAATCCTTCGTCCTGCTCGGTATCGTCGGGATACTTAGAGACCACCTTCATGTTCGTCTTGTTGCCCTTTGTGCGATTTATCTTGTTCACGTATGTATCTACGCACACTCTCATGCTCGACAAAAGTGAAACCACGGACGGTTCTCCCGATCTACCGCCGCGCGGTAGCAAAAGCGGGGCCAGTTGGCTCGAAAGAGCCATGGCTCGGAGCAATTGCAGGACCGCGCGATACAAAGGAATGTGCCTGGCCATGTCTAGAACGGAGTCATTTCGCAGGTACGATGACAATGCCGGAAGTAAACAGGATCGCGCGAGTAAATCAGGGAACGGTATAGGTAACTCCCGCTGCGGTTGCTTATCCTCCGAAGTGCCGATGTAACTAGCGAGAACTTGCAACAACACCGTTACATGCTCATCTTCGCAACGTTGGCGTAATAAAGCCTGTTCAACGTTCCACGATTGTTGCGTGGATCCTGTACCAAAACCGGTACCTTTTGCCCAATATAAATGCGACGTGTCGTCGCTTCGTCCTCCACCTCCAACACCAATACCACTACTGCTACTGGCACCTCCGCCGCTGCTTCCACCGTTCCCACCGCTACCGCTACCGCCACCATTGCTCTGACCAGTTTTATGGTCAGCTAAACCATCGCTCTGTCCGGTTTGATGCGTAAATATCGCGAGGCAGTTCAACAGCAACAACATGGCGCCCACTTCTATGATGGTCTCACGTAGAAATAGACCGTCGTCGGTGGTCGGTGGTGTGGCGTCCAACAATTGCTTGAGAACTTGGAACGGTAAGGTCGGCAACGAGGCAGCCAACGGCGAGGTCAGTACTTCACCGCCCTCACCGTCATCGGAAACACCAAGAGCAAGCCGCAAAAGACACTGCGCCCGTTTCTTATCCCTCAACAGCACTTCGGCGTAACCCGGTAGTCTCAGAAACAGACCGAAGGCCACGAGAGAATGCGGCGGCACGTACGGAGCGGGAATCGACGCTTTTGGCGTGCAATCTATTCTACTGTCCGCCAGAGCGCCGTAATAAATGTCGTCGGTGCTTCCCAATTTTACCCAGTCAGCGTCCATTTGTTCGGGCGACGGCGACTTTTCAACGAAAAACGACGGTCTGCCGAGATCCGGGTACACCAACGGTAAGTGACGCGCCAACACCGCTAATCCACCACCGGCGCTGAAAACGCTCAGTGAGTTCTCTATGCTTCTGTAGTTCAACAGTTCGTTGTTTTGTTTCGCTGTGTCTTCTGCAAACAAACACACATCGGTATTTTCTTTACGCTTTACCAAAATTAACTTTCAACAACGAAACGAGCGAAGCGAACGAGATGTACCTTTTGAATCTTTGTTACGTTGACGTAAGATCAGATGTAAACACGGATCGGACAACGAAACGCCACTGTCCTCGGCTATTGCCAAAAGTTGCGCAATCGTAAGTTGTGGCGGCAGAGGGGTGTTCGGATGAGACGAATGTATCAGATATTGTTGATTGGTTGTGTTGGCAGGACTCGCTTGAACATTATTAATTGAGGCTTTGCTCGTTGCCGGCGTTCCATCTGTTAAATACACACATGTGCGTTTAAGAATAAATAATCAATTCGCAAACTATATTTAACCCTATGAGACAACAGTTAATTGCATCTTGTGTGTTTTTGAAGCTTAAAGAAAAACTGTGTGATTAATGAAAAATACAAATCGCCATTAGAGATAAAACGCACCACTGTTCAAACGAGATTTCCTAATGATAGGACCACGAGTTTGAGATCTGCTCGATGCTTCCTTGGCCCGTTTGTCTTTCGCCGTATTCCCGGCGGCCACACTGAGCGTGTCCACTACTAATGCCATTCCGGTTTCCCACAATTCCCGCGAGCGGTTATTTCCGTTAGAAGTTGCTTCGTTACCTTTGTACGCGCTTGGAAGCAGCAAGAGAAGCCACGTTCCTGAAACATTAAATTTTCAATAATTATTATTCAACATAACTAAAAACATCAACGCGTCATTATTAGATTTATCTTTTGTGATAAATTTTATAACGTTTCAACGAGACGTTTGTTTTGTAATAAGGTTATTTTTTGGTAGAAAAAAAATGGGCGTGCCTAAAGATCGAAATATATACCTGATACTTGTTGCAATATATCTGCGACTGTTGCTTGTGTAGACATGTACAACAATTGGTGATAATGACCAAGAGGATGAGCGGGATGTGGTGGCATAGATGGCATGCTGTAATTGGCTGCGGTTGCTGAAACTTTCATGGGCGCTTCTGACGTTACGGAAACCAACACTTTTTCTCCCTCCAACAGCAGTTGCAGAATTAATCGTCGCGTGAATCCAGAAATGCCATGGAGATATCGCACATCTAAAAGAAATAACGCAATATGTAACCCAAAAGAAATGTCGACCAGTTCGTGGTGAAAGAGTTGAAGAATGTTCAAAAATTCGTTAGTTACGCCGACGAGTATACGTTCAAGTTCACACTTACTAGAAGTAATTCGTTGTTGAGAAATAACTTCAGTTAAAAATTTGGCCAGCAGCTTCTGATTTTCCAGATGGCACCAGCAACACCTCGACAGGAATTTAATCATGGCGCTTTCCAAGGACACATATGACGCGCTTATTTTCGAGCAACTGCAATATAAAAATGTACATTATACATCGCTGTATAGTTTCACACATTGTCTAATGCACAATCTTTAGATATTTTTTCTGGATATATTATCCAGAAAATACACATACCTCGACGATGACGCGGATGGACCTTCAATAGGACGATTGCTAAGAAGTGACAGAAGAGGTAACCAGAAATCAGAACCTTCCTTGCCAAGCCAGTCGCGCATTCTTCCTTCCGAGCACACAAGTGTCAAGAATTCTATAACTACCGCTATACTTTCTGGCTTTGTCATGCACAATCCATCTGAAAATAACGTTAATAATATGAATAAATTTTTGTTTTATGCGCGAGTTTTTTTTGTCAAAGATATTGAAAATGCGCCACTTCACATAACTATGCAACTTGTAATTTCTCATTTTTTTTTATAAAATATGAATTTAAAACACTTCGAAATTTTAACAAACATAAGAACAAAGATACAAAACAAACAAAGATACAAAAAAAACTCACTAGAGTGGTTATTCGATCTGGAACTGAAATCTGCTGCTTTATCGTTGTCCGTTGAGGAAACATCTTCAGTCACGTTACTTTCCTTAGTATCACCCGACGCCATTCTACTGCTTCGCTGATGTTTGGTTTTTTCAAAGTTGCAGAAGTCTAAATATCAAAACACATGTTATATATTATCGCGCCTAACAAATTTTTAATCAATTTGCTCCCTTCCAAGCTTTTTTCATTTGATAAATAGAAGACATGTGAAATAAAAAATTTAACCTGTAATTGATGCCGTAAGCGAGGCTGGAAGACCGGAATCGATCAGTTGTTGAATGCCGGGTGGAGAACGCGCCGCCGCGGCCACAGTCAACAACTGTCCTTCCGTCAGATGTAAACATCGTTTGTGTTTCAGCAACGCGAACTGGCAATGCCATTCTGGGACATTGGTTTTGTTCTTTTTATCATCCGTTTGCTCGCTCTCCTTACAGTTGTCGGACATGGCCATCGACGGATGCGTCGCGGTATTCGGTGCCAGTACTTGCACCCATTCCAAGAGCAGACACAAGAGCGACGGCCTCACGTAGCAGAAAGCGCACAAGACAGAATCGATCGCTTGTTTCAAAGCCGAGTTGCTCCCGAGAAGCAAAGTCCACTTGTACAGCGAGCTATTCAATAATAAAATTGTTTAAATTTATATATTTGTCGACTATGTAATAAAGACTTGATAAACCAAAATATATGCAATTGGTCTTACTAGAACAGTTCGTCCGTCAGTAGAACTTGCAGATCGTAATTGTGATTTTGTTGCTGATGAGTCTTCCAAATGATGGAAGATATACAGTGAATATACACAGCCGGTGGTGGATTCACGGACGCGTTAAAGTTCGTAATAGGTGTTTCATTGGCGGCCGCGGTTTGCAGCCACGTGAGAACGGTCTTCATGCGAGCTTCCGTGCTGGAATCTCGAATGGAACAGAGTTGTTGGAGCAACTCAACAACTAACTGTACAATAGACGTTTCCTGGGAATTTACGGCCCCTGTCAATCAGTAAAATCATTAGTTTTATCGTCAATCGTGTTACAGAGTATATCGTGAGATTTCTAATAAGAAAACAGAAGAACTCTTCGGTTTTTGCAGGAAAAACAAAGTAATAATACCTTGAAGGAAAGGAGTAGATCTGTTGTTGAGCAAAAGACCAATGAGACGGAGTCCAAGCTCTCGAGAGTGTAAGCCGAGTTGTAATAGAACTCTTTCCAGATTGGGAGTGAAGAGAGACGGTGCTGGGAGTAACAGGAGGTTGCAACATGCCTCGACCAGGCCTTCGACCGAAGCCGCGGAATTAAGCACCTCGACGGCCAAATTGCTATTCAGTGTGCTCACCGATAAGCATTGATGCAACAATCGCAGCCAACCCAAACTACGTAAACAACGTCAGAGTTTATTTTTCCAAATTGGTTTTTTACAGCTGTGCTGTCTACCCGCTTAACGTTTCGGATAATTAAGAAAATTAATATTACCTGGTCTTCGTCAGTTGTTCCTCGTCTATTCCATCGGGATTTGTTTTGATTTCACCAAATGCAGTGGTGCCTAACAATCTTATTTGACTGAGATTTATATTGGTCGAGTCGCGAGGTTTGTACAAACGCACTAATACGGAAGTCGCGACCTCCGGTTGGGACAGCGTGATACGTATGTACGTCAAACCCGCCGTTGGCATTGGCGGACAAACTGGTGTAAGTAGTCCATTACTTTCTCTTGACACTTCGAGCGCCACGGCTGAAGGACACGCTATCGAGCAGAGGGAAACACACGTAAAGTATAATATTTTTGTCGCGCTTGATAAATAAAATCTATAGCTCAAAGATACAGAGATGATTGACGAAATGAGAGAGTTCGTGGATCTTTTCGCACACTGAAATATCAAACTTACTAGACAACGCCGTGTGATGCGGTTGCAGTTCCACCTTTTTAAGCAAAATAGCACATGGCAAAATAATCGTGAGATCGACCCACGCCTCGTCAGGATAGAAGTGATAGGACCATGCTGGCGTTCTCGCGCGTTTGTGCGAGGTGGCATTTTGTATCAGAACGTCCGCTGCTTGCGCGGTCGGATTCAGCCATGATATCGTGCCAAGAGGTGCGAAGTTCAATAAACCGTCGTCATGGGTTTCCAGTGTACTGACTCCCTTCTTGCTACTGCTCGCCATCACTTGCATGACGTTAGGCGCATTCGACAAATGTTCCATGACGAGAGCAATCACTCCAGGCGAAGCAGAGGCTGTGGAAGCGCCACTGTTACTCGACTTCACTAAATTCTCGCAAAGCACTTTGACACCACCCATTGCGGTGAAAATGGATAACGATGACGGATTGTCCAATACTCGCAGAATATACCAAAGAAGAGGCTCGGACAATTGCATCACTCCCAACTCGGTTTCTTCGGATGCTGTAAAAGTGATCGTTTTCAGTGCAATTGGATTTTATTTTATATAAGTTTGGCGTACTTTTTTTACGTAAAGAATCATACGACAAAGAATAACAAACCGTTTGGTGTAATGTTCTACAAATTTTACAAAATTCTTACACGAAGACAGATAATGGTAAAGCGGCTTGAGAACCAGTGTAGGTTCGCTGGCTTTTTTCGTGAGAGTCGTTAGAAGTTGGAATGTAGCGTCCGGAATCGAAGCTGGATCGCCGAGTTCAGTAGTCGATGCCGCACTCGCGTTCTCGCCCAAGAGCATAGCCAATGAAGATCCGGTGCTATGGCCGAGAGCGCCCAGTAAGCGCATCATAGTCGGCTCGTGCTGCAAAACTTGAGAATAAAAAGATTCAAGTTATAACAGTCTGCTTACTTAACTTTGATGACATTATGTGTATGACGTATCAGTTCTTTATATACACATTATATATATATGTATATATAAATTACCGGTATCGGCAAAGCAAGGTCGAGAAGATTTGTTAGTTTTGGGTTGTTGCAGACGACACGAGGTTTGTTGTTCCGCCGCTTTGCTCTCGTCCGTTTGCCAGCTGAGAACATGAGAATCGTTTCCGTTGCTAGAATTCCATGTCCCTTCGGACAATTCGACTTCCGCCGACTCCTCCGAGTAATCTTGATGAGCCTGCATATCAAAATCACGTGCATTTTCATAACAAAAATATATCGTAAAAAAATATACGTGCACAGAAAGAAAAACTATATTCAAAATAAACTATGTGAAAGTAATATACGTACATATGGTAACGGAGTCTGAATGAGTGTACAAACTAATTTAATAAGAGCTACAATTAATGTGTCCCACGATGCGGGACGGCATTGTCTCGTATCGCCACCAAGCACGTAAGCGAACAAACCGCCAAAACCACCGGACTGATTGGCCGAATCGACCGCACCTCCGCAATGTACGCCAACTGTTGTTGGAAACAATTTTTCGTGTGATCAGAATCTAATAGTTTTGCGACAAAAACTAATAGTCAAAATAAGAAAAAAAAAAACAACTATTTTTACCTCCGAATCCCTTGAAATAAGTAGAAACCAATACACCAACGCATTCAGATATGCTCATGGCAGTGTCCAAGTCGGTATTGACGTAATTTAAATTAACTACGGAACTTATTAATTTGCATTGTGCATCTAAAGGTCCCTTCCTTGATATAAGGGGTCCGTCTGGTTGCACGAGTTGATACACCACTTTCAGCAGAAGTTTCTTTAGGGAATTCCCAAAACTACTGTCTGTGGTGATAACATCACACATCATTTCCAGTCTAATGAGGAAATCGTGTAGCGCTTGACAGACTGTAGGCCCAGCCTGAAAAACAGAAACGGGAATAAATAATCGTGAAAATATAAATAGAGTATAAAGAATTACATACATACTTTTATTAGTTATCACACTCTCACACTCACAAGTATCAATTCAAGTTGCAATTGTATATCAAACAAGCGATATAAAATTTAACGTGACACCATTTTTAAACCTTAGCTAAAAACTTTTGACACGGCACAACACGGTAAACACGCAGCATAAAGCGTTATGTTTAATAAAAAAAAAACCAAAAAAAAAAAAAAAATACATTCTCACCATAATGTATTGCTTATCCATCGTATTGATGTTTAATCCACTGCCGGAAAGTAGGCGCAACAACATAGGGCCCGTATTGCGATTTTTAACAATGCAATTAGCCATACAAGGACTGGGAGAAAAGCCATCTAACCCGGAATATCTTCGAAGCGGTTGGTTACAGACAATAGTTAGACACTGTAACGCAAGACACCAAGTGCGCAAAGAAATCCCAGTTTGCCTAGAATTCATCAATGAGTAGTGTCACGTTTTGAAGTAGATTAAATGTCATTATTGTAGTTTTGCATCACATCGTCGAAAACTATGTATAATCTTTGTAATCTGTGTCTTACCAAGATAGGGCGGATATTAAGCTAGAAATAGCTGCTGGACTAAGCGGAATTAAAGGTGTCAAAGAAGCATCAAACTGAGGTCCTGGATGTTCGCCAGTAGCGTCCATATTCAGTGCGAACCACAGTTGGAGAACAAGTTCCAAATTCTTACTGTTACTCTGTTACGTGAATGAAAGAAACATTTAAAATTAACATTGTCAAAATTAAGTTTAATATATATATATATATTTAACTTGAATAATAGATGACTCACCCGTAGATACAAGTCTGTGAATGTTTCATTAAAACATCTCGTTAACATTGAAAGATTAGAAGGAGTGGGATCGGAAAAGTTCCCGACTTCCTGATTTCTTTCGCTCGTTTCCGTTCGTGATTGCTGATTGCTCCGATTTGCTTCTGCTGGCACCTGTAACATTTATTTCATGAAAATAATAAAAGTTTCTTTTATTATTTATTAAGAAAATCAAGTTTCTTTTCAACAAATCTGGTATAAATATTAAAATAATTTTAAACAGTACAGAGAGAAAATATAAAAAAAAGAGAAAAGCAGTAAAATATAGAAACTAACGTGTATCGTCGTATTTATACTGTGAGGCAGATTGTACATGCCAACGGTAGACAGTATTCTCAGCGATATCTCCACACACATTTCAACTCCATATTCCAATCGTGCGTCCATTGCCAAAGAAATACTCCTGAAAAAGATTATTTAGTTACACTAATTACATTCGAAAAGTCACAAATCAAAATGCGGTGAAAGATCCCAAACACATACCCAGTAATGGCGGAAGTTAATATTTTTGATACTGTGCTATCCTTCTTTATTATATACATATTTTTGCTACGTTGTTCTATTATATCGTCTAGAAAATCTTCAAGTTCGCTGTCGTCGGATTCTAAAAGAGATGGCAGATAACCATTCGATTTTGATGTACTGGCGGTATTCGAGGTCATCACAATGTTGTCTTGCGCGTCTTCGTCAGCATCGCCTTCAACGAATCCCTCAGTTAACGGAGTGGTTGAAGCAGCACTGGTACCCGCGAGGGAATCCTCTTCCGTCGCGCGACTTTCTTCCGTCTGGCTTCCCAGTGACTCCAAATTCTCCTCGGGTGGGCTACTTTCATGAGTTGAACACGCTTTGGGATACAATCGTCCGCCTATACAAAACGAATTTCATCCACATTATATTTTACATGATTGACAAAGACAGAAATAGTTTCTAAAGATATATCTTTAGATTAGTTATCTGTTTTTTATGTTTTAAAAGAAATACAAATGGAAGTTACCTTCCAGCAAGTCCATTAAAAGACAGGAAACGGCATGTGACGACCACGCTACGTCCGATGTGTCCGTTGCTAATCTGATTAATTTTAAAAGTTGTCCCTCGGTCATAAGTTCGCTCAAACCAATTGCAGGGCGTGTAGATACCACTAGTCTAGCGACTATCTGTGTGCACAATAATTCAGTAATGTAATTACATTTATTGCTATGAAACTTTGCCGATACAAGTGCAAACATCGTGGCGCGTTGTTGTTTTCGAGTTACGTTACTTACCTTGCAAGCTAGCAGAAACATGTCCACATTAGCTGAATTGTGTAAAATAAGCGCAACAAGACCGCGCGCCACCGGCAATACATGCTGATGCGGTAAGTTTGTGACATTGTACTCGACTTCCACGTCCATAACGTCCGATTTGCTGCAATTCAGCAACAACAAAAATATTACATCTCCGATGATTATCTCCGGGTGTGTTGAAAGTCCGAAAAAAAAATAAAAGCAAGAATCGAAGCGTGCGTTTGACAAACCTGACACTGGATCGCGCTTGACCGGAGCACGGACTGCGAAGCAACGCTTCATTTCTCTTAAATATTTCCTTGTAATGCTTCGCAGAATGTTGTTTTAACGTTTTCTTGAAATAACGTTCTTGAACCTTCAGAGTCGCTTCAACTTTGTTGTACAAGGTAGCGGCATCCGACGAAAGAGTCATCAATCCCTGAAAAGCACACGCACCGTGATCACAATTTTATATCGCGGATCAAAGTGAACGAGAACGTCTTCCAAGAAGACCTCATATAATTTGAAACATTTATTTTTACGTACCTTGGACGCTGCAGACTTTTTTGCCTGCTCTAATTCATGAAGCTGCTGTTTGTGATGCAATAAACGTTTTTGCAATCTCTTACGATAACTACGAGAAGCTGACGACCGATTAGCATTGACATATCTTCTTTGCATGGCTGATTCTCCTTGAATAAATTCCCAGCGGGAAAACAAACCTTTCGGAAGCAAAAACAGAAATATTGTTATTCTGAATAAAAATCAATATAAAAACTTATCATAAATATTCCATTAAAAAAATTATCATAAATATTCCAAACATGTTTATTTTGTGTAAATGGAATTTACACGATTTTATGTCATGCAATGTTTCATACTGCCTGCGAGACTATTGTCAGTTTACGTAAGTTTTGTGCAAACAAGAATAAATTCTATCTACATCTCTATCTTGACAGACAGAGAAGAAAAAACCTTACCTTGTTCTCTAGTTTTTTCGTGATTATCTTCCAAGCAGGGTGGCGGAGCGATAGTGTCCAAACAAACCGACAGGAACAACAATACCCAGCCTATTAAAGTAATATCCAATCGATTGGAGTCAGACGGTCGCGCATTCGTAAGAGGCTCCAATAATTTGCCCAATGTACGAACCATAGCTTCGATAACCGAGGACTTACTTCCTCCGGCTATCAAGGACTTCCGTCCCAAAAATGTTAACAAAATGAACACTCTGAAAACAAAAAACATTTTGTTCCAAGTATACTCTCACTCCCGAATGTATTTTGAATTGTAATAATCGTGTTCTAAGCGTCAATTAATCTTTATGGGAAAAAAGAATCTCACCTGTCTTGCGGAAAAATGTAAGTCGACGACGACGAATAAAGATTTATCAAAGTATTAGACAAAAAGTTGCCCCACCACGGTTGGTGTCCCGCCATACCGGCTAAGAGCGCGACGGCATGAAGCTGTAAACGTGGCGCTGGCGTTACGACGCATATCGAGTGAAAGAACTTCTCGCAAATTGTCGGAGTGAAAATTTCATATAACGACGTAGGTCGATATATCTATATTTAATACAAAAAAAAATAAAATTCAGTCATATATAGTGTGCAAAATTTACGCTAACAATTGCAATTTGTGTGTGTGTGTGTGTATACATACACTAGGACCAATTTCGTACACAGTGTACAACAAAATATCAAGCAAAGTTTCTCCAAGAATTCGTAATTTGTCATTGGGTGCGTTCGCGAACGACGTCGTTGGCGCATTTCGCAAACCTTTCCACGCTTCTAGACGCCGCCAAACACCTCGTACAACATTCAACTGATGTTGGAACATAATGCACTCCTACGATATACGAATATGATAATCATTCAGAGTCGTATCGAGCTCATCAATAGCGAAGAGAGTTCATTCTTAACGAACAAACTATTCGACAATTATCTGTCCGCAGAACTCACCTGATATGTTGTCATTATCTTCGTCGACGGCTGTTCCTTACCTTCGCTAGATATTTTATTATGATAAAGATAATTTTGCATGTGAATAACATTAGGCGTTTCCGAACAAAGCAGCGGATCCAACAACGCCTTTAATCTCTCAGCAGCTAAACTAAATCTGAAGAAACAAAATCAATCTATTTTTAAAAATGCACTTCTCTTGACAAAGAGAACATATAACATGCTTCACATGAATCCACACGATTGCTATTTTGCATTAAACATCTTTACATCGTATTTGCAAATCACAATACCTGCATTGTACATCTTCAGCTAAAGCTGACAATATGTTGCATTGCGTGTCGATAGTAAGCTGTACAGAAGGATCGAGTATATTGGTGTCAAAGGACAAAGAGTCGCTCAGCTCGGAGTAATCTTCCCCGGGTAAAACAACCATGTGACCGTAAAATACTCCCAACGGTATTTTACACGTAGTCGTAGACATTCCGTAGCGTCCTATCGTAGTGATCTGACGATAGTGTAAAATTAAATTTTAGTTTAAAATTAAAGATTCTGGTGTGCAAAGATCAAAGCGGATCAAGATTTCGCAATATTCGAGAGAACGAAATTTTCGTAGGATGTTAGAAGACGCGAAGTCTGTTTCCAATTGTTGCGAAGAGTAGAAAAGAACAAAGTGGGGAAATTTTTATTGTTAATTACCTTAAGATATCTGCACACAGGTGGCGGCTGCAAATCACATACAATCAGAGGTTTACATCCAATGTCGCCAGCGACAATAAGTCGCGTCCCATCTGTCTCTTCGCTTTTGGTCCAGATATCTATGGACAGCGACACTAGATCATTGCACGAGGGAATCATTAGATCGGTCAGCAGTACAGGTGATCCAAAGTCTAAAATCACGAATCGACGTGCTCCCGAGTGCATTCGCTCGACGACCAACGCTTGTTGAGGCGGCCAACACAATAACCTGCCCCATGGAAATGTAATATCTTCCCGCTGTAACATTAACAATTCATTAATCACTAATAGACAAAAAAAAAAAAAAACAAACAAACAAACAAATAGCGACTTCTACATGTACACTTCCCCGAAGTATTTTCTAAAAAAATACAAGGAAGTGTAGAATAATTACTTTGTTCAATTTATGTGTGACAATTACCGCTGCGGGTGAAACAATCATGTTTTTCGAAGATACAGATTTTGGAAATATATGTACAAGAAAGAGAGGAGAATTTAATATCAGATGTCCTACAAATCAAATGACATAATACGATTTCAACGACAGATTCTCTGTGTAGAATTTTACAGTTGATTTTTCTCTCAGCGATAATGTCAAAACTTCAGTTTCCGAATCGCAAGTTTTAATGAGGAAGTTTTTTTTTTTTTTTTTTTTTTTTTTTGTGAACTAAAGAACGGCAAATGCCTAAACAAAAGGACATACAGTAAAGAGCAATAATGATGTCGATGCGCTTCGCGCAATCAAAGACTCGAGAGAGAGAGAGAGAGGTGTAAACTTGACGTCAAAAAACGTAACGACAATACGTTAAAAAAAAAAAAATAAACACACACATTTCTTTAAATTAACTGTCTTGCATCTATGAAAAACAAAGTTAAAAAGAAACGTGACGAGTCGTGTGTCGTTAAAATAATTCCTGTGTGTGAAATGCAGACGCCATTAACGCGTCCCGATGTGGTTTGAAATATGTTTGAAGTAAATGTCACTTTAACGTAAATAAATATTTAATTTCAACAAGATTAAAAAACATTACGATAATAATGTGTCTGTCGACGACTCTTGTGAAAGAAAACGCAATCGGAAATACCTTTTGTACGTTACATCTATGTCAAATAATAAATGAAACTATACATAAGTTTGTTTGAATTCACTAAATTGATGTAATAAGCAACCAAACACCTGTCTCTGCTACTTACACACATGAAAAAAAAATAAAATAAAATAAAATAAAAACAGAAAAAACCTGTCTGCGTAAAAGAGTGTTGGTACAAAAAAAAACAAAAAGAAAAAAAAACTAAAACAAAAAGAAAAACAACAGTAAAATATAAACAAATACGTGAAATGACATCGTATGCAAGAAGAATTATACTATAACATCGATCACAATACATAATCCAATGAATCTCTCATATATATATATACACATATATATACGTATACATATATATGACTCATGCAACTTAATATGCTCAACATCATTCACTGCTGCGCTCATAAACGAAGTGAATAAACTTTCTGACACAAACGAGTGTTTCAACCAGCATATATATATATAAATTTATATACCAAAAGCGAATAAACGACAGAAAAGTGTATGTTGCTAAATAAAAAAATAAATACGTAAAAGAAATAACGAGGATGAAGAAAAAAAAGAACAGAATGGTGCGTATCTTCATCTAATGTAATCTACCTTTTTAGGATTGCTCTCCTCAACTTTGTTTACAGCGGTATTGACATTTTGTACAGATGACTTTTCTTTCGTTACTTTTCGTTCGCTTAACTTGTCGTTAAAGAAACTTAACATGCGCGAAGGCATATTGCTTTCCGCGCTATGCCAAGTCTGGTTGTCGCCAGACATATCGATAGCTTCGTCACAGTCTGACTGTTCATCAAGGAATAGTTGCGAGAACGACTTCTTTACTCTCCCCGTATACATACACTGGAGATCGCTAAATGTAGCTGTCGATTTAGCCTGAACGTGTGGTCCTAGCGATCCAGCGTCCAAGTTCTACAATTAATATATATTGCTATCTGAATTAAAAATTCTTCTCTAAATCTCCGAAGACACAGAGCTAATTATGTATGTATGTATGTATATAATATACATATATGCGAAACGATATATCGCTGTAAATTAAACGGGAGAGAAAAACGTGATGCCTGCACTATCAGGGATTCGCTCGACTTACTTTACCGTAATTGGGGATCGAGTATACGTCGTATCGTACCGCAGGGAGAAAAAATATATATATTTTTTTTTAATGAAGCAGTAATTTGTTTCGTGTGTGTATTCGCCTTTTTTTTCTATCGTCGTTAAGTCAAAATCCGCACGCACGCACGCACGCACACACACATACACGCACGCACACATACACAGCCACAGACATTGTCGTGTTGCATCAAAGATATCTCGCAACTGCGTACGATTAATTATAGATGGAAATATACTCACATAGGTATGATGTATCGTTTTAATATCGGGCACTCCATTGTTGCTTGTCGCCGTACTATCGTACAGAGTTGCCGGTCCGATATTAATTGTACTCATACCAGGATCGATCTTTTCCATCTTGGTGCCGTCAGAAGCGGCGTGACAAGTGAAATGAAGAGGTTCAACCTGAAACATAAGAAACACGGTAGGTGAGAACAAACCACAATTTCCACTGTTTGTCTCACTTATTTGGATGAATTATGTTAATTACCTCGAGAAGACCTTTCATGTTATGATTCGTGCACAATGCCTTCAATTTGCCGGATATCACAAATTCACTGGCAGGGTGTGCGGGTAAGGTAAGCAAGTCCCTCAGATCGATCGAATCTTGTGAGTACATTTTAGACGAGTGCGGAGCACCCGATGAGGCAACAGACGGGCCTGTTTGTTCGTTTGCTACAACGGATGCGTATGTCACAGGCATTGAGCTAAACTTTGGTAACATTGGTGGTTCCAGGTCAAAAAGTTCCGTTTCGAAGGGCGTGTTGTATAATCCGAACCTAAAAACCCGATTGAGAAACAAAACTCGTTAAAAAATAAATGTCCAAAGAGTGCAATGTAAACGTAATTTAGAAAGTATGGAGAAGAAATCTAGTGTATTTTTAAATGTCGTTCCAGTTTAATCTTTCCGCATAATTATTCGAAATCGTCGGTGTGACGTCGCGAAACTACAAGCGAAAATTCAAGTTTCAAAATAATCGAGTGGAAAGATCAAAATGGAAACGTCGTATGTATTATTCATGCTTGAGGAATGTACGTTTTACCTTGTCGCAAGCAACAAGTGGTAAGGATTTACTCTATTAGATAGTTCGTTCGCTATCTGTTGCACTAAAGTGAGACACTTCTGGGCGATGCTGTGATTTCTATCCAGCGGCAGAAATCTGGTGATGAGCAATTGAAGCCATCTCAGCGAACCGGCCCAGTGAACTTCAACAATCGACGGCAACAAGTTGACCAAAACCGTAAGCATGGCCTCGTCGAAGGTAGGAGACGGCGATTCTTCTATATTGTAAAATCCTCCGCTGCAAAGAACGATCAGTTTGACGCATTTGTGCGCTACGCTCCTGCCGGCGTGCAACAGACAGGTTCGCAGTAAGCTCGATAGTCGTCCCTGCACGGAACGTATAGTGTCCAATTGAAGAGCTTTCATCTCCGCACTATTCTGTACACAGCGCAATCTTGTCAATCTTATTGATGTAACCCATATCAGAACATCGAGAGCGATAGACTGCACGACGGGAGAGTCGGCCGGTCCTTGCAAACAGGCGACGTTCAGAAGATTATCGACGAAGGTTTTGGACTCGAGCATGGCGCATCTCTGCAATCTTTCGTTAGGTATGCCCGTGGGATATACGGATCTCAGTGTGATGGAAATCTCGTGAATCCAGTTGCAGCCGACGTAGCACCCCAATTTCTTGCTATTCGCACCTTCGTCGCATCGTTCACCGGCGTTAGCCGTTTGCGGAGGTACTAGTGGACGTACTTCGAATATCTTCAATTTCTTACAAGTGGGTGGTTTACTTTCAGCCAGATTCGCCTTCGACTTGGGCGGTGCTCCCTCTTTCTGATCTATCAAAGTTTTGATGTGCACCAGCAATGTTCTCGCCTTTGAACGGAATAATTTCGGACTTGTTAACGTCACACATCCCGAACGACAGGACAAATCCATACAACGGTGCAGGTCGATAGGGCCACAGAGAATCTCAGTGTTGTGCTGACGCTGATACTCCTCTGTGACTATAGGATTTTCGTTCTTCTGATCGGTTCCTATATTGAAATCGATTCTCTCGTCCACCGGTGTGGATTGTGTCTTCTGTTGTCCGATTCTCTTCATATTCTGCTTGAGCAGAGTGACTTGAATAGTTGGCAATTCCTGGCACAACGCGTGCAATGTAAATCTTACATCAACGTGTCCTATATTTCCCGCTGCATTTCGAGGTAGAGTAAGCTCGAACACGTGCTCGTCCCAAGTAGTCGTGTCATTCTGTAATCGCCAAGTTCTCGTGTGATGCTGATCCTCCGACTGATGAAGATGCTGCGGATGGCGTCGTTGTCTTTGAGCCTGCATCATCTCGCTCCAACAAGGTGGAACGGTCGCGCTGTATGCGGGGGAATGTCGATCAAATCTCGTGAGTTCATACAAGAGTCGTAAGTCTGAGTAGGAAAATGTGGATTTGTGCGCCAGTAATTGATCGTGACAGACGGACGATGTTGACGTACTAGGAACTGTATTCTCGCCGGTATAGCTTCCTTCAGCGGTGCTCATCGTCACGTCGTCACCAGTCTCTTTTTCCTCGGTGGAATCCTCTTCGTCCGCTGTAATAAAGAAATGCAACGTGCCGTCGCTCGTGCACACACAGAGCCTCTCCAAACTGTTGCAATAGGTCGCGGAGATGAATTTCTTGCCGTCTATTCTCGCCTCTGTCACAGTCTTCAGAGTGCTTAAATTCAACAATCTTACCACACCGTCTCGACATACTAGGGCAACTTGTCCAACAGGCACCTGACCAGCAGATACACCGGAATTAGTAGAAGATACAGCGCATTCTTGTTTCTCCTGAAGAGGAAGAAGCACATGTTCCACCGGTGCTTGTTCTGAAGGTAACTCTCTCTTCATCAGCGGTTCTGTGGCCACTTTGACAACTGGTCCTGAAAAATCCAACGCATAGACGAGCAACAATGCATTCGTACTGTTGTCGTTGCGAATTTCGCCGTTGATCACATTGCTGGATATTGACGGACCGTCATGGTGGTCCCAGTACATGTAGCTCTTTTGCGGGAAGAAATCACTTTCATCGTCAACGTCCATTTGATTGGTGTTCAATGACGAGGAAGAGGACTCGGTGGAAGTGTTTGACGCCGCGGGACACATAGCTACGTACAAATGTCTGCCATCCTTAGACGGAGTTATGTACGTGATGCGAAGAGAATCCGGGGCGTTTATTGCCAGCGTCTCGACGACTACCGGTTCGGCTTTTTTGGTTATTTTCAATGTAATATCCAAGCCTTTTTTCGTCATTGTTGTCAAATCCGATGTTGATGCGAAGTTAGCCGAGCCATTGATTGAAGGGAAATTGGGATCGTAAGGGGTTGATGTTGTCGGAGCGGGACCAATGGAAATACCAATAGAATTCGAATAAATGCAGTTGGAGGACGAAGTAGTTTTATAATCGGTTTTATAATCGAGTAGAGTGGTACTCGGAAAGATACCACCTTCGTACGGCGGAGCGACCATATCCGAGTCCACATCTTCGATTACTGGCACCTCGTATAAAAATTTACTGAGAAGAAGTTCCTGATACAAGCTCTCTTGGCGCCCGCCGTTTGAACTCGTACTCGTTCCAGTCCCGGACAGAGTCTTCTTAGTTTTGGACTCTTTAGAGTTGTCTTCCTTCATGGCATGCGCGGTCGCGGCTTTATGATGGAAGTCATATAATACTAAGTAATGCAATCTCGACGATATGTACCTATCACCAGCTACTTTCATTATATCTAGTGTATCACTGGCAGCACTATTTACACTGTTCATCGCGCGAACCAGAGATGACGAGCTCGCTAGATCGCTCGAAGCAGCCCACACGTTTTCTAAAGTTCTTACTTGCGAGGAATTATTAACTATCACTGTAACCCCGCACACTAAACACGGTCGGATTTTCTGGTCTGATGTCTCGTTATTTATAGACGACGAGGAAGTAAAGCTAACGCCGTTTGCTCTTTCTTTCGGAGATCCTACCACAGAAAGCGCTGTAAGTTGGACCTTGCCAAACGACGAAGGTTTGTATTCCGATAGTGTTTCGGTATCTGAACCTAGATTCAAATATGGAGCTGGCAAATTTCTTGTAGCGCAAAACTGTATCAATTCTTTGTTGTTTACCTCTTGATCCAGGAGCGATACGTAAAACGAAACTTCTCTCTTTAATTGATTTGTTATATTCCAAATATTTACAAAACCATTGGAAGAGGCTGTAGCCACGAGGCCAGTGACGTTAGTAGTACCTATGACATCGACCGTATCTCCTGCCTCGCGAGCAGGAGCGGTCGCTAGGGTCACAGAAAACGGAACATTCTGCGTGTATTCGCCCTTGACAAAAGGACATGCTGGAGAATGTCTCTCATGTTCCGACCACGGCTCATCTGTTGGCTCCCAGCATACCAAACAAACATTACAGGTAAAACACATGGCACGGTCATCACCTGTCGCATTTGGTTCGTGATAAAAACCAGCCTGTGCCATCTGATCTGGCAGAGCCCACTTGTAATTCATGTGTGGCCATTTTGGAAAAGTGTTACGACGCGCTGCTTCGCTAAACATTAACGCTCGGTCAGTGGGACCTCCTTCTAACACAAGACTAGGCAATAGGCCATTTAGTCGTTCATTAATCGCAGAAGCAATCGGCAGTGCTGCTATATGCCGATTTTGCCTCTTCAACTCCATCACCAAACCTGAGCACACGAGCTTCAAAGATCCGTGAGGTAGTTCCAAACAAATCGTGTTCCATTTTTGAGCCTTAATACCCTTTTTCTGTGTCGCTTGCGCGGCAACAATTTTATTCGAGAGCTCCTGCACAACCTCTAGCAAATGTTCTACTCCTGGTAACTCTATACACTGTAGGCATTGAAGCAGTATTGTAGCTTCCGACAACAGAAGTTCCAATTTTACAGTATCTTCGCTTTTCGAAACTGGAGTTTGCAAAATTGTATCCAATAGTAACACTCCATTGTAATCGCTACGGATACCAATCCCACGTCCATCTGTATATAATACTTTGTCTATTCCATCGGATAAATATATTCCTTGCAACTTTCCTTTTGGTTTACCTGAAAAACAAATCACATGTGCAACATGTAAGTGAAAACATAAAATTTTTATTGATACAAAGCTTGTAATGTAACGCGCGTGTATAATTTTTATCTTTTATAGAGGTTGCAATTTTGAACATGCAATCTATGCAACATTAATAAATTGCATTACTGTTGTTTTGTTATTGCAATATTGTTACTTTTGTTATTATGGTTCTACATCTTTTTTTTATCATTGAAATATTTATTTGCTTTATCACTTTTTTAGATACATGTTATAAATATGCAAAATTAGCATAAACTGTTGTTGTACGTACACAAATATACGCGCATGTACATGACAATCTATGTACTCTGTGTAATAATTCCGCCTATTTTTATTGCAATTTTACAAGCGCGACCGTTTAAATGCCTCTACTTCCACAGGAAAACCAAATATTTCCTGTGCCCTTTGATCTCTCAAACTTTGACTCGCACAATCATCCCATTCTCTTTCCGAGTTATATTGTTGTTGTACAAAATAAAGAAGACACTTTAGAGGACAAAAGAAAAACGTCTTAGATCTGCTTAGTCAGAAGAACAATTTTGCTAACACAAAGAAATTCGCACGTAGAGAGAGAGAGAGAGAGAGAGAGAGAGAGAAAAAAACGTCAAAGAATTCGATCAGACCAGCGAGTTTTTGCAGCAATTTGCTTCTTCTTGTCAGTCTGTTTGCAAATGAGAATCGAGATTCGCGCGCGCGTGTAAAAAAACCAGAGAGAAACAAAGGAAGCCGCGCGAGAAGATACGGGAGGAAGATCGTCGAGAGAGAAGAAATCTTCGGATCACACCCCCGCGAAAACAAATGAAAATAAAACTTATTTCAAGGTCATTTCTTTACTTGGAAAAAATTGTCGGGATAAAGAAACGTAACGCGAGCTGTGTGCGTGTCGGGCCGTGCTCTGTGCGACGCTCTTGTAAAACGTGTGCGCGCGACCTTGACTAAGATACCATTGCACACTATTCCGCAAACGTCCAAGTACGCTGACGACGGAGTGGGAAGAGAGAGAGAGAGAAAGAAAGAGAGAGAGAGAGAGCGAAAGAGAGCGCGAGAGAGAGAAAGAGAGAGAGAGAGAAAGAGAGAGAAAAAAGAAGCAAATTAATCGTCCTCCTGGCGTCCTCAGGAAGCGAGAATCGACATCACGGACCGATGGTCCAGGTCGATGCTTACCAGACAGACAACTTCTCTGCAAGATCACGCCGGAGTTTACATCGAACACGTATACTTGTGCGCTGCCAGTGGTGATAAGTAGCACGTTTGTACTGGCGTGATAGATTATGCTCTTGCACTCGGTGTCCACGTTCAAGCAACCGTCTTCCTTCAGGAGCCACGGATCATCATCAGCCATTTTGCTTGCATGCGGAATTACGCTCGAAAACTTTTCTCCAACGCTCGTACACACATCAGAAGAAACATGGCGCATTCGTTAACGCCATCTTTGGATAGGACGTCAGCAGGATCGCTCTGAATGCAATCGACAATCGTTCCCCGCAAATCGATCGATCCCGTCGCATCGACTCGGCGGGGACGATTTGGTCTCTGTTGGTTTTGGTCGTAGGTAGACGAGATGCGAGATTCACGCCTTTTTTTCGATGTAAAAAAAGAAATTTACGTATCGCGCGCAAACGACGAAGTCGCGTCGATCAATTCGATTTGACTTCTCTCGGTGATTCTCTTGTTTGTTTCGCGATGAATACACCTGTTATCTTCAGATTTAAAAGAAGACAACAAAAAGAAAGATCGGGTGTTTGTTGCGTCCTCTTTCTCTGTCAATCGAGCACAAGCGCGATAATCGATTGATGCGATTGGTTTGATTCGATTTCGTTTGAATTTTTCAGGGCGCGGCTTTCGAAAGAGAGACCGGAAACGGGGGGGATGAGATACTGCGGATAATCAGCCAATCGGAATACTTCGACCTGAATTTCTCATCTCCATTGGGTGCGTTCAGACAACTCAACGGTTGAGAGATCGTCACTTGTGATAGGACTATTCTTCAAAATCTGCGACGGTTCCAAAAGTATGATCCAATCAGAAGTGATTATCTCTCAACTGTTGTGCAACTGTTGAGTTGTCTGAACGCACCCAATCACTTCTGATTGGATCATACTTTTGGAACCGCAGCAGATTTTGAAGAATAGTCCTATCACAAGTGATGATCTCTCAACCGTTGAGTTGTCTGAACGCACCCAAAGACGCGAAAATTAGGTGCGTTCAGACAACTCAACAGTTGCACAACGGTTGAGAGATCATCACTTATGATAGAACTATTCTTCAAAATCTGATTTGGTTCCAAAAGTATGATCCAATCAGAAGTGAATGGGTGCGTTCAGACAACTCAACGGTTGAGAGATCATCAATTATGATAGGACTATTCTTCAAAATCTGCGACGGTTCCAAAAGTATGATCCAATCAGAAGTGATTATCTCTCAACCGTTGTGCAACTGTTGAGTTGTCTGAACGCACCCAATCACTTCTGATTGGATCATACTTTTGGAACCAGAGCAGATTTTGAAGAATAGTCCTATCATAAGTGATGATCTCTCAACCGTTGAGTTGTCTGAGACCTGTTCTACAGCTGTAAGTCGTAAGAAATTGACCAATCACAGACCAATCACAAAAGAATGATCGATTGTGATTGGTCAATTTCTTACGACCTCCGACTTACGACTGTATTGTAGAACAGGCCTGAACGCACCCATTGTGAGACGTGAAAACATTTTCGATTGCGATACGCGCTTAAAACAAGTGCGGCGGCAAATGTGAGGTTAGGGTTGCGATTCGTCCTGGGTGAGAAGAAGAAGATTATATACAGAAATATATACGTGCGGATACGAGAGATGTTGAAGACGATGAAGCTAAGTCACAGGCTCTGCCGAATTTATCACGGCGTTGAGAGCTTGTCGCAAACGAGACTGTTTCTGTCGGACGCGTATCGTTGCGATGAAGCGTGGGATCGCAGATTGGACACGTCGTTGATGCGAAAGATCGATCCGCAGACGATGTTCATCGAGCTCGAGCAGAAGCAAAGCAGCGTCGGCAAGGTGAGCGCCGTCGACGTCGACATCTTCGTCAACAGCATCGCCGACGCGTCCTACGTCGACGAGTTGCTGAAGATTCTGCACAATCTCAGACTGTCCGCGGAAACGTCCAACATGCTCGACTCGACGCATCACGCAGCGATACGATTTCTTCTTCGACACGATCACGTCGAGGAACTGCACGAGATGCTGAACGACAGGTTGAATTACGGCGTTTTTCCCGATTATTTCGACTACAATCTGCTCATGGATCACTTCGCGAAGAGAAAGGATTTCGCCTCCGCCGCGAAGATAGCAACCTTGGTCACGTTGCAGGAGGAACACGATAATCCCATCACAAACGCGCTGTGCGTTTATTCGTGCTTCAAGTATCTGGAGAATCCCGACGACTGGAAGAAACCTGAAGAGGCACCGGTGGACAAGTCCGAAGAAGTGAAAGTGCGCGTGCGATATCTGAGAAATTTCTTCTTCGACGATCACTTCGATCTCACCGATCCCAGGGACCTCGTTGGCAAGACTCTGAATTTTCAGGGAAAACACAGAACTGACGCTCTAGGGAGAACTTGTCAATTGAGGGGTTTGATACTGTACAAGAAGTACGATGACGTAGCGAATCTAATCAAGGGATGGTTAGAGACCATGCAAGATGGGATAGTTTACGAAGAAGTGTTTGACTTGATATCCAGAGACAACGGTGGACTTCAGGATCAAGATGTTGAAAAGTTCAAAGCTGTGGAAGCCGAGCTATCCGATCTGAAGAAGAGACAAAATCTCAAAGGAAGTTTAATCGAAGCGATAGAGAGTCTCGTTAAAACCGCTGTAAGCGAGCAAGCTGAAAAGGACATCGCGAAACAGTGTCAGGTAATTTAATGTAAAACATTCTCTCTGTCTTTCTCTTTAAAAACTGATTGCGTGTGGTGGTAAGTTAAAGCAATTAAAGATATTCCGACTGTTTTAGACTTACCTCGCTTGGGAAGATGTGAGAACTTCGGTGTTGGAGACGCAAATGAAAGCAATCGAGAGAGAAAGGAGAATAGCTAACATAGAACAAATAAAGAGGGACTTGCAGGAGAGGGAACAACTTTTGACGTTCTTCGACAAAGAGGAGGAAATCGAATTGAAGATAGAAAGGCTCGAGGAGCTGGAACGCGAGGAAGACGAGCGTATTCGTCGTATACCGAGGAGCGCAAAGAAATTGAGATTGTTGGTTCAAGCAGAGGATTACATACCACCCGATGTTCGAAGTAAAGAGCAATAAAACGTGTTTTGTTCGAAGAGGTAGCATTTTCACACACACACAGACGATAAAATTGAAAAACAAAAAAAAAATCAACAGAACTGTGTTATTTCGCAACAGTATGTACATATAATAGTGTGTTATACAAATTTTATAAAAACTACTTTATAAAAAAATAATTTGCTGACGCGCAAGAGAGGAAGGAAAATATGTACAAAGTATTAAATATCGCTTGTTGTTGTTGTTTTTTTTTTTTTTAAATCATTATTCGTACACGTCCTATATTTTTGTACATAGTTTACTCGATCGTCATGTTTCAATATTTTATTTTTTAGTTTTTTTTTTGTTTTTTGTTTTTTTTTTTTTTTACTTACAGCCTTAAGTGTCAGATCTTCGAACTGCGAGAAATGCGGAAGTTGAACTCGATGCTAAAAAATTATTAGGCTTTTTGTGGTAACACATGATTCTTTTTTGAGCGTTAAAATGTTAACAACGTGTCCCCGTGTTCGTATAATACTTGGCCTCGGCACCGTGGAAGCCGTAGTGCCTGACACGACTACAGGCCAAGGCACGTAATTTTTCTTTTATTTTTATTTTTAGCAGTCAACTCAGTAGATTCGTGAAGGCTCTCACAGGCATTATCGCGGTAGCTAAAAAATGATTGGTCTTTTCGATGCATTCAATCGTATTCGTATTTATATATTCTGTAAACTATAACAAAAAATAAAAATGTCTATATAATTAATGTTACATTTTTCCAAAGAACGCGTATTCAAATCGTGTGTAATTTATGGATGGTTTCCGATGTATGATTTAGTGTTTTTTTTTTTTTTATTTATATGTGTATGTGTGTAATGTGTGTATGTGTGTGTGTGATGTTCCTATAAAAGAGAGTGAACTCGCGTACCTGCATCTCAGACTCTTATCTGGTCCTGGACATTACAAATCGTAAAGTAGTGCCATACTGTATATAACAATCACGAGGCTTTAGTTTGGAGTTGTGCCGTTAACGCGGCACTTTCCTGCCTCATCTGTTTCAGATCGGCCGTTATCCTTTCCAAATTAGCACCAACATTTTTAGCGGATTCGGAATCGATCTGAATAAATATTGAGCGAACGAGACATGTCACATAAAAAATATATTGAGAATGTTTCCACATTTCTAATCCTGTTCTTATTGACACACATCTCACCTGTTCCTCCAAATCTCTAATTTCTCGTATCGTTGCGCCCGTTTCCTCGACCAGGCTCACAAGCTCGCTGCAATCCGAGTGCAACGTCGCTAACAACTTGTACGCCTTTCTCGAGGCTTCGTTCGTTCTCGCATCTCTGAATATGAGTTCGTCCACGACGGTAAAGGATCTCTCCAGTCTGCCGGTTAGCATGTTGATTTCCTTCTGAATCTCACGAGTATCCGCCAGAACCTTGCTGATCTCGTCTCTCTGCTTTCGGACGTTATTTATTATCTCTAAGATTCGTTGAGTGTAAGCGGATCTGTTCACCTCCTTCGGAAGTTTCTGAACCTCCGTGACCAGTTGCGAATACTGTTGATCCTTGTTTCGACACTCCTCCTGAAGCTCTTTCTCCTTCTCTTTCAATAACTTTATCTCATCTAGCTTCTTTTGGCTCGCGTTCTGTAAAAAAAATAACGTACGTTTAAGTGACGTTCAACAATGATGACTGGTTTCTATAAAAACTTTCATTGATGTGTACTTACAGCTTTCGTGGAATATTTTTCTCTCTCTTGTCTGTATTTTATAATCAGAGGTACTCTATGTTTCTCCCACTGATTCGCTAAATTAATCAATTTGTTCGTACTGGCTTCGATTGCGGACTCCAATTTTTTGATATTCTCCGGCCCGTCTTGAAAGAGCTCGTACGCTCTCGCTTTGATCTTCTTTTGCTCCTCGTTTGCACTCAATTCCTTCTCTTCGTTATGAGCAGTTACCGTTGCTTGCGCTAATCTGTTAGTTAACTTTTTAATCTCATTTTGTAATTCGTCTATATTTAATTTGAGATTCTCGCACTCCGCTTTCATGTTCTCCACTTCCACCTCCTGTTTCGCCTCGTTTCTTAATGTTTCTTGTTCTAGAAGCACCGAGTGCAACGCCGACTTTTGCTTAACCTGAGAATCCTGAAAGTTTACGGTCGCCATATTAATCGTGCAAAATGTATACCGTGCTGTATAATGCGAAGATATAACGTTAACTCACTGTTAAAGTTGGCGTTGTCTTGTTCTCCGACGACAACTTGCTAAGTTCGTTGGCGGCATTATGTGCGCTGGAATAAGCAACTTTTTCGGTCGATTGTTGACTGTTGAGCCAGTTAATACGCTCCATAATATCCATCGAAGAAGTATTAAGCGCTCTTGCGTTATGCGATATCATGGAAGGTAAAAAGCATGAGATATTTTGCATTTGATCAGGCACTGGTTGTAAATAGCGCATATAATAGTCTTTGTCATCTATAATAACAACAACTCTGTACTCGTATGTCGATATTATCGTGATTTTTAGCCTGCTGTGTATATATTCTCATTTGATATTGGAATAAAACAAAAAAAAGAAAAGAAAAACAAAACAAAACAATTCAAATAACACTGATGTCACATATATATTACCATCCTCTGCATTCGCTACTGGTACTTCAATATTTACAGTTGTGTAAGGAGTGCTTGCTCTTCCTCTGTTCCTGAATCCCTTTCTGTGACAATAATGCGGCAACCAGGGTATCGAAAGTCCTTGCGATATAGCCGACGCAACTGATTTTTCTAACAACGCAACTTTACTAATAGACTCATTTACAGTCTTCTCACTTTCCTTTGGCAGTTTTTCGATAAGAAACATGAACACTCTCCGCAAATCCGCCTCAGAGTTGTACAGGAATGTTTGATAACCGATATCACCTCTGTATCCGAGTTCCTACGGTTCATGTTTGATGAACAATTGTGAACAAAATCGACTCGACGTACTCGTTTCTTGGACCTGTACAGAAGTCGGTTCGTTTCCGCAAGAATACTCACCGTGCATGTTTGTGCGAGTGTGGCACCCAATCGAAAACGCGCTGCCATGTTCACGGGCAGCACGGTGGACAATCCCAATCCCGGCCTTATTGCTTCCAAGCATCTCACTGTCGCTTCCACCACCAATTCGGTGCTAAAGCCACTTAGGTTCGTTACACTCTCCTCAATGTCACTGAAAAAAAAAAAAAAAAAATAAAACATTGGACGTGTACGTGTGATGCAACGGAGCGAAAAAAAGAAATTACAACAGGATGTTGATCGAGTAGAATCGAGCAGCTTATCGGTATTTGCGCGATATGAAATTTTTTTTCTCTCCACAAGATTATATCCCCGTTGTTTTAAAACATTTTTTTTATAAAAAAAATTGTCACGCAGCTGCGTGAGTTACGCTTGAGGAGAATTGCGTGCAACCGATACCGGTGCAACGAAGTGACAGCTTTCGCTGGGCGGGGGTTAGTCGCCGGGTGATGATAACTCACGTGCGAGTTTCGGGTTTTGCGAGCAAGAACACCGCCCACTTTTCATCATCCACGGCAAATAAAACCGCGACGAACACGTCTATGAGAATCAGAGTTGCTCGCGAGCGTCACTTACCAGCCTATTTGTCGCAACGAGTGAATTATTATATTGTCGATCTCCTCCATTCTACGTAAAAAGATGAAAATCCTAAGGAGCCGCTTACCGCCCCGTCCGTATCGCGTGTTTACGAGGTTCGGCCTGACTTGATCATCGGGGATCTAACCTTCCTTCCGGCGAGCGTAACACACATACGCCGAAACGAGCGCGCGCGCGCGCGCTCGCGCGTGTGTGTGCGCGTGGACGTGTGTGTGTGTGTACGTGCAGATGTCGCGCGACATGTTTCAATACCGCCAATAGGAAAGAAGATTCGCGTATGTGTCAAGTCGAGCCCTTGAAATCCTTGTCGATGCGCTTATCGATCGTGCGCGTTTTTTTTCTATTTCGTCGGAATGCGTCTCTTTCCTTCAAACGAAAAAAAACGCACATTGCGTCGGGAAACAGATCGTCGTGTCAGATGACGGGGAGTTTTCCACCCGGAGGTTTGTGTGTTCGCCCTGCGAAGAACAACGATGTGTTAATTCGAGCGCTGATTCGGAGCTGAATGAAATTATCACAATACCTGTCGCAAGTCTTGTCGCTGCTCTCTTCCGCTTCGATCGCGTGCGAATTATCGCTGTTGTTCTTATTATCTCCGCAAAATTGTTGCGTGCAAGTGGAAGACCGTCGGGTGACAGTTCGACGCGCGGAACGACGCGAATTCGAATCGCGCGCCGCGCTCGGGACGCAGGCGCGACGCGCTTGCTTCGCGGCCAACTTCAAGGCGCCGCGGTAAAAGATCAATTATTCGCGGCCGCTCGTCCGCGGGGTCGTCCGCTCTCTGCTGTTCGCTCCGTACGAGCGTTCGGTGCGCGCTGTTTCCCGGTGGCGCGTCGAGATTGTGTGTGTGTGTGTGTGTGTGTGTGTGTGTGCATATATGCGTGCGTGTTGTGCACGCACAGCGCGCTCGCTCAGCTGTTGTTTCTTCTGCTGTTGAAATGACAGTTTCGCGTCGGTGGTGCGCGATGTGGAAATCGGCCTCGTGAAGGCGCACACACGGTGTTAAGGAGTTTCCGCGCGCGGGCCAGCATTCGCGTGTCGCAAAACCGCCGCGCTGCGGATCCGCGCGGCCACGGGAGGCAGGAAAGATGAACGGGAGCCTGGGAATAGGGGCGCGCGAGCAACATCCACAACGATTCGCGGATTACTTCGTCATATGCGGCCTGGACAAGGACTCCGGTCTGGAACCGGACAAATATTTCGGTGAGACGTTGTCCCCCTCTTGTTGTATCTTTTGCGCGCTCTCGCGCTATCTCTTGCGCGATATTTTATTCCCTCTTTTCTCTCGCGTCGAATAAAGCGAGAGAGAAAGAAAGAGAGAGAGAGAGAGAGATAGAGATAGATAGAAAGAGAAGGAGAGAGGAAGAGAACGGGAGAGGGAGATTTTTTTTTTTCAAGAGCGCTCTTTGTAAGACAACAATTTAATTATCACGATTAGTTAGCACGCTCGTGACGCGCGGATATCAATGCGATAATTGTGTACATTTCGTGTACATTTGAATACATATAGAATTACAACAGGAGAATAACACAATGTCTGTCTCCTGCAGATTCCAGAAAGATAAGCGTTTTGTTGTATTGTAGCTATTACAAAGTGTTCGACTGTTCTGGAATTGCAAAGATTTTTGTTTTTGTCATGCAAAATAACATTACTCCGAATGATTGTTAATTCTCTTCTTTTTTTTTTTTTTCAGAAAAACAGTCGTTGTTTGAACCGTTGCAATTTTGTTTTTTTTTTTTTTTTTTTTCGTTCAAGCGAGTGAATTTATAAACAACACAACAAAGACTTGGTAAATATTGTTCTCTCAGGATTGCAATGGAAACGTTGCAATGGAATTGTTAGTCACATGTGAACCAAAACAAGTTTTATGTGGTTGAAACTTAATTAATTAGTAGTCGAAAGTTAATTAAATTCGCCGAATAGTAATTTTGAGCAAGTATTTGTAATAAAGTTTTTACGCGCACACACACGTCCAGCATGTTCAACTTTCAAATTAGCGATTTAACGTGGCAGTACGTATTTTGGGTTTTTTGTAAATCACAACGCAATTAACATTAATGAGACGAGAAAATACGTTCCGTGCTAACTGTACCAAAGTTATTCAAAAAAATGTAGGTCTCTCGTTTCAGCGGTATATATTCGCGCTCTTGTGTGTTAAAAAAAACTGGAGGACTGCTCGGATGTTCTCTCGCGGAAGAAAGGATCTCAAGAGAACAGAGAGAGAAAGAGAGAGAGAGAGAGGGAGAGAGAGAGAGAGAGAGAGAGACGCGGACAGGCCACAAAGAACCCGCAGCTGTACACTCTCGTACACAGCAGCATCCGGGCTTTTCCTAGTACAGATAAAAGAAACGTTTGTGCGACAATTGATTTCTTCGTGGAGCAGCTGAGTTAGCATGTAATACGCGAGAAGCGTATAGGACACACATAACTACGGTCGAGCCCCGGGTTGGGGGCTTCTCTCTTCTCGTCGTTTCACGACGTCCAAAATAGGGAGAGTCTTACAATACGCGAGGGTAGCAAAAGTTGATCCTCCTGAGAAAACGCCACCGCCGCCGCCGCCTCGCACAGAGAGAAACAGTTTTCCGTGAAAAGATCTTCTTGCTGTGAAAAGAGACGCCTCCCCCGAGAAGAACCAAGCGCGTAGCTAAAAGCGCGCTTCTTGTACCCAGTGATGAGTTACAAGTCTCGCCGTCAGCTGTTGGTTGGCCCAACATACACATGTAGAGATATCGTCTTTATATCTCTCTGAAACCAGAGAAGGTGATGCGATCACTTCGGATTTCGTCGTGTCAACTGGAAAGAAACGAATAATTTTCGACGTTTCTCGAGAGTCACACACGTGTCCAAAGTTTTAATAAAGAAATAGCGTGAATTTACATTGATATGGAATATACGCGAATCGTCACGCAAACACACATCGTAGTTTCAATGTTATGTAACATTATTCATATCGTAATCCGCTTATCGGATTTGCATACTACGGGATAGCGAGATTGTGACATCCTCCAAGATCAGGAGCGTAAAAATATCCATAAAAAAAAAAAAAAGTAACGCGTCTTTTAGAATAAGGTCAGAGTTTACGTGTGTGTATGTGTGTGTATGTGTGTGAGGATATTCCCACTTTGCTTTACGGAATTTTTCGTCAAATAGAAACGCTTCACAGTGGTGAAAACACTCTCTTGTGTGGAAGTGAAGCGATAAAAGACTCCATAGAGTTCGACTGAATTGTGACAACGGGAGAGTGGAAATTTCGAATCTAAAAATTTTTTGGATTCAAAAAGTAGTCTCGAATTGTTTTTTCGTGAGAAATCTCAAATAGTAAAACAAAAAAAAAAAGAGTCGCTTTCTCGATCAAAATAGCAATTCTGATAATATCTGAGCGCGCGCGTGTAAAAACTACACTGTTGTCAAATTCAATCAAAATGCGAAAAACTATTTTTCGCGCTCATTATTTTGTAAATAATCGCTAATTCGATCATCCACAGCTAATTTCTCCGCAACCTTGCGGAGTTGCGAATTTCTAAATGTCAATAATTCTCTTTCTCTCGACACTTTACCCAGTTTCTCTCGACGAGATCATCTCATTTTCTGCTTCACAAACAAGAATGTAACAATAACTCGGTCATCAAATTGGCGAGTCTTCGTCGCAAGTGTTGCGATCGTGAGACGCGCAAATCTCGACGAACATTTCTTCTTGCAACAAATTCGCACGTGTTGTTTTGTAAGACAATGTAGTTAAAATATTATAATACTTTTGTGTGTGTGTGTGAAACTACGATAATAAATTATCGATCGACAATAATTTATAATCTCTTATACCTTTTATATAATCTTCACAGATTACGTATTCTTTTATTTTTTTTCTTTATTTTTAGCAAACTTGCGTTTGCTTCCTTGCGTCTCCCTCGTTTGCAAATATTAATGATCGATGCGTTCTATTCTTTTTTTGCTTGAGGCCTCACCCTTCTTTGCGCCGTGTTCAAAGAGCCTTGGAGCGAAGAAAGAAGGGTAGGATTACTCACCATTTATTTTTTTCGACTGTCCGACTGAGAGAGAATTTAAACATAAAATATGAATTTAAATATAAATTATATACTACTGTCAAATATTATTATATAAAAAGTATGTTCTTGTGCGTCTTTTTTAATCAGTTTTGTCGTTACAATTAAATTCATTTGTTAATTTTGAGAAAAACTACTTATTTTGTTAAAACAAGCTTGAACTACTATTTTATTTATGAAAACGCACTCAATGTTCTTACAAATAATCTTGCAAATTGGTAACATTGTTACTTTACTTTTATTGTTGAGATTTCTGTAATATTTACTACTTATTCCGCATTGTTTAAGGCGAAGATCTTCTTCTTTTCTCATCGCGTTACGAAACAAGAAGAATTTGTGTGTGTGTGTGCACGTTGCATCGCGCGGCTTGGTCCTGTAACCGCGCTTCCGCCTTTTAAACGCGCACTTAAGCGCCGGTATATACCCTCTTCACGTACAAATGACCCCACATACGATGACATCATACGAGAAGGGGAGAGGCAACTTATTCGGGCAGGACGACGAGACACTTTGGGAAGGTTTAGACGGAGCATCGGAGCGTAACGAAAACGGACGGACCGGTTTGCACCTCTCTGACAAATTGGTTACTGCGATACGATTCCGAGGATATCGATCGAGAATAAAAATTCTTCAAAGACTTTTCGCGGATCGACGGAATAAATTCTATATTGGCGAACGCGAAAACCGTTAACAAGTGCGTGCAAGCGTCGAGTTTGTAAATTTGTCAACTTCATTCAAGTTTAGGCAAGCTCTTGTTTCGATTATGTAAAACGAGAATGGTTCGGATATTTATGAGGCGATTATATATATATATATGTGTGTGTTGAACGTAATTATCAGTCAGTTTGTATCAGGGTCAGTGATAATTTTTTTTTTTTTTTTTTTTTCTGAGAACAGATAAGAGTTACTCGAGAGAACTCTGGAACACAATTCAAAAACTATTTCTCAAATTAAAGAAGAGAACGGGACCAAATTGCGATACAGATCTCGTACGAATGCAACTTTTAAAACCGCTAAAAACTTCAAACGCGTATATATATATAGCTTTAAAACCGTAAAAAAATTTAATTAATTTCTTTCGAGTGGATTTTCAGAAACAAATCTCGTATAATTTTTCCTACATAACGAGTTCTCATCTTGAAACTTCTCAATATTCTCAACTTGCGCGCTCGGTAATCGAGCTCAATTGATAATTAGCCGCGCTTGAAATTGAATTTTTTCTCAACGAAATGAAACAGGAATATTTTTTTTCTCACGAACATATATACAATAGCACCTGTCACATACGTCTGCCTGCCGACACACATGCACACACACTCGCACACACTTTGTATTCCGCAAGTTCGCGAAAATCTGTTCTCCCCTTTTTTTTTTTCGCCTGTGTCGCGTGACACATGCAGTTTGTACACGCATTTGCGCGCGCGCGCGTGTGGGCGGACGCGCACGTGTACGCACCGCGCGCGTAGGCGGATTCACAGAAAATATTCGTTTGTCCGACGCCTCTCGTGCGTGCATCATTCTCTCGAATCAATACTTTCTGCTGGGGCATATCGTTCTTTTTATTGCTCGTTTTGCCCTTTCGTCCTCTCTTCTTGTTCTTTCTCTTCGGTTGCTTTTTCTTCCCGCCTGCGCTGGCCGGTTTGTTCTTGTATTTTGTGTTTACTTGAGTGTCACGGACATATTAATGAAGTCCCGCCGACCCGTGATGTTAATCTTCCAAGTGACCGAGGTTGCTCGCACAAACCGAGATCAACGACCTTTCCCGGTCCGGGAAGGTGATTTTCGCGAATTTTTTATACGCACACGTGTATACATAATGTTGTTAAATTAAATCATCTCTCGTTTGATATAAATTGAGAAAAAAAACTTCATTTCTCCGACTAATTTTGATCCGATTGTTTCACAGATTTCGCATTCGTTGCTTCGCGCAAAATGGAAACTAATAAAGCAATTAACGACCAGCGAAGAGAACAGACCCTCTCTAGATTCCATCTATTGCCATTAGTGCGTCTTCATTGTACAACGAGTTTTGCTCACGAGGATGTAATTACGAGTACGCGCGTACGTACGTACATACGTACGTACGTATATATATATACGTATATATACAATAATCGTAATGAAACCAACGCGGCAACGATGCGTGCACGAGAGTAGAAAGTGTGGAAAGCTGTGTATACATATATGTATACGTGCGTGAATTTAAGGACGTTATATATTCGCGTAATAACTGGGACGAAGTAGAGAGACACACATAGCAGAAGAGCGCGCAGTACTCTCGAGCGAGGTCAGCAACAGAGTTGCGACGCGTGTGCGATGACTAAATATCTCGCGAAAGTAAATTTCTCTCTCTGTCTCTCTCTCTCTCTCTCTCTCTCTCTCTCTCTCTTTTTCTCTGAAACAGTTTTGCCTTTTTTTTTGCCTCGTGAGAGAGTTGCAACAAAAAATATTCGCGGAGCGAAATAAATCTCGCACGCGGCGAGCGACGAGAGTGGCAAGCAATCGATTAACAAGCGCGATGACGACAGATTCCACATCGGAAGAGAACTTGCGGAGTAATTGCGCGGATATAAGTAGCCAACGTTTTTGAAACGCTAGGCGTCGTTGAAAGCACGAAAATTGCGCGATAGTCTTCGACAGATGCGTCGAGAGATGCGTTTTTTTTTTTTTTTCCAAGAGGATAATGAAGGAAACATGAAGATGAGGAAAATTGAGCTCGAGTATGTGTTGCAGGGAAGAGCGAACAGAAAATACCTACTTCGCAGGACGATGCGCAGTTTTTCTAAAAATAGAGGAAACCAGTTATAAATAAAGATAAAAGGCGCCGCCTGTGTTGCCCGTTCCTCCAATATGCGCGGCGCTTTATTATTCGGAAAAATCCACGTGTTCTCGGATGGTAAACGAAAATATCGGAAAGGCTATGTTGTTTGTCGAGGTGGGAAGGGCCTCCCGCGGTTAATCGAAACTGGCGATTTCGACGAGACGATCCGACTCGGATCGGGCCATTCGATTACCACCGGTTACTTCGTTCATTTCCAAGCGGAGATTGACCCGCGTGCCAGTTGATAACACGTCAATTAAGATTCGAGATTAAAATCAATTTTCTGTACGTGTACGTGCGCGCGATTTCGTTCTCGTGCGCGCGCACATCTCGCGAAAAAAAAATATTCATTTCGCTTTCGAAGGATTCGCGTGCGTAACGTGTGTTTATTTAATTAATATTGCAAATTATATGTTTCTCTCTCTCTTCGGCAATCAATTCCGGAAGTAATTTTGATAAACGCGCGCTCTCCGAGCGCGCGGAGAAACTTCGTGTAACGGGGAACGCAACGGAGCTCCTCCCCGTTCTTGCTCAAAAACGGGATTCAATTGTTGCGCCGCAACGAGAATCATTCCCGAGGTATCCTTGTGAGACGCGATAGATTAATCCGGAGCACGAGACACCCTCCACGGGATGTGTGCGTACCATCCGGCTTCTAATCCCGGAGGAGAGTTACACCGAGCGCTTACACCGTCGGTGTAACGGAGCTCTTCGCTCGAAGAAGAAGCGCGCGCTTCTCTGAAGCAAACGTTTCGGATCGAAATCCATTTTCTATTTCTGATAATTATCTACCTCGAGACAGTTGGAAATGGAATTTCAGACATTTCTCGCGCACCTCCTCGGGGAATACGCTCTTATCCGATGCGACGGATACTGGATTCAGGATTTAACCCGTTCCCGTCCTCCTCCCTCAAATGCAAAACGCAATTACAGCGGCGGCACGAGATCAATTCAATTGATCAAGCTCCAGTTGTTTCCGACTATTGTTGAAGCTCCTTCCTGATTTCTTCCCTGGTTGCTTCTTTTCACGAAGAGAGCGTGAAAAAAAAAACCGACGTATCTATCTCGCGTGGATTGCTTAATTATTTCGCAATGTGTCTTGTCTTCCTCATCTTCCGTTACTTTATCACGCCGCGAATATTCATCCACGTCATCTTGGGTGGGCTCTTTGATCACGCGCGATTAACTTCATACAGAAGTACTCTTGTCGCGTCTCCTCGTGCGCGCGAGGAGGTTACGCCGAAGCAGTTGGAGCCGCGCCAAGACCTCGACGATGACCGTTTCTCCCTCTCTCTCTCTCTCTCTCTCTCTCTCTCTCTCTCTCTCTTGCTTACTCACTCACTCGAGTGTATTATACGCGAGAGACCGCGTGTTCGATAAAAGCCCGCTGATTCCGCCGTGAGATAGCTCGACCCGAGTCGTCGGAGATTTTCGTCGTTCACGAGAGATTGAACTGTATGCTAAATTTTCCCTTTCTCTTCCGTCACAAATATTTTGACTGCCGTGTTTGCGAAGAAAACTAGACCGGGAGAGACTCGGGCGCTTGCTCGTCTGCAATATTTGCGACGAGGAAAGAAAAAACGGAGAGAACGGAGTTACACTTCAATCCTTTCACGGTTGAGGGAAGAAAAACTTTTCACAGCCGGGAAATTATTCGCGACAACAAAGTCGCTCGTTTTTTTTTGACTCACGATTTTATGTTTGCTCTGAAGAATGTGCAAAAATACATTTGTGTTTTACAGAAACGCGTTATTTTCGTATTGTTTTCGCAGGTGATTCACTGCAGTGCACGCCTCTGGATCGAGCGTACAAGAGCAAAGTCTTGGGACATTATCCAGACTCGGTACCGTGGAATCCGTTCGACGAACATGCCGTCTGCATGGTACGTATAATAATTTATACGTATATTCATTAAAATAATAATAATTTAATAAGTATATAATAGTTATATTAGTTATAAGTATATAATAGTTATATAGTAATATTTAATAAATTATTTGATAATATGTATTAATATTTAATAACAATAATATATTTATAAACAACAAAGTAGTTTATATATTAGTAATTATATTATTAGTTTTATATTTTTATTATTTTTCTTATATATTTATATAAGAAAAATAATAATTATTTTTCTTATATATTTATATATTTAGTAATATTCATATCGTGGCGAATCACAAATTCGATTAGAATGTGTGTTTGGCAACGTTTTCTTAGTCTCGTTAGTTATAGAGAAACTCACATTTACGTCGCGCATAGTCAAGAGGAGTTAACTTATCGATTTCATTGATAATAGCTTTGTCTGCCAAGCGGTTTGCGATTTCGCACTCAGAAGCACTCGGTGGAGCCGACTTTTCACTCGTTCGTTCTCACGAAAGAAGACGGTCACAGAACGTACGGGTTCAGTCTCGTTTTCTACGAGGAGTGCCGCAATCGCAAGATATGCGCCGCTATGCAAACGCTACAGGCGATGCACATCACGGAGCTCAGCAGCGGCCAAAACGGCACGCCTCCCACGTACGTTTTCACAGTTTGCATTTTCAAGTTCTTCTTTTATTTGCACAGAGCGAATGCAAAACCCAGTTTTGAAAAACCCCGGGAGAGAGTTTTTTTTCTTTTTTTTTTTGAAAGCTTGATTTCTCGGTAAAGTTTCTAAAGCTTTCAGTTTGTTCGTTTGCAGCGCGAGAAAAGGCCAGGACGGACACAATACGAGATCGCTACCACGTCACTTTAAATTGTCAGCCCACTCACCCGGCGCTGCGTTAGGATACTATGACTCTACCAAAGACAAGTTGCTAGTAACCAAATCGATATCCTTGCTATGCCAGCAGCCTTATCTCCATGCGGCAAAAACGTTCCTCACTAATCTTTATAAGTAAGAAATCTTTCAAATCTCTCTATTGAGAAACAAAAAATTCAACTTTTTTTTCCGCACGCGGTGATGCTATAAGATGATCTGTCTCTAAAGTGTGTTACAAGAGACTGATGAATAGAACTAGTGCGGCAATCCGATGTAATTTACAATAATATCAGAAATTGATCATGAATAATGCAATTGTTTCTAGGTGTGTTCCTAGGCATCCCGGACCTGGCCTTAGTCTAGAATCTTACGTGTATAACCTTCTGTATAACGTTCCGGTTCCGTTGTCCGGCAAATCGTTGAAGTTCTTCGTACCTAATGACGAACCGGCGAAATCGCCGCTAGAACTGGTTATCCATCAGCCGTCTCCGTCGCTCGAGCTGCCGATGCTCGATTATCCACTCAAGGACGTTTTCACGTGGCTAGGCGCGGACTGTCTGATCCAGTTGTTCACGTGCGTGCTGCTTGAGAACCAGGTTCTGTTGAGGAGCGCCGATTTTCACAAACTGATGGTGGTGTCCGAGTGCATAACGGCGCTCTTGTTTCCCTTCTCGTGGCAGCACGTCTACGTGCCGATATTGCCGGCTAGTCTGCATCACTTCTTGGACGCACCCGTGCCCTTCATAATGGGTCTGCACGCATACAGCGAGGGCGGTGTACTAAAGATAGCGAGCGAAGTATGTTTTCTCCCTTCTGCATGTTTTGTTCTTGTTTACTATATATATATATATATTTTTTTTTTAACAGATTTCTCTTTGTCTTTTACGATCACATGTGTTTCATGGCGTAAAAGATCGTTTGAGCCACGCGTAACGATTATCCTGTGTGTTTGATTACAGGCAAATCTTTGTTATGTAGATATAGATAAACAAAGTAGTCAATTTCCGGAAGAGTTGCCCGTGTTTCCTCATAAAATGCAGTTTATTACGGAGATCAGAGCGCTTCTAAACAAGTACAAAGTTCCACATTCGGGAAAGTGAGTTGTCGTTTTGTCTTCGTTAACGAATCCGGACAGCAATTCACCGCCAATCGTACTTAAATCAAGCAAACATGTTTTTGTTTTTTAGGACTGATAACATGGTCATAAATTATTACAACGGCGACATCATGACCAGCAGCTTGACGCTTCCCGGTTCTGGTTTTCCCTTTCCACGCAGAAAACATTCTTTGCACGACGTGCTGGATTGGGACCGTCCGGAACCGGGGCCGCAAACGGACAATCTTCAGAGGATAGATGTTAAGAAATCAGGTAAAACACGATCTCATCTGCGTGTTTATATTGTTCAATGTTTATGTGTGATATTTTGATAAAAATTTGTATAATTTTATGATGATTTAATCTTGTAAGATTTTTGATTTTTTTCTATGATTGCAGTGCACGATGATATTGATTGCATAGAGGATATCGCAAACGAAAAGATACTCACGTCTCAGGAAGAATACCGAGATACTCTCGTCTTCAATAATGCTGTCAGGGAAATTTTTCTGAATCGTTTTGTACAAATGTTTTCTAGTTACGAGCAGTTTGTTATCCACCCGAGTCAGGTAAGTTTATGAAACATCTGTGAAAAAATAAACAAAGGAGAGTTAATTATTTAATATGTGACTCATTGTTTTTGTGTGTGTGTGTATGTGTGTGCGTAGGATAAAGACGAATGGATAACTAATAGGGACAGTATGCACGTTTTTGACAAGGCCACGTTTTTATCCGACCAGCCTACGCAACATTTGCCGTTTTTGTCAAGATTCTTGGAAACACAGATGTTCGCTTCTCTTGTCGACAGTAAAGTTATGTCAACGTGGAGCGAGCTCGACTGCAACATCAAAGTTTTCGACCAAAGAATCTCCGCTTTGAAGTAAATCACTTAATGATAAAATGTTGATAATATATATTGTTTTTACTATTTCTTAGTTTTATAAATAAATCTTATACTTCTCCTTTTCTATCTCAACACACACAATAAACTGCTAAAAAAATCTCTAAATCCGTGTTTGGTCTTTTGTTTGTGTATTTCAGAAAGAGAGTCGGAGAGAACATCATACGGTCGATGCGTTACGAATCCTGCACGAGCATCGCAGAAACGCAACAAATACTCGAACAGAGATTAACCAACGTGGACTTCGAGACGAATCCACCCGCGGAGATTCTTCCTCACAGAGCCGCGTATTTTCGGAGTTTTCCTCCGTTAGACAGCGTCGTGCTGAACAAAGAGCCTGCTCAAAGGTGTGTGTCGCAAATGTGTTTCCTCTTCCATCCTCACTTACATCTCAGAGCCTTCCAACTGATCACGTATCGACTGCATAGAAATCTTATGGCGCAAACCGTGCACGCCGTGCGCGAGTTGGAAGGCTCTGACTTACATAATACAACCACCAATTTACAAAATTGAATTGACGTTTGTTATTTCTATTTTTATGCTTCCTGCGTGTAGTATACTTCGGTAAGAGAAAAACACAACTATTGCTATATATCTAGAATACGAACACTTACTTACAGCAAACTGCATTTTTACTTCTCAAGATTATTTTAAACGCTAGTTAATGCATCCGAGAAGAAACTCGCATGTAAATATTGTTTCGCGCGTATTATACAGAAAATATGTATTTGAATCGATTCTTTTTCGTGAGCAGCAGTAGAAGAGGACAGACGCAATGGAAATATAAGATGAAATCCATGGATACGAACGGGAAACCCGCAACACCTCAGGAATCTCAATCACCTCGACCTCAAACCAAACTCTCGGCTGACATGAGCCCCGCTTTAATAGCACAAGCCAATTGGACGTTCGTAGAAAAATTGCTCAAGGTAGCTTCTCTTTTGCCCGCGTGTACTGTTATTATTATCAATTAATTTTATGCACGCAAATAAAAAACTAGGAGTATATCGCACATCTAAGTTGCAAATGTGCGATACATAAGTAACGTACTTTCGTTGATATAAGAATGTGTTTTTTTGTGTAACAAGGATTGTAAATCCAAAACAAAGAGAATGCTGGTGGAGAAGATGGGATCGGAAGCGGTCGCGCTCGGTCACGGGGGCGAGTCCTTGTCCGACGTCGAGGAGAACACCCTAGTCGCCAGTCTCTGTGATTTGTTGGAACGCGTGTGGAGTCACGGACTGCAAAATAAACAGGGCAAAAGCGCGCTCTGGTCGCATCTGACCATGTATCAGGAGGCGGAAGAGTGTAATGACGCGACCAAGTCAATAGATCCTAATTTTCTTTCCCCTGGTAAGATATGTATACCATACAAACCCATATATAATGTCTCTCAATGTGTGTCGCGCGAACGTGTTGCGATTTAATTGTATTCTATGCAACAATCACGCGCCAAGATAATATTAAATACACGTTGAGCGGCGAATAATTGAAATTGAGATTTGTTTGTAAATTGTACATATATTTGTGCTGTTTTTTTATACGGAAATGCAGCGCTAGCGTGGTCCGTGCTACGGAAGCGACTCGATTGTACGTGTCTCCGTTTTATAATAATATGATAAACTGTTAACACTAAAGTAGAAATTAGTTCTCCATACGTAGAAATACCTCCTGCACTTTATTGTTTTTGTAAGTGAATCCATCAAACAATATTTAGTTTATATAACAAATACGTCGTGTTTGTGCTTCTCGCCGCACGTGTTCTTCTCCCAAACAATATACAACTCGATAACACGCAGTGCGAGATCGTTGTCGGTGCAGATTTCATCAAGCTGGCGATAACATAAAATTGCGATTTTGTTCTCTCTGTTTCGTTTTTCGTTGTTTCCATTTGTCAGGTTTAATTTTCTTTTCTCTCTGTTATTCTTTATGTTGTAACTAGAAACTAAGAAATCGCCGAATAAGTTTTTCGGAATACCAGATCGTTTGGTTTCATCTTTGAGAGGCAAAAGTATTACCGAAATTGCATCTTACTTCAAGGACAATTCGAACGGTAAGCCTCGGCTTGCCGTGAAAAGGTGCTTTTTACGGACTAACTTTGTTAATGATATTGTTTGATATTGTTTTTTTCTTCTTTGCATCGTGTTTATAATTTGTACTTTGATGCTCGCGAAACGCTCGCGATTAATTAAACATCGATAACAAATTACGTCACAGCGAAATTTGTTGAATTATTTTAACGTGGCAGCTTAAGAAGTGCCGTTTGTAACGGGGAATCCTCGTGGAAAGCAATGCATGCGTTAAATTGACTGTGATATTACACACATATGCATACGCAGTATGTGATACGATTTTATAAATTGTGAAGAAAATTGTATGCGTAGTTTTTTTTCTTTTTTTTTGGGTCTATTTGTATACGAAGCATGCGTTATTGAACATGTGCATGTGCGTATTTGTATTTTGTACTAGTGGAAATATGAACGTAAATATAAGAGACGATATGCAAAAGACGAATGATTGGTCAAAAATATGTTGTTCTTGCTCGTTGTTTTTCTTTTGTTCGTATCTTTTGCCTGAGACTGGAATACACAAATACACAGTAATGAATACCTGAATCACACGATTTTGTATCACGATAGATTTATCGAACTTGCAACTGGAAACGGACGTGTCGCCTACGAGAGGCGCAGACAGACACAAATCATCCGGTGAGAGAAAAACCATCGGTCCGGAACATCTGAGGCCTCTCCCGGACTCTTTGATCTTCGACATTCGTAACGTGCAAGCGATGACCGACATTAAAACACACATGGGATACGCGAGAGCGTGGGTGCGGCTGGCGCTTGAGAAAAAATTGCTGTCGCGCCACTTGAAGACGCTGTTGTCGGACACCGCTTTACTAAGGTGCGTGTTGTTGACGCTTGCGATAATATTATCGCTCGGGCATCAAAGTAATCACTTTGTTATCTTTATGGTTGTTTAGGAGTCAGTACAAACGATCGGCGTTTTTACGTTGCGAGGAAGAAAAGGAACAGTTTCTGTATCATCTTTTGACGCTCAACGCCGTCGATTATTTCTGTTTCACCAACAATTATCCGACGACGAAGTTACCGTATCGAGTCGTGATATTTCCGAGCCGAAAGGCAAGCGCCGCCACGACTTCGGCTAACAGTTGGATCGCCATTTCTGGCACACTCTGCGAAACCAATCCGGTACCCATACCAAAGGGGGCACTCGAGTTTGTATTTCACGTAAGCGTTTAATCTATCGCTGCTGAATTATACAAACTCTTTACAATTGATTTATGTAATTTGATATTTCTTAAATTTCTCTTTTTCAGCACAAAAATTTAGGTGTGCTGTCTACGTTACGAATTGGACACGATAACACCGGGTTATCGCCAAAATGGATGGTGGAGCACGTCGTGGTGAGAAACGAAGTGACTGGACACATGTTTAAGTTTCCCTGTGGTCGTTGGCTCGGCAGAGGAATAGACGACGGATCCACCGAGCGTTTATTGGTAGGTGCTTTAGTGCCTCGGAGTATCGACAGCGAAGAGCTGATGGAATCGTGCTCCACACCGCCGAGATGTAGATCCCCGAGTATACCGAGGCGTCCCATATTGTCACAAGTCGAACTGCAACATATGCTCGGTATGTTTTTTAATATTTTCAAATGTATATAATCATAAAGTGTTGTTAACAGTTAAATGGAAAACTAAATATCGTTTTGATGTTTACACAGGAGAGGCTGTAAACGCCATAGTCAAATACCATTACAGAAGAGAGTGTCAAGATGGTTCCCTGACCGCTCTGTTATGCGGGGAGGGTGGTCTCGTACCGTCCTTGGAGCAAATATTTTTATTTGGCTTTAAAAATCAGAGAATATTTGGAAGAAACTTCTACGTGTGGGATTATCTCCGTGAGTATAATTTTTATATTTCTTGAAAGAAACGATCACAATCATGGAAACATATGTAATGTCAAAACTACATTGCAGTGCGCGTGAAAGAGAATTTTGAGATTTCTCTGTTGGAACAAATGGACGAATACTCACAGAGGCTCAAACGAGACAGAAGGGTATACGCGGAAAGTAACCAAAGATTCACCATCTTGAGATGTTACTGTCATCTCATCGATCAAATTAATATGTTTAGTCAAACTTTAGGAAAGGATGGAAAGTTCCAGTTATTTATTTGTTTGGCTGCGAGGTGAGAAAACACTTTTCTCCACAATTTCAACGAGATATTGTTTTCTCTTGGATCGTTTCTTATCATTAATATCTCTCTGTTTATTATTTTCAGAGAGCAGCTTCTTCATCCAATGCTGCGACCGATGAGCGACGCGCGTTCCACGGTAGACATGTACGAAGAAAATTCATTTTTAAGAAATCCCACATTACTGTCTTTCCTTATTCATATTCTTGAACCGTTGAGCGAATTCCATATTGTCCTCGAAAAGAGCTTGACCCACGGAATATCTAGTACAGTATTGTCCGTATAAGCGCCGCGACTCGGAACGGTCAAGCGTGTCGTCTGACGGAAGTGTCGGATTGTTTCTTTTTGCGATAAGACCCATTCGCTCGGAACGAAAACAACGAGAGAGCGAAAATTTACGAGGAAGTGCGACATGAATTTGGCGTTATATCGCGAAGAGAACGAGTGTGGGAAGTGCAATAAAACGAGTCGGTAAGAACTGAACATTTGTTGCAATAGTGGAGAGATAAATTGGAACCGTTTAAAACGGAACAGCTTATCCGGACGGCGCCATATGTATATGGTTGTACTTGCCAAAACATACCGATGAACATACATACCAAGGTAATTCGTTGCAGATATTCCATGTTGTTTTTGATAAATATCACGAATCGTGGAATATCTCTGCATAATCTTAAAGAAGTCATCGCTCGAAACTTTTTAGTGTCATCAGTATGGACGCGATAATCTGTTACCATCGTGACTTTAATTATTTGACGAATTTTAATCGATCAAGCTTTTAATAAACAACAACACACATTCACTTTTAAGTGAAGAAGAGCCGATTACATTGACACAGAAATAAATATGTACGTAATGTACGTATAAGACACACACACACACTCATACGATAAAGAACAATTTTTATCATTAACGGAGGGAGAGATTGGAAGAGAAAGAGATAGAATTTATATGTAATATTATAAAACTAAAGACTGTTATACCCAAAAATGTTGCTGTATGATAACACGCGTTTATGAGAGACAAATTAACTGCGAGAAATTTAAAGCGAGATTTATTAGACACAAGCAAACGATGTGAGATCTCGTTCTGTTTCAAAAAAGCTTAATATACAATTATCACACCGGTAATAGAAAAGTAATATATACACTCTCTTAAGAAAAAAAAAAGTACATTTGGCCCCGTCTTGCCATAACTCTTAGTATAATAAAAATAATAGAGTTTGTTGAGAAATATTGAAATATTTGAGATATCAGTAACGAGAATCATGTACCAAAGATGTGATCTTATTTAATTATTTATATTAAATTAATATTAGTAATGATTTAAGTTAATTTTTATTGCTGTAAATATTTTTCTATAATTTTAAATACGTATAGAATATTTTTCTCGAACTCATTTTTATACTTGTGTGTGAATGCGAGCTATATGATAATAAGTTTTAATTAATGCGAAAATATTTTCTGAGATTTTAACACGATGATTCGGAGTATCTATACAAAAAAAAAAAAAAATTCTAATGAGCCTTATGGAACAATTTCTGAATTATCATGATATGGAAGAATCCGAGAATGATTATTACATTTAGTAATGGCTGTGCTTTGATACTTGTGTGCTATGACGAGAGATCGATCGTTAATTTATGTTAAATACTCTGAGGCATGACAATTTTTCGTATATTATAATATATTACATAATGTGGTCGCAAATTTTAATGATACATGTATACGTGCGTGTATATACGTATCATTAAAGTTTTATACTTTTACAACATACACCTACCGTATACGTGTATTCCAAATGGTCACTCGTGCGTGCGAAAGTTACACGATTTTTTAACAAGTTAAATATTGTTATATTTTTTAATTATTTTCATTTCACTCGTTCCGCGAGCAACGTTATTCGTCACATAGATGTCTCCTCGTCTGAAAAACTGTCACTGATTTGCATCGCAAATGGACCAAATGACGTAATCAATCGCATTGTTTTAGACAGACATCGGAAAGTACAATTTAATGAAACAATTTTTTTTTCTGTGGTTTTCTTTTTCTATACACATGGCACTTAGATTTAGACGAAACAAAAGAACGAACTCTCTTATCAACTTGATATTGCCTTGATTAAAGAAGCTATTGATATCGTTACAGACTTAATGTGTGTAACTTTCTTTGTAAGCAACACGAAATGATAAGATGATATTCTCTACTGTAAAGAATAACTCCTGAAGTACAAGAATTTTAAGAATATTTCGCGGCGCAAAATCATTTTTTGACAATTACGAGCCAACTAACCGTTAAATATATTTTTGCAATTTGAAGTTTTTGTCTCGATTCGACGATATTACGAGCACTTCTCGTCGCGAATCTCTCACTATATTGTGGCCAAATACGAGATTATTAACACTCTTTTGTGTTCACCAAATAATTTTGTTAATATCAATATGCAAATATGTGTTTTGTTTTTGTGTGCATTTTTGTTTGTTTGTGTGTGTGAATAATTGAGAGAGAAATAGAGCGACGGACAAGGTGAGAGAATTTGTTTCAATATAATAACAAATTTTTGAATTCGAGAACGGATTGTTGTTCAATCTTAATTATTGCTGTGTGGAAGTAACAGCCATTTGACGACTAGGTTTCAGAAAAAAAAAACCCCGATTTGATTTTAAATATTTTTTTTTTTGGCAGAGAAAAGACGTTTTTTTTCGTATTTAAATATGTAGCGTGTTGCGACATTGCTGTGTTTACAGATTTTTTTAAATTTTAGCTTTTTTTTCTATGAAACATTTCTTTCGAATAATTCCGAGAAAACTTGCAATTTATGTGATCGTTTTAGATTTAAGAAGTGATATCTCTCTGTTAATTGTGTTTTCGCGCGCATTTCCTTTTTACGTGGCGAGGGTGTGCGATGCGTTTACGTGGTTGAAGCGGAGTTGCAGCTATACATACGATACGGGACATTTCGTATCAGAAAGGTTTTATATTATTATGATATAATTTATATATACGCGAATATATCTCGAATCACGTATGTATATCTCTCTTGTCGTCAACATTACACACGCGCACTTTGTATAATAATAATCAGGAGTACAAAATTGTAAAGATAAGATGTGACGCTTTCTGCGAACGTTCATTGAATGAGCGCATTGCGACGATGTGGTGCCACGTGTGCTCATTATAAACCGCATTAATTCAACATACATACTCATTGTGTAGCCCCGTAATTGTCTCATCGCAATTTTTAACTCACTTCGTACAACCGGCGAGGTCGTGGTCCCCTCTTGTATATATATACATATATATAAGTACATGGATTATACATATACAATAAAGCTTTGTGTACTTGTGTAAGAACTTTTACAAAGCATTCATTATATAAGATGTATATATATATGTTATAAAAAAACATTATATATATATATATATATATTGTACAATAGAATAAACAATTATCGAAACTACTTAGGGACTTTATTCTGACATCTTCATCTTTTCTTGTGTTATCTCGAGCGCGAGTGTTATTCGCGCGCTTTGTAAAAAAAAAATCCAATCTCGACAATAAAATAAATTTATGTAAGCAGATTTATGTTTGCGATGTGAAAACCAAAAAGGATGTTTAAGAATTAAATACTCGCAATATGTACGTAAGTACATTTACCTACCGTGTGTATGTTTATGTCAACAAGAGACACACACACGTACATATACAAAACGTGGATCTTGATAATGTGTGTCGAAACAAACCTAGAGCTAGTTGAACATGTTGTGAACAGAAGAACATACCTCTCTCCCAATTCGGTTGAAACACATTTTATAGCGTGTACTATACAAATGTATCGTATTTTTTATCTATTTTGTTTCATTGCAACGAAATTTCCTACTTTGTTCGAATACACAGATTTCGAAGTTTTTTTTAGCAAAAGCGGTGACCATTGAAAAATCTCTGACTGTAACTCGGGCTTCTGCAACAAAACATCGAACATTCTCTCTCTTCAAATTCACAAATCATAATCATTCAGGTACATATGCGCCATATATTGTTACAACAATCAAAATTTCTGTATTGTTCGATCTACGTATCATGTGTGTAATTGTTTTTGTTTTTTTTTTTTTTAACGCAAATTGTCAAAACCACCGTCAAGCAAATATTCTTTTTATCACTTTGTAACCGCGATGATTGAGTGATGTTTTTCTTGTTTTCTTTTTTTTTTTTTTTGCGCACACACAATACGTACACAATGTCGTTGCGCGTTACATAGTTATTTAGAAAATTCCGCCCTTTATATTTTTGAAATGTAGAAAGAGATCAAACTATTTATTACACGCCGGACTGATATATACACTTAATGTTGTGGAAGAGAAACGTTCAACGCGAGACAGAGGAGAGAGGAAGAGAGAGAGAGAGAAAGAACAAAGGAATTGCCGCTCGAAGAGCCGACACGAACTGAATTATCGCGTACGATAATTCTTCTCAACCGAGACTGTCATATTTATAGTTTGATATAAATTTCCGAGACGTAACGAGATAAAATAATAATTTGTCAGTCCGATCTCGCGAACCGACAAACTCGCGTTTGTAACAACAACATGAGTAGAACATCTACGGTATACATCGATTATAACGATATATTGTACACATTGATAAAAATGCTGAACGACTTTTTCAAATCGAACTCGCCGAATCCCATCACCGAGATCGTTTATCTGAGACAGATGTCCGAGACCGGGACTCTGTACGGCGAGAATTTCTATCCCCGCGCCATTATCACGTACATGATAGAAAGACACGGATCGTTTATGAGATGGGCGTGGACCGATCAAAATATCGTGCGAAAATTCACTTGCTTGTATCGCCATGACAATCAGTTGCTCAAATACGTGTTTTCCAACACGATGCCGTTCTACGCCGATATTATCACTCTGAACTTTCTGTATATAATCTACTGGACACGCGGTTCTTTACCGTCTTCGATACGCGAGTTAGCGTATATAGTGCTATTTAAGTACCAGGCGTACATGGATAATTGCAAATCCTGTTGGATTCAGAACGATCCGACGACAATAACTCTCGAACGAATATTCAGAAGTTATTTGAGCGTAGCGTTATGGATGTCCAAATATTTTCCGGAGACCGAAAACTTTATTCGCCGTATATTTCCCTATTCTAAGTTGCCCCTGATGGTCGCCTCGCCTTTTTTTACTCTGATACTTCCCAGGAAGAAAGAATTGGACGACAAGTTCATTCTCGCGATAAATCTGGCCATTGTCACCGCTGCCGATCCGAAAATGTCGATATTGGAACATTTTAAGCGTACGTACGAATTTTACATGTCGCACAACGTTTACACGGAGGACATGAGATTAGACATAAGCCAGAAACTCGGCATCGTGACAAAAAACCAAAACGGCGCATACGTTTTCGTTCGCGCTTTTAACAAATATCGTTCCTATTACGTGATAGCTAAGAAAATGATACATAAAATCCGACAGGACGATGTGACTTTGAGCGAAACGTTTGATTACATTCATAAAATGTTCCCTTAGCTTTGTGTTTTTTTTTTTTTTCATTTTCTTTTTTTTTTNTTTTTTTTTTTTTTTTTTTTTTTTTTTAATTTCTTATAGCTTGTTACACGTCAACGCCACAAGTTTATTTCGCGAGCGCATCAAAATTAAAAAAAAAAAGTTTATATTTGTCGATTTATTGCACGGACGCGTACACGCACGTGTATATGTGTTATACAGGGTGTCCCAGAATTGGTTTAACATCTCTCGTAGACAGGTAGAAGGAATAAAACTAAGTCGAAAAATCTTGAACCATTTTTTTTATTATTTATAATAAAGGAGTAATTATTGAGTAAATCAGGCCAATCAGCGCCGACCTTTAGCCAGGCGCACGTCAGTGAACTGCGCGGAGTGCTCACACACACCAGGCGCGTAGCTCACTGACGTGCGCCTGGCTAAAGGTCGGCGCTGATTGGCCTGATTTAGTCAATAATTTACTCCTTTATTATAAATAATAGAAAAAAATGGTTCAGGACTTTTCGACTCAGTTTTATTCCTTCTACCTGCCTACGAGAGATTGTACGGCAATTCTGGGACACCCTGTATATATTTATCCAAAGTACGTGAGAGAGAAAAATGTACAAACAGCATCTAGACATATTTTAATCACATTTGTACGGACACAGGAACTGTGTCTTAACAACGATCGTTTTTATATACATATATATATATACACACATATATTTTTATACATATATATATATTTAATCGCAACAATTTCTCAGTATCATAAGTATATATATATATATATATATATACTATAAGCGAAATATCGCGCGCAAACATTTCTCTAACTACTTCTCTACTTTTTTTTACACCGGACTCTCTTTTTTTAATCTCGCATCCTTTCTGCATCCGACAAATAATTTACAGGGGACGAGATTGAAAACGAAATTTCGCGTTAAGAGAAGATTTAACTGTAATAAATAAAATCGTCACTCCCCTACGTATATAATCCCCGTAACTTCCAAAATGCAAATTTAAAAAAGAAGAACAGTTTAAAAGTTTAAAGCTTCATATGTTTTCCTAGTTAAGAGATTCTTTCGGTTTCAAATTTTTACTTATGGATATTTTTTTTTTTAATATTTGACCGTAAAGAAAACAGAACTTTCTAGAAGTGTCGCTATGCAACAAACTGAAAATCCCGTATGTGACACTTATGTAATTTTATACGCAGGGAGTGACGAATTAATATCTAACTGTGTAATCGGAGCACGTACACTCAGAACGCGATCTAACTACCGAAAACTGCCGTCTCTCTTGCGACATAACATTTAGCTTAAAAAGTGTTAAATCTGTTAGATTTAATCATCTTTCAAATACAAAAAAGAAAATCAACAAAGATGTGAGTTTTCCACGAAAACGATCTTAGTTCAGGTCGTTCTGGGTGTATATTTCTCTTTGAGCAACACACTCTCGAGATGAGTGTGTGTTTTTTTTAACAAAGAAGAGACTTTTTTTACGACAATAAATAATATCGCTCGTACATCCAGGTTTGTGTCTCATCATTTCCGATTAACTTGCAATCGGAGATGGTGAAACCGGCCCATCCTAAAGCAGCATGAGCAGTTTTCTGACATCTATTTTATCTTTTGTATGTGTGCATGTGTATTTTTTTTATCTTTTATATATTTTTGTATCTTCATTATCTTTAGACTTATTGACACTATTTTATATACATACGTATATACATAAATATATATATATATGTACATACGTATATACATGTATATATACGTATATGTACATGTCTATATACATATATGTACAGACGTATGTATATATACAGGATGTTTCATGAAGACCGTATCACCGCTCGTAGGCAAGTAGAAGGAGTTATTCTGAGTCGAAAAGTCCTGAATCATTTTTTTCTATTACATATAACAAAGGAGTAATTATTGAATAAATCAAGCCAATCAGCGCCGATCTTTAATCGGACGTACGTCAGTGAAGGTGTGTGTCGCGCTTGGTGTGCGTGAGCGCTCTACGCGGCTCACTGACGTGCGTCCGACTAAAGGTCGGCGCTGATTGGCTTGATTTATTCAACAATTACTTCTTTATTATATGTAATAGACAAAAATGGTTCAGGACTTTTCGACTCAGAATAATCTCTTCTACCTGCCTACGAGCGGTGATGCGGTCTTCACGAGACACCCTGTATATAAGCAAATTTTTCTCATATATATATATATATATATATACATATATACATATATATATATGAGAAAAATTTGCATCTAGATTGTTGACTTTAACTTGCAAACAAACTCTAACGAAACATTGATTTTAACACACGCCAGCAGAATATTATACACATGTATGTATGTGCGCTTTATGTTCCATGTATGTATGACCGATCAAACAAAACGCAAAAGCCCGAGACACGCACGAGCGCGATGTTTTTTATTTTACCGCACGACGAAAACACTGTCGAGTGCCGTGGAACGCATTTATTTTAACAATATACAAACGTATTTATTCATTTTTCTCCACACGAGCAGTTACTTCACGTCATCGTTGTTCGTGCGTTTTTTCTCGAGGCCTCACAGTGAAATTTTGTAAATATAAAAACATCTTATTTGTATCTCACCACATTGTACAAGATCGCGGCATTGTTTTTTTTTTCTCGCGACAATTAATTGTAATTGTCAATTGTCATAATTGTTTGGATAATTTTCGACGGACAACAAGATTTTGCAAAATGCCCGCGACAGAGGATTCGGAAAGACAGATTTGAAACCGAGAATTTGTTACAGAGAAGTGAATATCAATGTCTGTTTAAGAAGAGAAGGTTGACGACGAATCGCTGGCAAAGAGCGGATCTGTCGGACACTTCGACGAGGGATTGAGAAGCGGACTTTGCGGAACGAAACGACGTACTGATCTGTACGTAAGATCCGATTAGAAAATACCGCCGATAATACTCTGAATATCAGAATATCAGATCGATTAATTAAGTGATCCGTAGTTTTTTCAACCAATTTTTTACTAAAGTAAGCGAAAACGTCATCAAAAATCGGCAACAAATTTCACGCAAATTGTCTATTTTCAATCAATTATGTTATTGGTTATTTGTCTTTATTTTATAAAATAAAAACTTGCTATCATGTGACAATCAAGTACATTTTCATGTAAATTTTAAAAAAGTTTATTATCACAATAAATTATTACATGTTCAAGAATATTATTATTATATTAACGTCGTTTCCGATCCATAATAAAAAGTGTAAAAAAATTATCAAAAAGAATTAATTGAAATGTATAAAAAAAAAAAACAAAAAAATACAAACACTCGACGATGTAGAGAAAAAGGATTTTATCGTCGGTATATCCTATCTGTTCCTCTACATATCGATCGACGGATCAATCAGATGAGATAAAATAATGACTAATAATCATTGTATATATCGCGTTACTATCTTTCGGGAAACATCTCGATGTCTGATAACCCGAGAAGTCTACAAAAATTTCTGTCAAATTACAAAATTTTCTCTCGCGATTTCTATTTTGAATCTCGAGAATTTGTTTTTTTTTTGCGGAAGTGGATCGATGTCTGGTGAACGAAGAGGTGAAAAAAGAGAAAAAATCACAGAGTCGTTGTAATCTAACGTGCAGAATTTATTGTTTGCTTACCACATTGTCTACATTACTTGTTATAACTTGATATGTCAATTAATAATTTTTTTTTTTTAATCCATTCTCCGTCCCTCCTGAGGACTACATTGGAGATCAACATTGGAGAAATTATCCTTTTACAACGTACGGACGTATTGCTCGGACGATCGAGTTGATGATGACGAATCGAGATTCAAAGATTTGACCCGAAGATTTCGTCCGGTATTTCCGACCGCGAGATACATCGATTGACAGCCAGTCGCCTGATCGTCGAATAAGAAAAATCGCACCGGGGGCGAACGAAGGAATGAGAAAACGCGTTGGTGAAAAGTTTGTTCTTTTTTTTTTTTTTTGAAACAATGAGCGCGTCGAAATGCTACAGTAGTTGTACGAGTTTGTGCGCAATTCGCCTGTAAAAGTGAGATCTATTATAGAACGGGGAGATGTGAAACGCTAAAATCGATAAAACTGCGTGCGGCTCGCGGTCGATCTATCTATCCGAAGTCTGATCGTCGATTTTCAAACTCGATGCCTTGGCAGTGATGATCGCGCGCGTAACGTGATCTTTTTTTTTTTTTTTTACGAACTACCATGATAATAAATATGAGAGAAATCATATTTTCTCTCTCGTCGCATGTACGTACGCGTACATGTACATATATATATATAGTATAGACTACAAGTACCCATCAGTTTTTCTCTAAAAATACAAGAATGGCCGACTCGTAAGAGAAGCGCGTTGACCTGCAACGAAGCTCTTCGTAAAAATGTTTACACGCTCGTGTAAACTACAACGGACACAACGGCGCGTAGTTAGTGGCATTGACCGCACATCGGGGTTAATTGTTAAATTACATTATTGATTTTATGTATTGTATGTATGTGTATATATATATATGTTGTGTGTGTGTTTTTTTTTCGCAACAACAACAGATCTGTTCCTTTTAGCTATACTTCCTGCGTGTGTACGATTCCCTTCGGGGTTGATTGATTTGAATCCCTCCCTCCCTCCCCCCTAAAAAAAAATGTAATGCACGCGCAATCTCTTGCCAAGTTCCAACCTTCTTCTGGCAGTGCTAAATATGGTTTTTTTATTTCTTTTTGTTTGTTATTAAATATCTCCACACGGAGAGACAGATTTTCTCCACACCAGATCGTCTGTCCGCGAATGATCGTTCGAAAAACGTTATCTCCCCTCGTTACTTCATCGAACAAATTTACGTCACGTCGACGCTCTCTACAAAACATTACATTGGATTGCGATTAATTATTTGCTTTTTTAATTACGCGAGAAATACACAGCAACATGACAAATGACTCGCTCGAGAGACATTTATCTCGGACAGAAACAAAATTGTCCGTCCCGTACAAGTTACCACATTAGACATATGTTGAAAACAACAAGATCTTTTTATTAAATATTCATTTTAACAAAGAAGTTTCGATCAATTTGGTTTTTTTTTATCCATCGTTCTGCGAGCCAAGAAACCAGATCAATTAGAGTAGACGAACGTAGAGTAACTGTTTAATTACGTACGTCGGGTGTTTGATTGATGTTCGCAGTGCTGTCCGCATTGCGAGGTCGAATATGATTATGTTCGCTCGTGCGATTTGCATTCAATTTTTTCGTTTTAAATACAGGTAGTGCAGCTAAAAAAGAACAAATCTAAGTGTGTGCAAACTCACATTGGATTACTACAAACGACTGCTTAAAATCTAGAATTTACCGCGCAGCTCGAATGTCAGCAAATGCCTTTCCAAAAGTGCTCACGCTCGTTTTGCGATCGCGAAACTTTCTCCGAAAATTTTTCATTTCACATTTCTTCGAATCTCTGAACGAGAGAAACGTGAAATTTTACGAAAGGCGCGAAACAAGCTGGCGGAAAATAGAAATCTAGCAAATTACAGCTGAGAGGTAATCGGTTTTTTTTTTCCATCATTTTTATTTCCACAACGTAATTCGCGCGATGAGCACTTCCGCCGCAATTTCGCCAACACACGACTCCCGCTCCTCGCTTAAAGTCTACCAAGAGGCGCCAGCGCCCCACATTTCTCGCTACGAATAACATTAGACAATAGATGTTGCTATTTTTAGCTGCATTTTCTGCATTTCCTTGATCACCGGTGTCTTTCCCCCTTCCCCTCTTCCGCTTTTTCTTGCTTCGCTCAAATCTCCAAAAATATATACTTTTGTTCACATTTGTTTTTTTTTGTTTTTTGTTGTTTGTTCTCTTTATTTTTAATTGCAAATGTAAAATCTTTTGTTTTGAAAATGTAGAAAATTGCAATACAGTGCAGCCAAAAACACAGCAGATTACACGTCTACTGAAGTAGCTTCTTTACATCTTTATATGTATATTTGTATATAGCGTCATTATATGCGTATAACAACGCCAAAACAACGGCGAGATTGTCGTTTCCACGTATAGATACAATACACGTAGATACAACACACTCGCGACGTACAATAAAACGTGATCGCGTACCAGGTAAGGCACATTCGAGAGCGAGAAAAATTACACAAATCGGTTCTCTCTCTGTTTGGATCATTGAACACTTATTCGATCACGAGGGTTTTCAATGAGGGTTACAAAAAAATTTCCAAGATCAAGGGTGAAAATTCATCGAGAAAAATATAAATTTATATCTCTCGTCTTATTCATCGACCAGCTCCCAAAGCATCAAAGCGGCGTCAGTGCCCCCGACGGTCACGACGTTCTGGTCGTTGTAGAGGAACCGGGCGCACGCCACCAGCGAACTGTACACCTTCTCCTCGACGTACTCGGCCTTGGCACTGGTGCACGGATACCTGAAAAGCCGAAGGTATCCCTCGGCGTCGCCGCTTATTAGCATGTCGTGCGCCGCCGATCTGCTGGAAGTGGTGACGACAGTGGTCAACGGATAGTAACGATTGTTCCATTGTCCTGTGAAACGCACAATCGCGTAAAATTTATTTTCACGTATAATAGTATAATAATAATTAATTAGAGTGAAAATTTCTCGTTAAAAATCTCTTCGAGAAAGTACGTAATATATATTGATGTATTAATGAATAAATAAATTTGAAGCTGACCAGAAACCATGTAACCCACGGTGCAGTTGTGAGTGTACCACTTGACGTCTTTCATGACCAGCGGGCTCTTTTCCGATGACAATACTTTAACATCCCCTAGAAGAGACGAAAGAGATGTTTTATACTTTTTATGATATAAATTATCTATCAATTGACGTTATTACATAGTAAATAAGCGTAATGCTATGTATTATTATAAATAAAATATATAAAAAGTAACTTACAAAACACGAGATCGTAGTCTTGCGTGACGGTCTGAAGAAAGCGGCTGTCGGAGCTCCAATCGAGTTGCACTAACGGCTGCGTTCCACGAATCTTGTTGCTCTTTTTATAAGAAAACCCATCCCTAGACACTCTGAACAGGTAAACGCTACCATTTTGCGACCCCATAGCCACAATTTCCCCGGCTAATCGGACAGTACACGAAAAAAAATATTAATAACATGTTTCTAAACGAATAAATAATTCACTTAACACGCGCGTATCTACTTCGATGTTGTAAAACCGCGAAAAAAAAAATTATAATATTAGGTGACAAAGCCGAATGTGTGCGAGAACATTCTCTCTCTCGGAGGGAATCATCTCCGTAAAAGATTTTCATATTTTATATTCAAGCAAAATGATCGTCACAAATTGAACAAGAGAATTGTGTGATACACGCGACGCGATTTAATTTTCACAACGCAAAATCCGAAGTCAAATTGATTTGAGAAAATACCAAAGTAATACTTGTGTCTCGTACTGGGATTGTATCCAATGCAGGATAGCGGCGAGCCGCATACTCGCAGAGTCGCCACGGCTGCTCCGGTGTCGGCTGCGAGTACCAGAAGATGACCCTCGGACGATCCCGCCGCCAGAGCCACGCCGAACGGATGAAAGGCTATGCATATGCACTCGAAACCCACCTAAACGCATTGTCATAAGTTATTATAAGTGAAACCAAGATGTAGTACATAGGATTGAGAGAGAAAACAAATATTTTTTTTCAAATAGTCAATACGAGCCGGATGTGAAAATATATTTTTAAACGTGTAAATTAATGTACTCTTGGAATTTGAATTGATTTTGAAAATTGATCTAAGATTGTTTAATTTGCATATTTAATACACAAATTACCTCTATTTTAATTTTTTATAAAAGTGTTTTAAAAGTTCTTTCTTACCTGCGTGGTCCACAACAGCTTGTGACGTCGCCAAAGGGCGATGTTCTTGTCGTGTCCCGCGGTAGCGAAGACCTCGTCGTCGGGGTGAACAGCCAGGCCCCACAGTTGTCTGCCGTGGCCGAACACAACCTGGTTGAACCTTCGCTGCAGGGAACCCTCGAGAATGTTGTTGCGCGTGGTTCCCACGTAAATGTTCCCGTCGTTCCGTCCAGGACGTTGCGGATATATACTACGTACACCGCCCACCAATTCCGGCAGCTGTAACGTCAGAAATTTGCGTATCGCATTATGCGACATTTCATCGCATTGATTTCTCCGTTATTTTATATCCAGTGCGTATGGACTAGGACAAGAGAGCGGTATTTAACTCCATTACCTTTGTGTCGGTGATGCGTTTGTAATTTTGCAACGAGTCCCAAGCGGCAATTTTTCTATCCTTCTCGCCGCCGGACAGCAGAGTGCCTTCCGACAGCATAACGAGGGAACTGATGCCCTTGTTGTGCGCCTCGAATTCCATTCGCACGAAATAGGCCCCGTCCGCGTCCACCGAGTACACCGTAATAAAGCCGTCACTGTCCGCGGTAACGACGTCACCGTCCTGCTCGAACTGAATACTCGTCACGTGCGTACGAGATGGCTGCGGAAAAAATGCGGAAAATATTATTAAATATTACATCAACCCCCCAAATCGAATTCGCAATCGTGTTGGCGGCAAAATTGCTCGAGAGAGTTGAGAAAACTTGAAACACGTCAAACTCTGTTTCCAAATTACCGGCTTGATGATGTCGGTTCGCTCGAAGAAACCGTCTTTCCGCCGATTCCAGAAGGTCAGATGGCCGCGCCCGTGTGTTATTAAAAGATTATCGTCTAATGGATGAAATGCCGCGCCTGTGAGATCCTCCTGCATGGTCTGGAACAAATCGAAATGTAATGACAGAGCAATTTCCGAACACGTTCGTATCAAGACATTACGCCACAACTTTTTCAGATACGTTGGGTGATGAAATATCGACACGGTCTGTATAATATTGACGGATTATGCTCAAGCGATATCAGACGCAAACTTTTGTGTGAAAACTAAAGCACGTCTGAGAAACGGGGGGAGGGGGGGGGAAGTGGAAAGAAACCTTACCGCCACTTTGCCTAATAGATGACCCCATTGCCACTGCCACACCGATAGTATCGCTTCTCTGCCAGAATCCACGGCGAGCACGTAACTACCGCCATTCTATATATATGAAATAATCAAAACTTCACGCGTGTACATATTTTGTGTGTTATTCATTATAATGATTACACAATAATGAAGAAAAGCAAACATTTGTGTGTTTACATTTTTAAATATTTGTAAACAGAATTATATATATATATATATGATATAATTACCAGTTGTGAGAACGCTAGTGCCGAGACGCCCATCTGAAACTCGGTCATACCGAACACGTAAAGGGTAAGAAGAGTTTCCGTCGACCATATACGGACATGCGGCTGCGCCTTCCGGTGCCTGCCCGCTCTTTGACCGGACGCGACTAGTTCCCTGCTGGGGTGAACCTGAAGTGTGTGTTTTATTAATTCAATTTTATTAATGTTTTATTTTCGATTATTATTATTTTATATATTAAATTTGTTTTATGGTTTTAGCATCGCGCGAGAAGCGCGTCCTAAAAATTGTTTCACCTCCATGCACGTGATGTCCTCCGTGTGACCGATGTAATGTCGCTGCGTGTTCTCCTCACGATCGAAAAGAATGGCCACGGCCGCGACGTAATACAACAATTCGCCACTAGGTAAGACCCAAAGGTTTCTGCGAGTATCGGTTCCCCGATAGCCGTAGACCCACTCGAGCTGCAGCTTCTTTTCCGGCGGCAAATTGTCGACCGGTGGTAGGTGGGAGGGCGGATAAAACGATCGTCTGAGTCCTCTGATCGTAACCCTCGCCGGTTCGTCGCGCAGCACCTCCACGACACTGTAATCTATCAACGCGTGTCGCAACAACGTGAGTTGAGATCTTGATGACGGAGAAAAAAATTAACAAAGAGAAAAAAATTAACTGAGCGAGATCACTTACCGTTCACTCGAACGATTTCGGAGTCGGCCGCGTACAACGCGCGAGGTCTGCTTTTGCTTCGAGCCCTCCGCTGCCGGCTGACATCCTCGACGACGGCGGGTGGACCGCGGGATCTCGATCTTCGTACCGGGGACGTGATGCCGCCGGCCACGGCGAGAGCCGATCCGGTGCCCAGGTAAAACGTGTCCACATCCGCGAACTCGTTCCTCAGTTGCGAAAAACTCCTCACCTGGCCGGCACAAATCGCGAAACTTCGTTTTTTTTTTTTTTTTAATACCGTAAAATTAATTGCGATAACAAAAAATAATTTGCAAAAGTTGAATTCTCGCGATTCACCGAATCGCCAAATATTGCGGTTTAAATTTCAATTTTGTAAGAATTGAAATCTCGTGACATCGAGAGCAAACTCTGTTCATAAAAATTCTGAAATTAAATTTTATCCGTAAAGGTCGTGTGTGAGCGAAATTTTTTTGCAAATCAAGGTCTATTTAAATCTGCCCTTTTTGTGAATAACAAATTCTTCACTCACGTCATTTTGATCCGCATAGGAAATTAGTTACAGAATGTCAGAGAAATCACAGACGCATGATGTAACATTGAGAAAGAAAGAAAGAGAAAGAAAGAGAAAGAGAGAAAGAGAGAGAGAGAGAGAGAGGTCGATGATATGCCACTCGCCGAAGAAAATTGGTCTCTATTTGAAATTCATATAACGTGACCTGAAAAGATGGATCTCTGACCTTTTTACACACCCGTGGGTGTCCATCCAACTTGCATCATCACAACCACCTCCCGCGAGATACGTATAATCGTGTAATTTATTACAATGTCAAAAATTCTTGTAATCCTGATGGCGTCGTCGTGGCGCTCGAACGTGAAACTTTACCCCCTTCGATCGCGCTCGCCGCGTCGTTTTTGCGACCAAGAGCAGTGAGTTTGGTATTAACCGTAGCGTAAGTAGCGCATTTCTAATTTGGAATTACACAAATACACACACGAGTCAGAGTCAGTTAGTATAGGTATGTAAAATGTAACAAACATCTCTAGCAAGCGGCGACTTATGGGACCTACAAGCAATAACCTTATTCCGTGGAATCTCGAACGACGGGTCGACCCCGTTATCGTCACGCTTCGAGTTTCGTTCCCCGTCTTGCCTCCCCCGTCGCACGCTATACATATTTATGGGCCAACGTTGTTCTCGAGTCGATTTTACAAGTATGACGACGATACCTCGTATTTACATACGTCCTTTTTTTTACAGTATCAAATCACGCACTTTTTTCTTCCATACACACACACACACACATACACACACAGAGTTGTCAACACTTTTTCGAAAACTACATTGTTGAAATTTAAATTTTAAGAAAAAAAATATAACTGACCTCCTGCCCCGAGACTGTGAACATCCTCTTGGCTCCATTCATCTTCAACACTTGTCCAAGATCTTCCAGGACCTCCTCGAAGGGTTGCGACGTACGGAGGTTTAACAAGACTCGGCACTGACAAGTTAAGTAACCAGCGTTAAATCAGGTCAAATTTGAAAAATAAATTGTAGCTAAAAAAAAAAACTGCATTTGATTAAATATAAATTTATTTAAATGTTAAGTATAAAGTCAAACGTATAAAGTCAACAAAAAATTAAAGATCCGGAACTTCAGACAAATGAAAATGTAAACACAAAATTTGAGATGCTATTGTGTTCAGAGATCAAAGTAATTCGGTATGTGTCCGCATACCTGAACGGTGTGGTCATGATTGTTGACAATACGAATGACGCGACCCGAGGAGGGCTTTCCACCCCCGGGTGGCGGCGCTTCTTCGGTGATGGAGGCCTTCCGGCTGAGACTCGGCACTGCTGACGGTCTATTTTGCCACCCCCCGATCCCACTTCCGGCCCCGGTGGCGCCGCTTCTGCTGCCTCCACCGCCCGCCGGACTTGTGTACCAAGTGTTGTTCTTCTTTCCGTAACTGGCCGGCTATTATGAAAAATTACGACCGACACAATTAACATGCCGTCAATTTTTATTCACGTGGTCTATATGCTTTCGCGCGAGTTTCGCTTATTCAACGGTAAAAAAAAAAATACGATGTAAAACTTGCAAGTATTTTCTTTTTTTTAAATATGATATAAATAGTGCAAAAAGAAAACACATTACGCGAAATATTGCGGTAAATTACAGAGAATGTATGAAAAATATAAAAAAAAAAACTAAATTTCAAAAATAGAAAATTTTCTCCCAGGTAGTTTAAATAAATACTTATAAAACCTGCATCATGTCGGCCGGTAGCGATATCACTTCGAAGGAATCGCTCATTAACACGACGAAACTATCTGTCCAGTAGTTCAAATCCTGATCGCGAAATTCGTCGTCCGAATCGCTGCAGGAGTCCACTTTTTCGCGCCTGGCGCCAAAATCCCGCTTCGTTTCGTCCGACTGGGACGACAACGACGAACTTGCCGACTCAATTGTGAATTCCGATGAACTCCCCTTGTCACCCCTGAAGATTCACTTGCTGCTTTCCCCACTATCGAAAAATGCGCGGGCGTACGCACGAACTCACATGGTCCAGAAACCGTCTTTCACTGTCGCGATTTTATCTTGCAAGACTTCAAGAAAATCTCTCGTATCGCGACCGAAATCTCTCTTTCAGTGATTTGCTTGTAAAAGTGTGCAAAGAGGAAAACAAACAACGAGGGGAAGAAGATCGCTCCGATAAAAAATTATTGCGAGGAATCGGACAACGGGCCGATGAAACTTCGAGTTTTTCACTGAAAAAAATTCTAGCAAGAAAAGAACTGTTCGTGTCAGTTTTGTTTTGTTTTGTTTTTTTTTTTTTTTTTCACATTGAAAATCTCGCACAAGAGTTTCGCAATTGACTTCTCATTAATCGATTGAATTGCGTGACACAAAATTACAACATCTCTCTTGGAGGATGTGTCGGACGGGGGAACGGGTCACTCTCTCGGCGCTGATGCAACCGCGACTGTGTTCAATGGGCGACTACTGGGGCAGGCAGAAAGGTGTTATAGTTGGTATTGAAGAACCAGGGTGCTGCAACATCCCCTACCACACCCCTCCACCTTATGAAGGGCTACCGGAGCTCAAGGACAACTATCCCCCTCGACTCTTCGCCGCCTCTTCCACCCCCCGTACGCGCTCCCCTCTTCACCCCCCCCCCTGTTTTTGCGTCTTCGGTCGACAATACTAATTCAGAATGCTAATTCCCTGGCATCAAGACAATCACGACCATTCCCTCTTCGTCGTCTGGTAATGATTCTTAATGAACACATTGGGAGTTATATCGCGGTTGTGTTGCATACGTCAATTGGACAACATTGTGCACAACCTGTCCGACAAATTGCCGCGAGAGAAATGCTTTGTTTGAGAAAACCTAATTCAAAATCGAAATTCTTGGTGAACATTTACGTTTTTTATTTAATATAATTATTATAATTTGACATAATAATAATATAATATTTTTGATTATATAATTTATATATAATTTGATTATATAATTTGATTATATAATTTATATATAATTATTAATTTTATTTTATTAATTTTATTATTATTAAACTACAAATTTATTATTAAACTAAGTAATAAAACAATTATTATAATTTTTCCGCTCGTTTTTAGTTTTTTATTAGCTACAGAGAGATCAATGCGGCAAAAATATGCGTCAAATTTTTTTATTGCTGCCTGTACACATATCTGTACGACAAAATTTCTTGCCAAGAAACTTTATTAATTTCTCCGACAAACTTTCTTCTCCCTTCTTTTACCGAATCGTTTATTTAACGTTATTTTTCGTCTTATAGCTATCTCGATGAAAACGTTAGACGTATATCCACGGAAATTGGGAGATCACACCTCTCTCTGATAAATCTCCGATGAGATTTCCAAAAAGAGATCTCTTTTGAAAAACTTCGATCACATGTTGAAGCAATTAACTCGATTGACTGACCAGAGCCAATATTCAAAGTGAACGTCGAAAAGAAAAAAGATTAACGGGGCTAATATAGACCAATAAATTGAGTTATGATTACGAAACACGCATATCACTTCGCTAACGAGAAGAATTAGCCATTTATTACATGACACATATCCTATATAACGCGACCGCATAAAGGTCTTTTCTCGAGTGAAACACACGTCAGCGCGCTTTTTCTCAACACATTTTTTACACAACAAAAAGTAAAAAATAGTACATTCAAATTTCTGTCAGTAATTAATTAATGTTTGAAAAAGTATACAAAAGAGAGCGATAAAACAAACTGCCGGAAAAAAATTGTTGCAAATCACAGGATCTTCGGCATCGATCTCGAAATTATCGCAAATTTATTACACATTTATTGTAAAAAAAAAAAAAAAACTATGACTGTGTTAGTTGGCCGGTAGATCAGTTCGCGGAGATTCTATATAAGATTGCGGGTATACGATAATAGTGGCTGGAACGGATTCACGTGAAGTGAAGGTCAGCTCACCGCTTCATTCTCTTTCTCGCAGACCCAACCCTTCCGACATACCATTCTATGTCGATGTAACACTATAACCCCTCGCTTAGGTCGTTAGTATTTCGTTCTCGCTCATTAGATTCCCTTTCAAGCGCATATCGCAATACCACACAAAAATATTACAGCGTGCGCACACACATACACAACGTAATAATATAATGTAAAATTTTTTTTCAAATAATCAGGTAACTTTTACGATACAGATATCGATTTTTATGTAAATCAATTCGCTATTTTTTTTCTTCACACGCACAATATTGTGCGCATTTACAAATGCATTATTTAACATAAAAAATATTACAAATCGATACAATCGCATATGATATTTTCGATACGCTGAAAATGTTTAACGTACTAACTTGTATTTTTGGTAAAGCACATTGTTCTTACTTATGTAATAAATGTTTTTATTTTTCATTACGTTCATTGCTACTCGTGCGTGACCGGCTGTCAGGCGCAATCCGCCGTTTGAAGATTTCAATCTCGCTCATGCATAAATAGATTCGACAGTTCTTTGGTTCGGTTTAGGTGGTGTGTATTGTACGTGTATATTTTGCGAGAGATTATGATCTTCGATATTATATTATAAATTAAATTAGATTGTCATCTCTCTCTCTCTCTTTCTCTCTCTCTTTCTCTCTCTCGTGAATGTTATTCCTTTCCGAGATGTATCGCACATTGTGCCGCGTGTTAATTTCGTTGTGACGAAAATATTTCCATCATACACACACGCTCCGTGCAGAATGCACGATATAATTATTACGAGAATCGCGTGCAATGTCGCCCGCGCGCCCGCGCGTTTGGATTAATTATAATTCCGAAAAAATCGCGCGCGCACGCGTCCGGAATACGCCTCGCCGCCGCCGTCGTCGCCATCGCTGCTGATAAGCCGCGAGCATAAATCTCTTCGATAAAACTCAATGCCACAAGTCGAATGCTCGAGAATTCTTTAGATCCTCCTCTCAGATTTGGCTGTGAAATTCTCTTGCACGTTTTATTTTATCAAACAAAAAACAACAACTCTGAAGATCTTGTAAAAAAAATACGTAAAAAAATTCTTTAGATTTGGCTGAGAAATTCCGTTACGTGTTTATTAAAACAAAAAAAAAAAAAAAACATCTCTAGACCTGAGATAAAAAGCGAGAGATACACGAGAGATATCCCAAATACACGCCGGCGCGCGAGATGATCTCGCGTGGAGAGAAAATTAAGTACCGGAGAACAAATGTGTTCTTTTACGTACAGTGTATTAGATATCGTATTTTCCGTCTCTCGGGGTCTAAGTCATAATTTTTCTTGAAAACCACGTCACTCGGGGCGGATAACTTCCTACGAAATACGCCAAACGGATATATAACGCATGTCGACCCCTTTTTTTTTTCTTCATTCGTTTCGTCTCTACCCCCTAACTGGAGGTATCCTTGCGATATGAAAATGAAGAACGAGCTCGTATATGTTGCGTGACGACAGCAAAATCTCGTGATTCGAAACGCGCTAAGACGATTACGACGGCAAAGTAATCGTCACTAGCGCAAAACGCGCGCCAAAACGGAGGCGCGTTCTCGCTCGCAACAGAGCGGCGCGTTACACATTACGAAGAAGAACAAAAAAACTTTCGCCTTAATTAACAAAAATATTTGCATTGTATAAAAAAATGTTACATTACAAATTTGTTCGGACGTTTTGTTATTTGTTTTATGTTTTACGCGTATGTGTGTGTATGTGTGCGTCCGTTGTCACACGTCCGTTCCGTTCTCTCGAAACTGTCGCATTGTGTTGTGAAACGAAACTTGATGCAGTCAATCGCGGAGATATCAACGCCGACGTTTGTCGGAGAATTCCGACGCTTCCGAATATCACCAGCGATACTCGGCCGAAAACATCCGGGGGATATTGCACTTTGAGGAAGCGAGGTTGAAGTGTCGCTTTACGATCGATATTGACAAAATAGCTCGTAAACACAAAACTGACCCCTCTCTCTTCCCCCCCCCCCCCGCCGACACTTCGGTGTGATTACTTCGAATCTCTCTCTTCAAGAGAGCGAAGCCGTTCGAAGGTAGGCCAAGCGCGAAGAGAACTTGGTGTTTATTGATCCCAAGAGGCTGGTTGACCAACGGTCAATGAGATACGGTCTCTCTCCCCCGCTCACTTGCCACCCTCTACAACGGCCTCCTTGGCGGAAGTAGGAATTGCCCCTTCTTGCCCCCCACCTCCTACTCGCTACTCCGTGATTCATGCGTTTCCAGTTGCTCGGACCGAGAGCAAAACTTTCGTTGTCGTTACGAAATTTTGTTCGCAGACCGTGCACACAAGAAACGTGAACAACAACTCACACGCAGTTCCGAAAACTTTCGTTTTTCCGCAAGTACGAAAAGTAAAAAATTATAAATTTACGACGTATCCCTCTTCTCCTTCCCCGTTCGTTCTTACAAAACGAACTTACATCAGGCTCGCAGTTCATGTTTCAAGAATTGTGCGCGCACACACACACACACACGCACACGACTTATGCGACGCAATAGTGTAACTTCTTGTTGGCAAAATCAGGTCACTATAATAACACGAGGTACAAACATGCAATTTGCAGTGGGAAAGGGAACGAAGAGAGAGGTGAACGAACATATAATAAAAATCTAATTAATGGCACGAATCCCTTGTTGCACTCGATGGTGTAAGTGTAAGGACGTGTACGACACGTCAGGTTATTAGAAATGATGATAATGGGAATGCAAAACAGGCCGACATGCGCCATTTTGCGCAGTACAAGAAAACGTTCTCTCTAATAGAAAGATAATATAATTTCGCCAATAGTCTCAGCGACGATCTCACCTTTAATTCGAATGAGACATTTTTGGGAATGTCTTCGGAAGAGAAAACATTGAGCGGATAACAACTGATCAAATTGATTGTTTGTGTAAAAACATGTCATCTATTAGAAAACGACAGCGCAGTAAAGTGTTTTGTTTTGCTCTCTTTTTCTTTCGCTCTCTATCTTCGTCTGATTAAATCGTAATATGATTAGGAATATAATGGAATATTGATCTCTCGCGGAAGGCTAATCACGCAGGACCAATCGGCATGCAACAAAGCGGCGCGCAATAATATAACAGGGTCACGTGTATGTGAGCTTCAGCCACTTTGGTGAATTAAAGAATGATCCCGCACATAACCGACGATCGAAGTAACTGGATCCTAACTGCATCAGGGCGCACGGTAATGACGTGGTACACGGCGAGTTAAATTGGTCGCACCTACGAACGAGGCGGAAGGGTGTGGGCGATAACGTTGAATGACGTAAGACGGAATAAAATCACTTATCATCCATTGCCCCAATAAACCTAACAAGCAATAAGGCGCATAATATGTGATATATAAGCGCGCGCCCCTTAATCAAAGCAAAATCATCCTCTTCTTCCACGGCGAAAACCGAGGAAGAAACGGACGGAGGAATAAAGTCGGAAAAAAAATTGCGCGACTTTTTTTGAAGTCGATCAATTGAAAATACAGCTAAAAATAATGTGAGACTTAAAAATATCAGCGCCACGTTGGAAATGGCGAGACGCGCGCGAAGGAGGGTTGAAATTGTTAGTCCCCTTCCCTCAGACGAGCAAACACAATCCCGTGTTGCGTGCGGCCTGCTTTAAAGAAGCTGATCTGGGCCAGATACACACATCGTCGCCGTCGGTAGCCGGCATTATACGCAACATTCTTATAAATCGCTATTATATCGCGCTCCTTTAAGGGTCACATAAAAAAAATCTATATTCCGGCGCATTTAAAATTTAGCCAGCTAAACGCGCGCTAAACTTTGTCGCGACATATTGTCCCGCAACTATGATATGATACATACTATGGTAGTAATTACATAGGAAGGCAATTAGTCTTCTACAAGAAGTAGTTCCGACACGTCTAACGATCGAATGTAATCGAGCGTGCAATTGAAGCAATTAGTTATCTGTGGAAAGAAATAATTAATTACAAAAAAAAAAAAAAAATGTCGAAGATTTTACTGGAAGTTAAAATAGAAAGTTGAACACACAAAATGCGAGATTAACTTAAAACACATTGAATAACACAGCTACTCCTTGTTACGTTGGCTGATCGTTATTTTTGGTCGAACATGCAAAAGCACGTGAGCTTTTACATGCGACAAAAGTGTTTCGTTTAACGTCGCATTAATGGTGGATCGGTCATTCGTGTTAACACAATTCGTGGTGGCACGCTGAAGGACAAAGAGAGGCCTGATAATTCCTCTTTTTCTTTCTCGAAAGGAAACGATATTTAAGAATGGAAGAAAAATAGAAAAGTAATCCTAGTCAGGCACAAGTGTCCATTCATGAAAAAGTATTAAATAAATATAGAAGCAGAATTAGAGTGTATAAAAACATATCTCTATATAATACCTTCCATATTTATAATAATATTGTGTCTATTAATATTTATCGTGATTATTAATTTTATATTATAGTATTAAATTTTTTGTACATTTATTATATACATATATATATATATATATTTTTTATATTTAAAACTTTATTTCATTACGTATTATTATATCTTTTTTAATAATTTAATTGAAACTATAATGATATAATAAAGATGAACTAAAACATAAGAAGATTGTTAAAAAGTTTATGTATATACACATGTGTACGGAGAAAAGTTCAAGTTTCAGTCCTAAAAACATTAATGTTTCTTATCAAGAAAGAAAAGAAGCAAAACACAAAAAAGGTTTGCGTTTATATCGCGCGATAAGGTCGATCGCGCGTCTCCCTGAAGAAGATGTGTTTACAACGTCAGTCAAGTTCACGAGTATCGAGAATGCTGCTATACCCTGCGTTTTAATCGAAATCGTGATTAACACTTTCACTATCTATTAACGTGTTCTAATTTTTGCGTGGGATACTTTTTTACTAAAATAGTCTGAATCGACTCTCAAAAAAAAAAAATAAGAATAATAATTGTACATATGTAATTATTTTTTATTTACACAGTTATATTTGATAATAACACGAAAACTATATTTTATTTGCGTGATCAAGCGTGTTTTAACAAAATCATTTTACCGTGATCTGTTGTGTTATAATTAATTCAGATTTATATTTAAAAATGTGCAACACGTACACGTTCTTTCTAAAAAAAATTTCTCTTTGATTCGTTTTTCTTTCCTGTAATAATTTTACAATAATAGACAGGCAATGAGATCCTATCAGTGTCAAGGATCGCTTACCTTGAAGGTCTTGTAGCTGGACACTACGTAGGAGGCGCCATCCTCGAGCTCGTCAAGGCTAAGTTTGCGGTCACCATCCATCGAAAAAATGTGGCGTGCACCCCTTGGTAGATCCAATCGGAGAGATAATCTATCCAGCAGAGCTTCCAAAGAGCCAATGTCGCGTCCAGGTTTGAACCTGAGAGAGGAAAAGGAAGTTAAAACATTTCCTGGATTATAAAAAAAAGTACAAGTGTCATAAAATCACCGGATATCTTTTGTAACCCTTTTGCTACCCCAATTGCGATTATTCAAGAAATATTAGGTGGTACCTGATGAAAACTACTGTTTACTGTTTAGTAAATAGAAGATTACTATAAAACAATAAACAAAAATTCTACAAAGATGCAAAGTGGCAGATATATAGCGATCGCAATATTACACTTTAAGTAAACTAATGATCCCGAATTTTCACAGCTACATTTAGAGAAGTTCTATGCACCTCCTCCAATCACGTCTTTCAAAAACAAAAACTCTCAGTAATATATACCATAAATTTATGCAAAGCCGTAGCGTTAAAAAAAATTAGAATCTGTCTAAATTCTACTGACACTGTATGACGCTGATTTCGAGTAAATTGGACTTGGCAGAAGCGGTGCTCACCTGAACTCGACGCCGGGAAAGTAAGGATCGCCATTTTTATAAAAGGTGACTCTTCTCGCCCGCCAGTAGCCGAGGTTGTTGTATCTCGCGGTTTGTAGCTCGTGCCGGCTCTTGGGTCGGCTCGGCTGCTCCGACTGCTCCGGAGGCGGCATGCGGGGACTGGAGGGTCTGCTCTGCCTCCAGTAGCCGGCCATGCCGCCTCCACCCCCACCTTCGCCGCCGATCAACACACCCCCGACCTCGTCCTGTGTCGTCATTCCACCCTCCACCGCGATTCCACCCTCGTCATCCCCCTCTTCTTCGTCCTCCTCCACCTCGCCGTCCTCCTCCTCCTCGTCCTCCTGTTCCTCCTCGTCGTCGTCCTCTACCGGCATTGCCGTCATGGGCGTCGCGACGCCCGCGGCGCCGCCCTTCGGCAAGTCCCGCTGCGCTTCTTGTTCTTCTTTTTTCATCGCACCTAAAGTAAAAGAGTCATAAATCTCAAAATGAACAGCATTTGAAGTAACTTGATAGTTAAAAAAATCTCAATTGCTTATTCAAAATGCATTTTCTTTTATTCAAAATAAATTAAATTTTTTTCTGAATATTAATTAATTTGATAAATACAATATAAAAATTTATAAAAACCTCAATACCTTTATTTTCAAAACAATTTTAATATCTAATTTTTTTATTTAAAATAAATTTTTATGAATATTAATTAATTAAAATATTAATTGTTAAATATTAATTAAAATATTAATTAAAATATTAATTAAAATATTAATTGTTAAAATATTAAAATTGTTAAAAATTATTGTTAAAATATAAAAATTATTATTAAATATTAATTGTTGAATATTAATTGTTAAATAAAATACAAAAATTTATTAGAACTTCCATATTTTTAAATAAAACAAAATATCGTGCTTACGTGTGATAATATGGAATATAAGTAACAAAAATATATTAGATAAAATATGTTGTAGACTCTAGTTTGAAAATACTTCAAAGTGATTGAGAAGGGCCAACAAGAGGTTTATACACGGTTGTTGGTGTGTTGACCAAAAATATACTAATTTCTACTTTTTCAAATTCACTTTTTTTTTAAGCTAATTGTCAAAATACATTAGACAATTTCTATTTTTACAAACCCACGTTTTAAAAATAAATGTCAGAATAGCATTGATATCTCGTTACACACCAATTGCTAGAAATTTAGCAACGGATTTATTTCCGCATCAGAGTGCAATTAAAAGTTTAATGCACGATTTTGAGATAATGATGACTCACTTCCGTTCTCCGACGCTGGCTCGGTGATCGCAGCGGCTGTACCACTAGTCTCGTTCTCACCCCCGACGTTACCGTCACCACCAACTGTCACTGCCGCCTCCTCGTTCTGCCGCCCCAGCCCGTTGGCACCCGAAGCCGACTGATCTTCAGTCTCGGTCATCCGCAGGGGAGGAGGCCGCCGCCACTTCCGCTTGTCCTTACTTGTCCTGCGCTCTTGTGATTGTGGAAACGACCTCGGTGGACACAAGCCTCTGGCTTGTGTTCAAGTTTGTGAAATTCCTGGGTGGTAAGAGGAACGGTATATAAACAAAGATTGATGTAAAGTCGAGAAGAGTCGTGTGGGATTAATAATTGAAAATTTTTAATAAAAAGTAAAATATACTAATAATAATAATATAAATATACAACAGATGTAGTATATATTTTCGTATATTGTATATTTATATATATATAAATATATAAATATACAATATATATAAATAAAAAAAATTATATATATTAAAAAATTTGCAGGTCATATCTTCATTGCTTGATTTTGCTACGACCGAGAATTTCGCGTCGACACACACAGCGCCAATTATATGATGAAAAAATGAAAAGAACACTTTCCTCCCCCTCCTCCTCCTCCGTTGTTGTACTCGCGGCACATGTAAATGTGTACATCGCGCGTACTTAAATTGCCCGGGAAATTAGACTGATTGCAGCGCGAGTGGAGCGTGCAATGTTTTTTGACATTTCAAGGTTCCTTACATCGAAACACGGCACGGAATCGCCACTTCGAGAACGCGCTATATAAATGCCGGTCAGTCGATCACGTGTCGCGTGATGACCAGTGGGATTCCTGATCGATCGGGACGGTTTTTATTTCGTACCTGCAGCTCTCACTGCAGATCCATCGATCAACAAGCTCGAACTCCATGTGTATATTAGATCTTTTGCCGACAATCGTATTTTTGCACCCTCGCGAGAGAGGATGAAACGTTCGTTAAATACCTTCCGTTTTGAAACTTTCCGGTTCCGTTTTCGAAGTTTATCGATCGACGGTGAGATCATCTGTCTGTGTATATCGATAAGACGGACCAGTTCCGGACATATTTGCTTATTTCTTCGCTGAGAGTCGTGTATAGCACAATTGGTTCTAATCTCTTATTACGCGTGGGAACAAAAAAAAAAGAGAAGAAAGAAAAAACTGTACATAATTGGAACGTCGATATTTTTGCATAATCACTCTTGTGTATTTGCCTCGAACTTCAAATACCTCGCAAGTACTTTGAACATAACGACTCTCTCTTCTATTAGCTTCCGTATGTACGAAACTCGTCCGTGCGTGACACGTTTCTCTCTCTCTTTCTCCACAATGCAAAGTACCTAGCATCTACTACTTTTCACGATGATTTATGCGCTCGTTTCTCATCTCGCTCATTCTTTGTGTCATTTAGAAATTATCCCGCCATTTCAACTAACAAAGGCGATAAATCAAAATGGCGGGCGACACTAAAAGCGGGCAATAATTTTACGCGACTACATCGATGTTGTAAATGCGTGTATTTAATTTAAAAATTGATTAAACTCTGGGAATAAGTAATTTTTGCAATTTTTTATTTTGTTCTATTAAAGAGACCGATAAGTAATGCAAAATTTTTATCTTACGGTAATCACGATATGTTTCGAAATTAGCAATCTTATTATCTTCGATAAATCACTTCTGTCTTCTTGTAAGACAAAATTGGAAAAAAACGCATATTTCTGCTATCTCCTCCTCTTTAATTTTCTCGCAGTGTCAACTTCAATTTCTCGAAATTAGGTTTTCTCGTAAATTTTTATTACACAAGATCTTTTACAGAAGAACAAACTTTTACACATGTTTCTGTCATTAAAAAAAACAATTAGAGTTTTTTTAAATATAAGAAATAAGAAGAGAGAAAGAGAGAAGCTAAAAGGGCAACTTATATTTTAATCAATAAGGAAAGCGATAAAACAACGTGTAATGTGCGGAGATCTGTTGCATAATTACCACGTAAATTCAAAAGCCTGTTATTATCTTCTTACGTGTGAAAAAGTAACCACTTGCAAATTTAACGAGTTTAAATTGTTAAAAAAATTTAACAATTTAAAGAATGTAATTAGAAATCTAACAAGCGAACGTGCAGGAGCGAAAAGTGTTTTACATCTCGTTTGTTTAAAAAAAAAAAAAAAAAAAAAAAAAAGAAACAACAAACGTTTGCGCTAACTTCACTGATCGGCACCGGTGGAAGTTGCTGAGCACGGAGATCCGAAGTAGAGTCGGAGTAAGAATTCTGTGAAGTTCACTGAAGTTCACTGACACACTGCTCCGTAACGACCGATGAACGACCGGCGTCGACGGCGTTATCTATGTCCTTTGCGTTACGCGCGACGGCCATATTACGCACGACGTGCAAATCGCGTACGAATCGTCTACGTTGAAATTGATTCGGCGACGATCGCGACAACGACGGTATACATATTCATGCGTCCTTCGACGATGGCGTCCCAACGTCGAGTGGCCGCGCAACCTCGCCACCGGCCTCCGTCGTATGTCCTCTCTCGCCGTCTTCGTCGTCGCTCTTCGTCGCGGCGGCGGCGTCGATGCCCGTGTCAGTGAACGCGGAACTTGTTGCATTGGTGTGTGGACCCTCGAAACTTCGAAATTTTGCAGCAGAGCGACACAGTGAAAAAAAAAAAAAAAAACAAAAAGCGAAGCGCGTCTCTTTTTACAATACTTCGTCCTCTTAGCTCTTCGTCTCGTAAATTTTTATATAATTAATTAAATTCGCGTTTATATGAAAGTATATATAAAATATCCACGAGAATGTTATCTGAACGTATAAAAGTCGCTAAATTTTCAATTTTTTTTCTAAAATACGATTACACTCTGTTTTATTTTTTTGCACACGCATTAAATACAAATTAGTTTAAAAAATCCTAGTTATATCGACGTCTTACGAGACGCACAACAATATTTAAAAAATCTATAAAACGAATATTTAATGTGTTAAATTATTAAATAAAACATTGTACTTTGTTATAAGATAAGCAATTGTTTAGAAAGCAATTTGTTTTGATAACTACTAGTTCGATAGATAGTTTTTTGGCAACTACGTTGCGAAAGGAAGCGAGGGGTACCATGCCATATCTTGTTATAAAATATCCACGTGACGTAACTTTTGTTCTCCCTATGGAGAAAGGGAAAAAATGAAGGATATTATTGACTCTGTCTAAAACTATACGGTGAAAAAGAAATTATGTCGTTTTAGTTTCCGTGATTTCTATAAAAAAAAAAGCCCCCTCTGTAGTTGTGTGTGGGAGTGTACGTGACGTTATAATTACGTCCCCTACAGTATTTCAAGTGGTAGCATTAATAGATAATATTTCTCAAAATTTCGTCTTGCGTTGTCGTGACTCACGCGATGTTATTCTACTAAGTTAAATAACATATTTCACGACGGATAAGTTAGAAAACTGAATCATAGTTATCGCATAATTATATCAAACGACGTCTACGTGTGTGTGTTTGTGTGGAGGGAAAAACCTTTTCCATCGCATATACAACACCTTGGTATAATCGACGTCCTTATCGGTTGACTTCAAGGAGGTCAACTCGCTTCCATGTCGCTTCCGTGTCACGGATTGCTGATAAATCAAGTATACCTATATTATACAAGTAACTATATACGATATATAATAAAATATATGGTACATATATATAAAAAGTATAGTAGTTCGACAATTAAGTTCACAGATATAGTTTTTTTCTCTTTGTATATATAAACACGGAATATAAATAAAACCTTCTGACAAGCATAATGAGGATAAAAAAAACGACAATTAGGTTTTTCTTAGAAGTATTTATGTTCATAAGAATAAATGTCTAAATAAAAATTTTTTCTTGTAAATTTCTTGATTCCTTGAAATTTTAATGAATTTTTTATTTCATCTTCAGTTTCCTGATCATCGATATTATCTTTTATTATTCTATGAGTAGGCTCGTGACAAATTCAAAATTAAGACCAAGTTGCAGGATGTTGGAGCAAAACAGTTTCTCTTTATTAAAAATCTAAATTCAAACGTTTTACTCCCAAGATTGGATCTTCACTTTCTATTATCCTTCTTTTTTCTTCTTCTTTTTTTGTACTCCAACTGATTCTTGTTTAACTTCTTCCTGATTTACATCCTTTTCTTTCTTCTTTTGTTTCTTGTTTTTTCTCTCACATTCTTCATTTTCTTCAGAATTATCGATATGAATTGCGTCCGTGATCTGTTTCTTCTTTTTCTTTTTGGTTAACAATTCCGTTTCATCTTGTTCTTTTTGTGTGACACAAAGTTTTTCATCTTCCTTATTGCCAGTTTTCTTTTTCTTCTTTGTTGGCTCATTTTCCATATCTTTGTTTACTTCCATTACTTCATTATTTTCTCTTATCTCAGGTATATCTTTGCGCTTTGATTTCTTCTTTTTCTTTGATTTCTTCGATTCCACGTCTTCCGTCTCATTCTGAATACTTTCCGACTTACTCGATCCTAGTTCTTCACGATTCAAGTTTGTTGAGGAACAAGCATCAGTTTCTTGTAATTTCTTTTTGCGTTTCTTCGGTTTTGCCTCATTTATCGCTTGATCTTCCGTTTGCGATACAGATTCAATATCGCTCACTTTACCAATTAAGAATTCTTCTGTGTTCTTGTTCTTTCCGCGCTTTTTTTTATGTGGAACTTTCTTCGCCTTGTTATCACATTTTACATCTGGATCAGCTTCGACAGAGGAACACGCGTTACCTCCTTTACGTGTAAATTTTGGTATAGGTACATCAAAATTCCTTTCAAACACTGCCACGAAAAACCCATTGCAGAAATCAATATCTGACCTCGCATACAAACATCGATCCCCGCACTGATATTGTTCTGAGCTGAAGTTCATCCAGTTCGGCAACAATTGTTTACCCGGTACCAGACGATAAGCGTCGCCGATATCGGCGAGAACTTCGTCTATTACTTCTTCGTTCTCTTCAGGATGAATAGAACAGGTGCTGTAGACTATTCTCTTTGCTTTTGGAAAGTTAAACAGCGCGTATCTAAGAAGATAAACCTGAATTGATTGCAGATTTTTCAGACGCTCTGAATCAGTTCTGCCGATCATGTTGCTCTCTTCCGGTCTGTCGACGATACCTGCAATTAACAACATGAAATAATTGCGGAATTCATCAACTTTTGGTTTTCATCCGCGTGATTCGTTATTAACGAATCAAAAAGTGAAAAATATTTTTACCTGAGCCAGAACAAGACGGATCCACCAAAATGTATTCCACGGACGAGTACTGTTTTGGATCAAGAGTCAAGGCATCTTGATTAATGGATAGAACGCAGGAAGACTTTGTCTTCTCCACAAGTTGCACCATTGCTTTAAATCTCGCAGTATCGATTTCCACAGCATACACCGTCCTTAAAAAGAAAACAATCTCTACATGTTAACACTTACTTTCGAACTCGTCTTATTAAACGAATCTGTAGATGGTGAAAAAAAAACTGCATACCCGATATTCTTCAGTTTTGCTGCTATATATGTGGCTTTCATACCGGGTGCCGCACATATATCCAGTACCGTGGAACCAACATCAGGATTTAGCAACAAGTAAACAGGCAAACAACTAGCCTGAAATGTGAAAAATTATAAGTGGGTTTACATAAATTAGCTGTCGCAATATTATATAATTAACGTTTAATAAATCAAGAATAAAAAAGCTGTTTATATACATTTAAAAAAATCTTATCCATACCTTATCTTGAAGAAGCAATTTGCCCTTCTGATAACCGGGATGATCGTAAAACACCGTTCCAGATGGAAAAGTCAATATTTCCGGTATATGAAAATCTTGTATAAAATAAGGCTCCGATAAACGAGATACAGTTTGCAGATATAAAGGATATGTTGTGCTTTTGGGTAATAACTCCCATCCTTCTTCTTGCAAAAAGGAAAGGGCTTCTTCTATTGATAACAAAAGCGTATTGATACGGACGTATCTAGGCTTTTGTGCTGGAAAAAGTAAAATATTAAAAGTTTATATATTTTTTGCAATAAATAAATCTTCACGTGTAAATTTAATTACATGTACTTTTTATAATCTAACAAAGTGTTTCGTGCAATGTTTGTTTTAAAAAACACTTGATTGTTCGACGTATAGTTCGTGTCCTATTTGAAATCAAGTAAAAAAAAAAAAAAAAAATACGTAAACACTTGATATCTTGAAAGTTTGAAACCATATTTTAAAAATAGAATTAATTTATGACTTTACATTTGTGTTGCTTCACTATCTTATCTTCTACATATGTTGTACATGAAAAGAACAAGGGAAAGAAAATATTTCAAACATACACATTATCAATTTATTATTGCATTACATCATTTTTTTTTATGTATTATATATATAAATATCATGTATAAATTAACTTTTTTTTCTTGTGCATTCTACACATAAATGCGCATATACATTTGTTTTTTTACTCTTTCTGAAATATCAACGCATCCTTCTATTTATATATTGTAATATATTTCTTCGTAATATATAAAACTCAAAATGTGTATTCTAGTGTGATTATATGTTTTTTATGTACATCGCGTACATATGCTTTTACAATGTTGAAAATATTGAGATCTTATTATAACAAAGCGCTTGTTTTATATTTATAATCAACAACTAAAAATAGGTTTGGCTATTCTTTTAATAATAGTGAGAATTTCTCTCTCTTCACATATGTATATAAATTTTATATTAATCATATATGTATATATACATAAATATATATCATTTACAAATATCTTGCTTAAGTCAATCAATAGTTTTTTTCCATGTATAAAAATCACGAGCAATCTTTGCAAAAGTAAAAAAAAAACAAAACTCAATTTAATCAATCTTCTTATTTAAACTTTCTTTGGATTCTATCGTATCTTTGTCTTCGGTTTGTTCTTCATCATCATAGGGCTCATTTAAAGCTTGATAAACATAACAAGAGATAATCAAGTTTACTACAATCACAGCAGCTGCTGCGGAAACACAGTTAGTTGTAAATGTATCACTATTTATCTTTGATTCCATGAAATGTTGCACTCCAAAGAATGCGACAAATGGTAAGGTAAACATGGCAATGCTATATAAGAATAATGTCCCTAAAACTGCCACCGAACTCATTGTGGAGTTATTTGTTCTCTCACAAATTGGTTTCTGATATAATTTCTGATAATCTCGAAGTTTTCTGATTCTAGCCTCTTTGTTCTGTCGACTGGACAGTATTCTGAGATTGCGGATAATCAGGACCATGAAGGAGAATGACTTCTACTGAGCAGTGACGACTCTCCAGGAACCAAATCTCTGCAAACATGCAAATATGTCCCGTTTTATTGACGAATTGACGTAATTACCTTTATCTTTGTGGGAGATGATGGGTTTTTGGTATTCTAAATTCTTCACTTCTTCTCTCAGCTTGTCCGTATAGGCCAGCACGGTTTGAATTGGTTTAGCCTCGCTTTGCAGTTTCTTCTTGCCCCACAAGAGCTCTGTTATTAGAACTCTGGCTAGCCAGGGGTCTAAACGTGGTTGCTCGACAAGAATTTTGGTGTTTTCGAGAAGCTGATCTAACTGAGAGAACGCTCTCAGAGTATTCATCGACAAGCCATATACGGCAGAAGTATTCTAAATTGCGAAATGCAATAGGATGAGTTGAGATCGTGCGTCTCTGTCCTTTACATTATAAAAAATGGCATATGTATACTTTTCCTAATGAACTTGTGATAAAACCTAAATTAAATTGATTGAAACACGTAATCTAGAGGGGCGTCACTGTTGTAAATATTTACTGAGACAATGTTTACATTAAGAGATAAATAATATATCATAAATAATAGCAAGAGAGAGACGATATTAAAGAAAATAATTACGTTTATTGAAACGTGACATTCATGTATTTGTTTTGAACTTACAGTGTGTTTCGTCTCGAAAATGAGAGATTTCAGATTGGCACCATTCTCTCGCGCACGGCGCACGATGTCAGCGGTACACTTGTAGAGACGCGGAACTTTCACGGAATGCACGTATCCGTTTGACATATTACGAATGTATGTTTCTGACAAAATGCAGCTTTATCACATTAAAGAGATTAATTAATAAATAAAAGAAGAAATTTTACATGCAGGTTCCTTGCTTATCATACAGGTTATGACAAATTGAATCAGGTTAGGTTAGATTTATCATCAACTGGATGCGTTCATTTTGAGCGCTCACGTGCCTTGGAATGGGTTTGGTGCAATAGTGGTGTGCAGCGTTTCCACTTGATCGCCATCTAACGGTATAAAAACAATGTTATAAAATTGGTTGAAAGTACTGTTAGCGTGGCTAACTCTCACAGGTTAAAAGTACGTACAGTCATGAACGTTATTTCTGTTGTCGTAGTAAAGTAGATTAGTCGTCAAAAGGATAGTTCATCCTTTTTTCACATGACGTTTTCGTAAATTACGGAAAGTGCGTCAGCATGACTTCTGCAGCCCTATTTGTTTCGCTGCTTTTCTTGCTCAACGCCCAAGCAAGTCCCGTGCCAAATGTTCAACTTCCGAAGTTGTTAGTCGTCTCCTACGATGCATTCAGGTGCGAACTTAATGCAGAAGATAATGCATAAAAAGTATATTGCTTTTGGTTTTTCTTGTAATTCTATATATAATTCTGCTTGTTTCACTTCAGATACGACTATTTTGAAAGAAATCTGACACCGTTTATGAATCGATTAAAAACGGAGGGAACTTACACGGATTACATGGTAAACATCTTTGTCACGAAAACCTTTCCCAATCATCACACGATGGCAACGGGATTGTATGCGGAAACACATGGGGTTGTAGATAATGAGTTTTACGAACCTGTCACAGGCAATGTAACAAAGTATTCATATGAGCTATATCATTACGACAACAGTATTCTTCCCATTTGGGTATGTATAGGAAACATATATTTATTTGTATAAAATGCTGTATCTTGCATCTTTAATGTGTTTCTTCATCTGTGCATTCTGTTTTGTTAATATATGACCACACAAGACCATTAATGAAAAACATGGCAGACACAGTGGTACAATGATGTGGCCAGGCTCTGCATTCGAATATCAAGAAACGTCACCTACTTTTGCTCAAGTATGTGTACACTTCACATCTGATACAGATATGTACAGATCTTATCTATTTCTGTGAGATACACAATCTGTAATTCTTTAATTACTTATCTTATTTCAGTCATTTAATGACACAATCCCATGGGAAAAAAGGATTGACACATTGATCTCATGGTTTGTACATCCTACAAATCCAATAAACTTTGGAATGTTATATATTGAAGAGCCAGACTGTCATGGTCATGCCATAGGAATTAACAGTCCGGAATTTAATAATATTCTAAAGAAATTAGACAATATCACTAGATATTTGCATAATAAAATTGATGATTATGGCTTGACGGATCTTAATGTAATTCACTTGAGCGATCATGGCATGGCGTCGGTCACAATGGAGAGAATAATAAATCTGACAAATTATGTCAATACTAGTGATTACAAATTTGTAGGAACATCACCAGGATTGCATATTTTCCCACATCCAGGTAAGATTTCTTTGCTACATGTGATTGTAATGTATGATATTGTTTTGCGTGATATCTTCACGAGAATTGTGTCTTTTAGGAAAGGAAGAAATGATCTATCAAAGTTTGAAGACTGCTGCAAACAGAACAAAGACGTTTAAAGTATATAAAAGAGAAGATATTCCGAAGAAATATCATTACGGCAATAATACCCGTGTAGGACCTATTTTTGTTATAGCCGAAGTTGGATATGCGTTCCAAAATCTTTATGAATCTATAGAATATTACAAAAAACATTTCAACGTGACTGGTAATTTTGCACCGTCCGCCTGTATCATTTAGTCGTTAAATTTGTTGTTTTCAAAATTTATTTCACATCTCACAGTTAACAACCAGACGGAGTTCGGACTGCATGGCTACAATAACGAAGCTACGGAGATGCATCCATTTTTTTTTGCAAATGGGCCCGCCTTTATACCGGGATGTAAATTAGAGCCTTTCAATAACACGGATTTATTCCCACTGTTTTGTAAAATACTCAATTTGAAGTGTCCAACGGTTAATGGCACTTTATGTCACATAACAAAGTGCCTTAGGTCACAGTCAAGGGATATATCGTTATCTACGTATCGAATGCTTTGTTAGTATCTTTGTCAATGATTGATACATGTAAGTAATTATGTGCACTGTGTAATAAATTTTTTTTTTTTTTTATTACAGTTATTATGACTACCATTATATTGCTAGGAATTTCCGTAATTTCGACAATAATTTACAAGAGAAGAAGAAGAGTAGAACATGACCACAGGTAAATAAAAATAACAAATATTTTAAATAATTTTAAACAGTTTTGCTGTCTTATGTGAACTGACCTGATATGTCGCACGTTTTAATAAGACTTTAATACTAAAAGCTTATTATTTTTTTTCAGGAAATCGTACTATACGTTAGGCGAGTAACGCGTAAACACAATCTTTATGTCTTTATTGATTTTTAATTTATGACTTAATTTTCAATAAATATAAAAAGAAAAAGAAATATTCAAGAAAACCTATTGTGCAAGTTGTTCTACGAGAATCAATTTAATTTTGTTGTATTATCAAGAACTTTATCCACGCTAGAACGGGATAAAAATATCAAGTACCTTTAATAGGTATGTGTTTAAAAGAAATATAGTATTGAATAAAATAGAAAGTTTTAGAAATTTAAACCGTTAAACATTTGCTAAGAATTGTAGAATAAACCGGTGATTTTCAAACTTTTTTTATTCGGAGCACACTGCAAAGCAAAAAATTTTATTCTTCATGTAAAAGAATAGGATTTAGGCTAGCTATATTATATAATTCATCATGAATGTGATAAATATGTTTATACACCGTCAGAAAAAAAATATACTATAAAATCATATTTCGCTTCAAACTTCAATGACACGATATACTTTCGTAAGTCGTGGCGCACACAGCCACCTCTTGCGACGCGTCGTTTGAAAATCACTGGAATATATATAAAATATATTCTGATATAGCAAACTTCTAAAAATAATTCCTTTCATTATTATTCATCTGTGACATCATTTAACAAACTTTAATTGTATATACTTGAATGTATAGTCTTCTTGTATAATAAATTAGAATGTGATCATTCGATACGTAATTCAAAATAACGCGTGGTTATTTCCACACAGACATAAATCCGTCAGACGTCTATAATTCCATGTAACGTCTAATGAAGACTTGTATACATTCCCCGCGACTGTGTACGCACTTGTGCGCGCGATTCTTACCTTCTCTCTCTCTGTCTCTCCTTCTTTCCTCCACACATGGTTTTAGTGTACTAAAGAACTGCTACTAGCAATTTCGCATTTGGTAATTGTAAAAGTATTAGTTTTTTAAATCACATCACAAGAATTGTACACGACTCGCGTAACGTCTCTTGCGTAATAATTACATTGTCCCGATGTAAGCGGATATTTATTAATTAAAGAAATAATTACAACAAAGTATTTCACATATAAGAGATTAGGAATTAACAATTAAAAACATATAATGAAAGAACATTGAGAATTGTTACGTTTAACATTTATACGCGTATCTGCTAATTAATTTCTTTAATCAACATCCGGCCCCTGGTACATTTCCAATCATTAGGACATCCTTTGAATATGTGTATCCTATCTTTACATCTTTACTTTTTTTTCACTATTGACAGAGAGATTTGCGACCTGTCTAATTACAGACGTTTATAATTTATGATAGGCGTCGCATTGTTTTCAAGAGATAGCAACGAGACGTTCAGACAATATCTTGTGTTGCTTTGATTAATAACAAAATATTTATTCTTTCTTTTTTTTTCTCGAGAAACGCAGATAGAAAACAAAACTCGCGCGACTGATTTATAGTTTTATAAGTATAATCTTTCGCGCGAATTGTTTTATGTGAATTTTTAAACGCGCTCCGATGACACATTGGAGCGCGCGTGATGTGTGTGTAAGTATATATCCGATCGATATCCAAAAATATCCTTCGGGTTGTATATCTGCGCCGTCGTGTGTATATGCGCGCCCGTTAGAAAAGAGAAGAGGCCAACACGCCGTGGTGGTTTCGAGGCGGCGACGACAACGAGTTGGACGACGTATAGTGGACGAGGACGATCGATGTGATCTGTGGCGCGTTCAATGCCGCTTGCGAGGAACATTGAATTGTTCAGCGGCGGCAACAGCAGCAGCAGCCAGATAGACTTCAGGGAGAGAGAAAGAAAGAGGGGATGTACCCCACGTATATTACGATGCCTATATAGCTAGCCACCAACAGAACAGATCGTTTCAGTCGTTGCTTCTCGTCTCAGGATTTGCCGGCAATTTTTTTACTTTTTTGTTTTCTGTCTTCTTTTAGAATCGCTGCTATATTCTCGGATTATAGTTTCTTTCATATCGGACCTTCGCGGTGCGACAAGTTTTCCACAATGATCGCTGTCGGCAGAACTCACTGAAGATCAGAGATCGATCATCAGCGTTAATTGACTTTGTTTTTTTGTCGCCGATCTAGTTTCCGCGATACTCGGGAAGGAAAAGTAGCACACGCGCGCAAGACAGCGTTGTTTTATCGCGATATAACAACGTAGGAATATTCAATATGTTCTCCGGGACGTAAACTTTTTTTTTCCCCCGCATCATTCCACTCGCTGTTGTCGTCGTCGACGATAGGGAAGCAGCCGGCGCAGCGAGTGCTTTTTCAAACGAGTCCGGGATTTTCGGGTTTGAGAGAGAGAGCGTGTCGCAGCATCCCGAAGGCTGGCGTCGAAACGTGGCAATCGACGTGCGAAAAAAGTGTTGCCTCCTCCTCTCTTTTCCCGAGGTACCTCGGAGGTCTCGATCGAAGACAACATGCCGCCGCAGGAGAAGTACTCCACGTCCGAGGAGGCCGCCGATGATCTAAAGGACGCGAGTCCCGACGGCTTGTCGCCCTCGGCCTCGTCCGAGAGCGGACTTCCGACGAGCGAGAAAGAATCTTCCGTCAAGGAGCGGAAGGACGAAGACTCGAAGCGGGACGACCAGCAGGAACAGCAACCCAAGGACCTGGACTTCGACGACTTGCTGCCACACGTCGGCGAGTTCGGCGTCTATCAGAAGATTCTGTTCGTGCTGATGATACCGTTCGCCTTCTTCGTCGCCTGGGTTTATTTCTCGCAGATATTCATCACCCTCGTGCCGGAAGATCACTGGTGCCGCGTACCGGAACTGGAGAATCTTACCGTCGAAGAGAGGTAGGAACGAAAATTCACTGAGCGTTTATATCCACGCGCACGTTTAATAAAAATGACTCAGAAACCTACACGCGATTGTTTCGTGATAATATGACGAGTGCCAGTTCCACGTCTCTCTCCTGATAATAAACGTGTCATATCACATTGAATATGTTATGTCAAAACTAAGATTTGATCTCTAGAGTGGATTATATATTATCAGAAAATACATAAAATACACGCGCACAAAGTTAATATTTTTTATATTTAAACTTAGAGTTATTTACTTTTATATCACTTTTTTATTCGATTTATATCTTTTATCTTTTGTGTTATCTTTTGCTCATACGTAGTTGAAAATGAAAAACTATATGTCTACTCCGAGTGGATGTAAGAGCGTGCATTAAAATGTGATTACCCGTTTGTTGAATTTTAATCGCTCAGTATTAAATGTAATTAGCGCAGTCTCGTCTTCGAGATTAGAACAAAAGAGATATCTGCGCGATAACAGCAAACGAAATCGAAAGATGTTCTGATAAGACACAATATCGACCGACAATAATAAACATTCGATTGGAAACAATTTCGCGCGATGTAACTGCGTATTTTCTTTCTAAACAAACGAGTTTGTTCTGTCTTTTGAAACAAAAAAGTAAAATGCAACAATTGAACGACGAGAAGAAAATAGTTTCTTCTCTTCACAATAATTTCATATAAACGCGATAACGTTCTGTATGACGCGTAAAGGACGCGGTAATTCCGAAACCACTTACGACTACCGGTGTTCCGTTCTGAGAGACCATTTTTCTGCGGTTAATTGCTCGTGGACAAATCCTCAGCGTACCAATTATCTGAAATACGCACAGAGGAAGAAACTGTGATTCACACGATAGCGGTCTTCCCGCGTTGACGCAAAATTCGGTCGGTCTGCTTTAAAGCAATCTAAGAACGTCGCGAATGGTGGTGACATGTCAGATTCGCGAAATGACAATTTTTGACAAACAATCGTTGTTTGTCAACAACATCGTGTCTCTTTTTGTAGAATTAAAAACCATATTTCTCTTCTTAAAATAAAATAAAAAAAAAAAAAAAAAATAGATTGGTCGTTAATAAATGGAAACACGCGCATAATCTCGTGCGCATATTTTAACTTTTAAACGAGTGAGAACAAAATGGAAGATTATTATTTATAGAATATTATATACGCGATCTCGTTTTCTTGTGCAATTCTGCTTATCGTTGCAAAATGACGTGTATAATACGCAAAACGACACAAGCAATGTAATTTAATCATGCGCTGATCGTATGTAAATGCACAATTAACGACAGTCCACATTTGCGCTCGAGGAAAATGCGTTTCTCCGAGTTTTTTTTCAATAAAAAATGAAACAACGCGACGCGCATTATTCTCGGTACCCGATATTCAGCTCCGATAACTGTGGTTAAACGAGCGGACAGACGATCGAGAAAGGGTAGGATGCGAGAAGTGTATTCGTAAGATATGTAAAAATATATTGAAAGGTAAAAAAAAAAAAAAAAAATGCACGCGAATGTGTCAACGTGCGAATTTTTATACTTTTTAATGTACTTTCGTGTATCTTTCCCGGTATGGGAAAATAATAGACTCGATGCGACATTACGTGTATACATGTATATCGAAAACCTTCGCGATGTAATTTTCAATTGTACAATTTGATTCTCCGCAAAGGTTCTCGCGATTAATAATTCCGTATGCAGCGTCCGTGTGCGGGTTAATAATCTCTGACGTCAGTGTAATAATAACGAGAGATAAATGACCGGTTGATATCACGATCTTTTATGGAAATCTGTATATTATATAAAAAAATCTTACGTACGTGTAAAAATAGCACGTGTGTTACAGAAAAGCATACACTCTCTCTCTCTCTGTCGTTTCTGCTAATTCAAATGCCGTCCTTTCACAAATGCTAATTTATTTGTTAAGTGACGAGAATCGCGATCTCGTAATAATAATTATAATAACGAGCGTTCTCACTAAACACACAAACGGAGTTGAAAAGCAAAAAGTTGCAGAACATATTTATATTTCAAACGCACAGAGAAACAACCGACGAGAAAATTACGATTGATGATAACTCATTAATTGTAAGTAACGATTGTAAATTAAATTTCAATAGCCTTTTGTGTTTTAACGCTAGTGTAATAAGTTTTTTTTATTATTTATTTTTTTGTACTTATAGAAAAAGGAAGAGATTTCTATCGTAGATACAAGGTAGAAAAAAAATTAGCTTTCACACACACAAACCGTCATCTCTTATGCGATGTGGCGTCGCAAATGAACTCTTATGTCATCCGAAAGTTTGCCATTGTTATGATCGCCAAGTTTGCCGTGTTCGTTTTCTTGTTGTTAACGGAAATCGAAAATCAATAAAACATACAATACAGCATGCGTGCGTGCGCATAAATTTCTCACACGGAGAAAAATAATACATTCGGGTTCTTCGCTCACCGGGAAGCGAGAGCACGAGGTGTCCATATATAATACAAACAATAAATTTACTCGGAACCTTCGTATGAGCAATGAGAGCGTGAACGTGAAACATAGTTGTGTAAACCTTTCGACATAACGCCACACGCTAATGTCACGCTTATTGCACATGAACGACAAACAAGAAACGAACACATTGCGCGGGATGTCTCCGTGTGCAAATTGGTATTTTGCCGCTCGATTACATAATTATAACACTCATAAGCGACAGGTCTTGCCATTAGAAACAACCAAATTCGTCAAAATGACGAATTTCAGATTTTTTATTTTAAGGGGATTCCAAAGTGAGTATGTTTTATCAATAAAACTGATTTTTTTGTGCACACTAATCTTTTTTTTCAGCTGTATCGATAAATCCTTTTCTTACAATTAAAGCGCACACAATAAGGAATCCGGGAAGTCTAAATTTATATAACAAAATGAAAAAAATGTTTTAAAACTTTCAATTTTTTTTATCTTGCTAAATGACAGAAAAATGTGTGTTCTGAGAGTGAGTTTATTTTAAAAATCCAAATTTATGAAATTGTATCTTTTAACAAGAAAAAAAAAAGTGAAGTACTCAAAATCTTTGTAGTTTAAAGCTGTGATTAGCTAACTACTTAATATTAAATAAAAATTATTTAATATTAAGTAGTAAATATTAAATAAAATAAATAAAATATTAAATAAAACAAAAATATTAAATAAAATATTAAATATTAAATAAAATAAAAATAATAACGTGTAAAACGTGTTTTTTTTTTTTTTTTCAAATACCCGTCAAATTGACAAATGCGGTAAATGGTGTGTTAAACAAATTATTTTAATACCTGCCTCGCGCGCGCGTCGCATGACGTGTAAGACGTGTCAAAAAAAAAACCAAGAGTTTAAAAGACTTTTTAATGTAAAATAATTGCTCTTTCTTATTATAACAAAAGACACACGTTCGCGCGTTCATATTTGTAAATTTATGATCTAATGTCGCAAGGTTACTATTTATCTACAGTTAATTACACATTGAGACTCGTCATTACGGAGATACTTCGCGGTGACATATCGGGGATAAAAAATGTCGGACGTGCATTGGAATCGGTGTCAAATATTCGCTCTTTTTCTCTTTTTTTTTTTTATCTCTCTCTTTCTCGTTTGTCTGAGTTTTACGTGAAAGGTCGAATTACACGCATAATTAACCGAAGGTATTTGCACGCAATAATGAAGATCTTTGTATTATATACAGCGTGATAAGTTATTCTAGATTTTAAGAGGTGATTTTCTTCGCACTAATTTAAAAAGTTCGCATAAAAACTTCATATGATTGTACGTGCGAAACTGTTTAATTTCAAAGATACAGCGTGTCAAAGTTGAAGAAAAAATTTGTTTTTTTCTTTTTTCCAAAATTGTGAAAATTTTTCGAGTGCTGATATTTGATGCTTTCGCGGTGTGTTGTATTCGAAGATGTTTTTCGGGTTTGAAACCGATACTATCGGGCTGCTCTTGAAATCCTGACGAAGCGAGCTGAAATGTTCACGAAGTGTCGATATAAAAATGACACTAACGCGGTTCAAACTCGAAACACATCTTCGAATATTGTTCGAGTTATTTTGATGAATAATAAATGTTTTTAGGCTCTTTTAGTTACAAACTATTCTCGAAATACACAAACGGTCACAAGAGCCATACGCTGGGTGTTTGTGCGGAAATATATATATGTACAGATATTCTATTACATTCACGTGTAAATTTTACACGTGAGATTTTTGAATCAAAATTTTAATTCGCAAATTCATAGAACGCTAAATTTGCGTCACGTATATGATAGATTCCCCTAATTTTTAAAATATTGCGAAAAAAATACCTTGGCCAGGATTAAAATCTAGAATCTCCGGCTTTCCACGCCGTCGCTTTCCCAATTCAGCCACCGAGGCACTTGTTTTGATGAAATTTGTACGGTTGAAGGACACGAAGATTCATCTTTTGAATCAGGAACTTCGCATCTCTTTGAAATTAAACCGTTTTTCGGACATATAAAGTTTTTGTTTTGAATTAGTTCGAGGAATCACCTTTTAAAATATCTTTCAGAGCACTTAACCATCACCCCGTAGAAAGTCGTTGCATTATTTTCTGTTTCTTATCGTATTTCCAGGATATTCACTTTTTTTACTTGACATTTATCAAGCTCCGCTCCAATAGTTGACATTTCACCGTAGTAGAGCTTCTTCTTATCTCGGGGAAAAAAATAGATTGTTCCCACAGAATTTTTCTAATATTACGTTACGAGACGTTTTATTTATAGGCGAGCCGTACATATGTGCCGCGTATTTTTTCTTGTCTCAGGATCGCGTTGGCGATACCGAGCGGCGAGGACGGCCGCTCAAAATGCACGATGTACGATGTGAATTACACGAAACTCCTGTCAGACGGAATCAGAGATGTGGACCTGAAATGGCCGACGAAGAGCTGCTCGCACGGTTGGGAGTTCAATTTCACCGACATACCCTACGAGACGGTGGCGACCGAGGTAAGAAGAATATGAACGTATTTCACGGATCGAACAAAAAGTTTGAATCCATCCGAAGGATCTCTTCAATTTTGTTTTCTTCGTCGCCGACTGCGGTGAACGCACAGTCGGCGGTCATACATTCACTTAATTACACATTCGTGCAGAAGAGATAAGATAAAACATTCCAATGACCGCAAAAAAGATAAGATAAATATTCCAATGTCGCGTACAACCACTACTGGTTGGATATTTATTAAATAAATAATTTATTAGAAACTAATAAATTATAAAATGAAAAATATATATTGGAAAATAGGTGTAGAACATTGAAAAATCACATCACATACCTAATGATTATTTCTTTAATAAGTACCTGTGTTGCGATCACCGATAAATAGTCCGGTTGTTTCAAACATTTACTTCAACATTTCAATATAGAGAAATCGAAAGTGGCACACGCGGATCACGAGCAGTTGTTATCGATAAATCCGATCGAAAACGAGATCACCCGTAACGTTTCGAAACAGCCGAAAGAACTTGGCGCGCATTTATCTCATCAATGTCAAGCGATGTGTCGCAAAGTCGTACACTTCGTGAATCTACTACCAATCGAGCGCGTTTACGCGCGACACATAAACCAAGTTTTACACACGAGAACGCGTCGCGGAATTAAGTAACATCTTGCGCGTTTGTGAAATTTATGTAATTGGCAAAAAACGCACGCGTGAAAGCGTATTGCGAAACAAATGTACTAGGACATAATATAAATTATTCTTTAAATTTAATTTACAAAGTAAGCATAACATAAATCATTAAATGTAATATAATTTATCAAAAAAAAAAAAAAAAAAAAAAAAAAAAAAAAAAAAAAAAAAAAAAAAAATTGATCCTTGATCATCCGTTGCAGTTGGGATGGGTGTGCGAGCACTCCGCGCTGCCGACGACGGCCCAGAGCGTCTTCTTCATCGGCGCGATCTTCGGCGGTCTGATCTTCGGCTGGATCGCCGACAGATACGGCAGGATACCGGCGCTGGTCGGCGCCAACGTTACCGGGTTTCTGGCGGGCGTCGCGACGGTGCTGGCCGGAAGTTTCTGGGAATTCGCGCTCTGCCGATTCTTCGTCGGCTTTGCCTTCGACAACTGCTTCACCATGATGTACATATTAGGTACATAAGAAAAAAAAAAACATAATTGCAGAATTTCCTTGGCGATCCTTTTCAAACGTTGCAAGGACACCGGTTACTCGCAGAGTCGGTCTTCTTGGAGAGAAACCATTTCTTCCCCTGCGAAGGAAACTCGAAAGAAAAACAAACTCTCGCCACATTCTCCGTTTATTCGTCACGTTTGTTTGCATAATGCATATGGATATTTATAATATTTGCGGAGACACTAATCTAAAGATAACGTGACAATCAGTCGTTACGTAACAAACTATATAAATACGTTTCATTGATTTTTTTCTTCAACTGTTTTATCGGACAATTGTATAACACCTGGTGGTATCAAAAAACGGCATATTTTAATTTTAATTAATTCGAGTAATTCAAGCGTCTCTTTGTAATTACCATCTAACAGCGTGTACGTATCGCGTATAATAGCTGTGCGTCTCTCACAGAGATTTGCGATAATTAATTACCGTCTTGTTAAGCAATAAGTGAACTCTCTTCCTTACACTTTGTGTTGTCTGAAAGGTCGAAGGAATCGTCCACACATGTGTTCAAAGTGTGTGTGTGTGTGTGCGCGCGCGCGCAAACGCGAATAAATTTCTAGTAAACAAAAAAAAGAAGAAAATTGAAAGTCGCGAGATTAATTTCCATGATTAATTACGTGACGTGAAGGAGACACCTTTGCGATAGTAACGACAGTTGTGATTGTTACGTCAAACCGGAATACTCGATTCTGTGATTTATTTAGTCTCTCGAGTGCGCAGTGCGTATCGATTGTTACATAAGTAAAATCAATAAATTACGCCTCAACTGTCACACACGCGATACTTCATTCCCTTAATTACTGTCAACACTGCCACAATAGCGTGCGATAATTGTCTGTTCAATCAATCATTTCACTACAAAATCTTTGAAAACTCGCAATTACAAGATATCCGATATCACTCGGCGATACGCGGCGATGCGTATCGCCGAGCGGGAATGAAATGCTATTGAAATCGATTGATCGATCATGGAAACCGATGATTTGCGTCACGCTTTGTGTATCGTTAATTATTAATGAAAAGAATATAACGTAAAATCACAACGGTAAAAAAAAAAAGATATAGATGTAGATACACGCGTCTATCTATAGTGTTGAGAAACGCACGTGTGTCATACTGCTCTCTTGAACGTAGAATGACAATGTGTTTTGTGTGCCAGTAACACATCTTGCGCGCGTTCACCGAAGCGCATCCGTACGCTGTCCGTAACCCCGTCACGATAATCGCTCGCTATCATCATTAGTTTATTGTCATTGTAATTAAGCCTATTAAATCGCCATTAAGTCCCAAATTACGGCGAGGCACTATATTGTGGGCTCGGGAAACAATGTGCATACATTTTAACGTGATCACATCTAAGAGAAAAAAAAATAATAAAACAAATAACTGAGGTAATTTGTCCCAATGACACACGCAACTGGCCGGACATTTATTAAAGAAAACTTATAACAAAGTATTTACTACACGTAAAGATGTAACTAAATAAAAGATTGTTAAAACTAAAAATTAATCAAATTCGCGCGAAATTATTTGAGAATTGTGTGATTGATATTTCTATATTTAATAATCATCTATTTAAAAATAAATGTCCGATTGAGAAACGGTCACTTTATACGCTCTGATTTTAGTTACGATCGAAAGTGCCTATCGTTCGTTCGCCTTGACGATGAACCACCGATCGGAGGTCCCAATGGGGAAGGGCATCTCGAGTACGTATCTCGAGTCATGGTCGCGTTCGCGATCACCGGATTCAACTTTCAGGTCAAGCTCGCCCAGGTTTGACTCACTCGCGAAGTCACGGTTATTGCACTCGCGCGCGTTTTGCCAGTTCCGTTTCGCCGATTTTCCCCGCGAACGGTAGTAGAAGCGTGGCCAATGTCAGAGACACGTGCCGTTATTGAATTAATCAAGAGAATCGTGCGCGGCTCGTGAAAGGATCGCGGATCTTGCTTGCCTTTTTTTCCCTTTCTCTTTCGTTTATCTTTCTTTTTTTTTTTTTTTTTTTTTTGATTATTTGTTCTTCTCGTTATTCGTATGTTACGCGCGCATACATATGGTAGAAATACACCACGTAGATTTTCTATTTTTTTTTGTGCGAAATTCGTTTGCATCAAACATAAAGAAATTACGTCAGAGATCTTTTTTTTT